ACATGGGGTTCCCACACGGGGGGGGGGTCGTCTACTCGTCTGTAGATGACCCGAGGTATGTCGGGGCACCAGGGACTTCCTTTCTAGGGTATACCTGGTTCCCCGGCTATTAGTACCCGGCGACGGCGTGCGGTTTTAGTCGGTTCGAGTCCGACATGCCACCGACAGGTGGTATCCGAGGGGATTTCCGCACGAAAAAAAAAAAAAAAAAAAAAATTGGGATTATTTGACACGGTTCAGTAAGAAAAAATAATATAAAACATTTAATTAAGTAATAAAAATAAGTTATTCCAGTAACAAGTCGAACGATAAATTTTGCTTTACAATCTTACCGGTGTAAATTTATGTTGCCATAAACCGTTACTTGACGTGAACTTGAGGAGGCAGATTTTATTGCTTTCTCATTTTAATTTCTATAACATTCCAATTTATTACTTACAAAAGTAAATCATCCTAATAGGGCTTCCAACTCATTTCTGTAGTAACCCAAAAGTCTAATAGACACTGTCGAAGATCCACCAAGCAAAGTTTATGCTTTACCTCTAATTTAAAATAAAAATAAATCAATGTATTAAAATCTATTGTAAATATTTGTATCAGAATAAAGTATGGGCGATTTGATTTGAGTCAACATGGAATTATTGCGTGGAAAGTTTGGTGAGTCGTTAATTTCGAGAAATGGACCGATCAGTTGGCCACCAAGATCGTGTGATTTTACACCTTTAGACTATTTTCTTTGGGGTTACGTTAAATCTAAAGTGTACAGCAATAATCCAGCTACAACATTCGACGAGCCATAGCCGACATACCGGCCGAAATGGTGCACCGCGTCGTCGAAAATTGGCGTGAGCGGGTGACCGTCTGCAAAAAGAGCCGCGGCGGTCATTTGGCCGATATATTATTTAAAACATAAATGGCATAAAATTATCTATCAAATAAATCAATCGGATGCATTTTTCATAAAAAATTGTGTGTTTTATTCAATTTTTAAACCAGGACGAACGTCCTGGTTTAAAAATTGCTGGACCGATTTCGACGGGACTTTCACTGGCATCTGCCAGTGAAAGTCCCGTCGAAAGCTATCTAGCTGATGAGATAAGGAGTAACTTAGGCTACTTTTTTCAGACTAGCTTCGCCCCGCGGCGTTGCCCGCGGTTATAACAACCAACGCGGGTAACACCGCGGGTATCAGCTAGTATATAATATATACCAAATAAAAAAAATACTTATATATTAATATCAATATGTTATCAATAGTAGGCCCAAACCTCCTTTCTAAGGAGAGGCCTATGTCCAGCAGTGGACTATTAAATGATGATGATGATGATCAATAGTGTGGTTATCAGCCATACTCCATACATTACATTAGCCATACTTTTGTACGAATGGGCCGGCCAACGGTGATACCACGGCCTCACAGAAAACCGGTATTAAGCAATTCTTTCGTTGCCTTTCACTGAGTGAGTGAGGTTACCGGAGCCTAAATCCTCTCCCGCTGACTCGAGCGGAAGGGACTCCAAGGGCAGCAACGCACCTGTGAATTATGAGATGCAGGTGTCCATGGGCAGCGGTGGTTGCTTGCCATCGGGTGACCCGTCTGTTCGTTTGCCCCCTTATACCATAAATAAAAAAAAGACTGCCTATTTTGATATCAGACACGACCATAGATATAGAATACCATAGATTGGTTGTGCATTTCAATAAGCGAGACCAAAAAAGAAATGTAATGGTGTGCATCAAATTTGCATGTGTGTCTAACGTGCTAGTGATGCGCCATGCAAAATTATTTTTTTCGATAACCTGTACCAACTGGTGAATAAATCCACAGTGATTCAGAGTTACGTATTTAGTGCGAATAAGTACAAGAAAACTACAAAATTAAAAAGACAAATCTTTGTTGATATAATTTCTAGTGTATACACAAAAACAATGAACTGTTTAAATGTTTAATGTGTTCATTAAGCGATAATAATATTCCGCAATACCTATTGCTCGTTGTTTTAAAAACATGAATATTTAACCACAAACAATATTTAATCAAAAACAGCACTGTAAGCATGTATAGGAATTCATTTTTCTCCGAACAATATTAATTTATTATAGAAATGTCTCAAACTTTCTTTGGTTGCATTACACAACTTTGCCTCATATTTAATTCTAATAGACACATATATTTCTATAATTAGTTTAATTATCTGGTCTGTTCACCATTTTTAACCATTTTCCTCTAATGTCTGCATTTTGTGGAAATCTGTAACCATATGAAATTAACATAATTAAAATGCCAAATAGTCAGTATAGAATGGTTTTAATAAAATTAATTGATGATTATTATTTGATCACTGTGACTATTATCGATATTTTTATCGACATTGTCACTTCAAACTTCTAGGTATGTGAGGTTAGAAACAACATAAATTCACGTATTTAATAATTCTTTTTGTAAGATGCGAAAGCATCAAGCGCGAAAGAATTTATAATGAAACTAAACGAGATAATATTTCCTACCACTTGATATATAAAATATACGATATCGCATTGAAACAAAGCTTATTTAGAGGCAAATATGGCATTATTTACTTACATGTGAAATGAAAGATTATGTGTATTTTCTTCCTTGGAAGCGTTACATCCAGGTACTGCACACGTCACCATGATAAAACACGCTTAATAAATAATAAACCACAACAAAATACTCAAGATTCCGAAAAAATAACAACAATAATGTTTGGCATCCATCCTTATTTAAATAATTTTATATAAGGTACTATCCAGTTACCTTCCAAAATCTACTCCGATGTTTCACTTGTACCATATCTGTTTTACATATGAATATAATATAACACAAACCCAAATTTTAGTAAACTGTTTGCCTCCTGCGAGTGGGTAACCGCGGAACTTGAAACTTCGTTGTTTATGTGAAATGGCTGCCACGTTAATATACCTACGTTATTGTAAGTGACGCAACTAAATATATCTAGTACACATTAATCTAGACGTGCTTCGAAAATTAATATTTATATATTATTCTTATACTACCAAACCCTTGGTCCTCCTTATGGAAGTCTATGACCGTAGCCTATGGAGATGTACCACTCTAGAAGTGTCTCATGCTCTTTCTCATGCTCTATCTTGCATTGTCTAGCATATAAAAACTTGATATTGAAAAACGTCCTACTATTTCTGACGGTGTGTTAAAGGATTAAGAATACGGAATGTCACCACCCCTATTCATCCCGTGGGTGTCGTAAGAGCTGACTAAGGACACAAACTATGCAGAACAACAGCACTGCAAAGAGAAGGAAATCTTGAAACAAACTCTATATCAACCCGTCAGTCCAGTGTGGTATAGTAGGCCCAAACCTTTCTAAGGAGAGGCCTATGTCCAGCAGTGGACTGTTATAGGCTGTTGATGATGATGATGATGATTTCTATTGCGCAATGGTAGTTCATTCTACATTTTGAACATCTCTTGGATAGCAGGTGTTACGGTTGAAAAAACGGTGGGAACAAACCCCTTGTCGACATCAGGCGATGCTCCACTATCAAACATGAATTGATAATTAGGTCGTACTTCGTCTCAGCCCTATTTCGATTTAATACGAAAGATCCTTATATTTGAACTTTTGCATGACTTAGTAACCCTCGCACCAATGGGTAAGCTTTGGTTTGGCTACTATTACATGGCAAAACTTCTACCATTTTTTTTCAGGTTTTAGCTAAAATTGGTAATTTATTGTTTGTAGGTTAGGTTTGATTAATCATGATAACATTTGTAACTTTTCTTACATTTTCTTTACCTGTCCCCGCGTCATTCAAATCTAATGCACCGACCACCGTCGGTGCATTTGATTTGAATGAATTTCTTTCCTTTTTTTTTTCATTTCTGCTTAAGTATACATTACAAAGCGTGAAGTGTCACGTTTTGTAATACTATGTTTTGTATACTTAAGCAGAAATAAAAAAAAAAGGAAAGATGATTTTTAAATGGCGGAATAAATTTCTTGATTAACAACTACGAACAATGTTGATGTATTCACTAATCGAACAAAGAAATTTAATCAGAAGTGGTCCTTCTGTTAATTGGGCATGACGCCACAAACAGACACAGATACCTATAACATCAAACTTCTTTTTTAGTCACATAAAAAAACGTATACGTTCTTAAGTGTATGTTTTACACATAAGAGTACACTTAAGAACGTATACGTTTTTTAACTAAAACATCAGCAAACATATTTCACTACGTCATATCAAATTCTTTCTCTATTATTCAAATGATGAATTTATTTTCCTTTTAAAATCAGCACATCTACATCTCAATGACAACAAAAGTTTGATTGTAAAATGTTTACGCGAGTATCTTGAACCGTATGTTAACAGAGGCATGATTCAAGAACACTGAATACCATCGACAACATACAGTTACACAATGCATATTTTCGCTTGTGCCTCGCGAAATCTAAACCTATGTGCCTCGGTTTATTTTGCTTCCCTTGAACGCTGACACTCAATGGCGTGATACAGTTGACAATTTCAAAGGTAACACGTAGCCTCGAAGATACGATACAATATATAGGCGCTCACCATCGAGAGCGATTTGATGTGAAATAAACTGACAATAGGCCCTCACTATCAATTACCATATTTCCCGGTTCTATATGTCCACAAATAACAATCGACCAGGATCTGAAGGGTCGAGACTCGAGTATGAGTAATAATGGTGTATAAGCATGTAGTATGATTGGTGTGTAGTACTGTTAGCACCACACACTACTCAACACCTTATTCTAAGCTTTGATGCACTTAACTATGAAATTTTCTAGCCACGATTGTAATTTTATAAGCGGAGGTAGTCATTTTCATCAGAACCAACTGCTCGTTTACCCAAAAAAACAACGACGAGAAACCTACAACGAGAAATTTAAATACAATTATTTTATTGTGTTTAAAAACATTTTAATTTAACTTGACATTCTTTTCATACCACCGTCCTTCTTCTAGTCATTTTTTTCCCAGTTGATCTTTTGGACGGCTGCTGTCCCAGATGGATCACTAATAAATGAGGCTGGAAAAAAATATAATTTATTAGATGTACACTAGGATCACAAAAAATGCTACACAATAAGAGTCTGACGTCAGTGGCTACGTGGTCACTATTACACGTCCTCTCCCAGTCTTTATCATGTGGATGACATGATAAAGGCTTGGAAGAATACATATTACAAAGACCATACCAGGTAATATCCATAGTGTTCTCGAATGCTACTTTTTTTTTCTTTTTTAAAAAAGACAACTTACGCATTAGGAATATATCCTGCGTCGCGGGGGACTTTACAAACATACATGAAATGGACACAAAGAACACCCAGACTCAGAACAACAATTTGTGTTTGTCAAGTGTCGTCCCATGTGGGGTCTGAACCAAAACACTCGGCGTAATAGGAAGCAGCGTGACGACCATCCGTGCAGTCAAAGCCTCAGCTATAGATATCACCAGTAATTGTAGAACATCATAATTCTTGAAAAAGTTCATTTACAATTTTAATAAGGTCAGCAATGCTTGCATCACTCTTCTGAGGTGACAAAGATTTTGGAGTTTTTAAACAAGTATGGCCACTTTTTTAACAATGTAGCCTTTCTGAGGTGAAGACAAAACTACGTACCTATCTTAACAGGTGTGGACACAGGAACACTCACAGGAGGCGGACGAGGTGCGACACAAAGCTCAAGTCTGAAACTTTTTAGCTCGTCACTTGTTGGCATTTCACTGGAACAAGGGCTAGTTAACAGCTTGCCTGCTATAAGACGGCCTATTTTTAGTACTGCCTGAAAACATTTTTATATATTCGTTCGTAAGACCAATACCAAAATTATGAAACGGTAAATGATTGACAAACCAAAATAGACACAAACCATCATCCGATATACTTCGATATCATTAACTCGCAACCCTATGAATACAATGATTTTGGTAAACTTGCTGTTGGAATATTAACCTTTTTTTCTTTTTTTTTTTTTTAACGTGTGGAAATCCCCTCGGACCGTCACCCCTCCGGGGTTTGCGGCGGGGTGGTGTGTCGGACTCGGACCGACTAAAACCACACGGTGTGCCACTCTGCGCCTGTAACAGGAGGGATCCGGGAACAGCTGTTGTTAAGACATCCGGACCCCTCCTAGCGCCAGCCCGCTCCTGGTGCGGGCTCCGTCTCGATGTTTTTCCTCTCTTTATAGGCGACGTCCGGCACACGCGGACGCCGCCCCCTCGCGGCTGGCCAAACTAATGCGGGTGGAGGGGAAACCCACCCCGTCCACCCGCGGCCACACTCAGGGCGGCATGAGGCTGTGATAAGCGGGCCTCCGCCGCCCGGTTCGCCGGCGGCGGATCGGGTCCGAGTGGAGGTCGTCCTCCCGGCCCTCTCCGCCGCCTCCTTCCGCGAGATTACTACCTCGCAGAAGGTAGCGACCGCGGTAAAACAACTGTCGCTACCGGCCATGGAGCGTACTACGGCCGGTAGCGAGAGATCCACTCCGATGACTGCAGTGAGGGCCCGACGCTGCGCCGCCCATGCGGGGCAGACCGCCAGCCTCCACGGCGGCGAAGCCAGCGCGTGGAGTCTCCAGCCGGAACGACCAACGAGCCATCGTGGCTCGGCGAGCGGCTTCGCGCCACTCGCGCACATCCTCGGGCGGAGGGCGAAATCCGCTCTCCGCCCGGAAGTCAGCCACTCGCCGATAAACTTCGGCGAGCACTTCCGCCTCCAAATCCCACGGGGGAGTTCCGGCCAATGCGCATGCCACCTCCGTCGAAACGGTGCGATAACCGACCGGCTCTGACCGCCATTACCCTCTGAGGGCGCCAGAGGCGTACCCTATTCTGGGCGGTCAGAGCCGCCGCCCACACCGGTGCACCGTACAGTGCCATTGACCGGACAACCCCCGTGTACAGCCGTCTTGTCGCGACGCTGGGTCCACCCATATTGGGCAGAAGTCGCCCTAGGGCAGACGCAGCGCCGACCAGCTTTGGAGCAAGCTGTCGGAAGTGCTCGTCGAAGAGCCACCTCCCGTCGAGGATCAGGCCCAGATATTTCATCTGGGCCCGAACCGGTACGAGGACCGAGTTGACCACGATTGAGGCGCCAGGGGGTGGACCACGACGGGGCCCATGGAATAACAGGGCCTCCGTCTTATCTAGGGCCACCCGTAAGCCCAGCGCCTCAATGCGCCCGACCACCAGGGAGACTCCCCCTGTGGCCAGGCGCGCCGCCTCTTGGAAGTTTGCCCCCCGGGCTGTCACGAGGGTATCGTCTGCGTAACAGATTACACCCAGCCCGGGGGGGAAATCGGCGCGAAGGGCCCAGTCGTACCCTATGTTCCACAAGAGGGGTCCAAGAACAGACCCCTGTGGAACACCGCACGACATGGGCCGACACCTCAGATTACCTTCTCGGTCCTCGTACACGACGGTACGCTCCTCTAAATAGTCTGCCACCAGCCGCCTCAGGTACTTTGGCACCCCATGATAGTGGAGTGCTTCCCTGATGCAGCTGAATGGCAGACTATTGAATGCGTTGGCGATGTCTAATGACACCGCCAACAGCACGCCGCCACAGCTCACGGCCTCTTCGGTCACGGCCCTCAGGCGCAACACGGCGTCGACCGTCGAACGCCCCGCCCGAAAACCAAATTGGGCGTCCGACAGATCGGGGCCCACCTCGCAGAGGTGCCGGACGATGCGGGCAGAAAGAACCCTCTCAAACAATTTGCCCGCCTCGTCCAGCAGCACGATGGGCCTATAGGCCGCGACCGAATCGGCAGGCCGTCCCGGCTTCCTCAATAGGACCAGCTTCCCGCTCTTCCAGCACTCAGGGAAGCGTCCCGACGCCAAGCTAGCGTCGAACACCTCCCCGAGGCGGTCTGCCATGTGGTTGAGGGCCAGGGCCAGCACTCGGGCCGGTACCCCGTCTGGCCCAGGGGCGGTGTTCTTGGAACGGATCCGTAGAACAGCCGCCCCTACCTCCGATTCCCGGACGGGCGGAACATTATCCTCCCCGTGCTCCCCGTCGTCTCCGGCCAAGGAGGCCATCGACGGGGGAGTGTGTTCCGCCCGTTGTGGGAAAAGGCCCTCAACCACTTCTCGCAGGAAGCTGGGCTGGAGAGTCTCCGTAAGGGGGGGGCCCGACGCGCGGAGCTTTTGTCGCACCGCGCGGTAAGGGCGACCCCAGGGGTCACGATTAAGACCCTCCAGCATCTCCTGTCTTTTTTCTTCTTTGGCGCGGCTAATGGCCAGCTTCAGAGTTTTCCGCGCCCGTCGGTACTCCTCATGAAGCCGGTCCTCCTCACCGTCTCCGCGGTGACGCCGCCGACTGCGCGTGTAGGACCTCCGGGCACGTGTACAGGCCGCACGGAGGTCCGCCAGCTCCTGGGACCACCAGTAGACCTCCTTCCTTGGAGGCCGACGACCTCGAACGCGGAGCATGGCCGCATCGCATACATGCGTAATCGCATCGCGAAAGCGGCCAGCCCCCACGTCGACCTCCTCGGTCTTGGAATATTAACCTAACCTAACGTATCCATTGGGTTGCGAATTCTTATCCTGCAAAATAAATATACCTTATATTATTCTGTAATTTATATTGCTACAATAATATTTTTAAATCGAATAGTCAGTCAAAGTCCTTGTTCTAGTAGTTATTACAATTACACGATGAACATATGAGTGCGGCCTCTTGGAGTTACTTCAGTCTTAGTCCGATTTTTCATTCGACACTTACGTTATCTCTTTTCTTGCCTTCCTTGCCCTAATTTACCTGATTCCTTTCTTACGTATGAAAAGAACTATGTCAAATAGCCAAAACCCTTTGCAAAGTTACACATTGCAACGGCAGAAATAGAATAGTGAGTGAGGAGAGCAGAAAGTTGATAATAATGATGATATTATATAACAAATTACCAAATATATTCAAATTACCCGCAATTCTTTGAATGTTTTTTTCATTCACATATTTACTAGACTTTACTGGTGAGCTGTGGAAATACTTACAAAACGCGTTGGCAGTGGTAGTGCGGGACGAGCATAAATTGGAGGGCATGCCAGCACAACTGACAGTGGTACGAACATCTTCAAAACATTAAAAGGCATTGCAGCTTTAAGTAACTCTGGAAGGTACAAGTTAAACACGATGTTTACATTGGATCAACTCTAGTAAATATAAACAGACATAAATATGTGAGGGGACAATAATTTCTGTTCTGCTGTGGCATAAATTATCTCAAAATCGTAAGATGACACACAATTTATTGTTGTAAAGGTAAACCTTTTCATTTGCTATTATGCAATATTTTTATTGTCTTTTAGATACTGTTTGATTTAGTACAAATACCGAAAAGTTTTTTTTTATTACTGAAGTAAACTATCGAATCAGCCCAATAATATATATTAGGGTTAAAGTATGAAATTGCCGATTTGTACTGAAAAATTGTACCTAAATCGTTTTTTTCTAAGATGTAACATATTTGTTTAATCAGAATATTAACCCTCATTATCTAAACATTACTGATATCTAAACGGTAGTTAATTTATGCCTTTACGATAGAACTCTGGGGATCAAGATTCAATAAACTGTGTGTAAGCATTTTGTATTGCGTCCTGGGAATAATTTTTTTATATCGTAGAAAATTGTCTAAATCACGAAAAAATGGTAGTCCGTTGAAACAAGGTCTGCCGTATACGGAGGATGACGTATGGTTTCTAACTGTAGCTCCTGTAGAGTTTCAACGGTTTCTCGTGCAGTATAAGGTCTTGCGTTATCATGGAGCAATAATGGTAAAAACCGATTCACGAGTCAGGGCTGTTTCACTGCCGGTTTTGGCATCATTGTTCGAAGTTCAGCACAGTAAACATCTGCTGTTATTGCCTGACCAGACCTGAGAAAGCCCTAGTGAATAACACCATGAAGAGACCACCAAACAGTTACCATTACCTTTTTATTGGTAAGCTTAGCTTTAAGGCACTATTGCGGCGCTTGATCTGGAGTCAGCCATTGCATTTATCGCTTACGGTTATCGTAAACAATCCACTTTTCGTTACATGTCATAATTTGATTCAAAATTCCTTCATTTCTGTCTCGATTCAACAAGGCAACACAAGTTTTGACACGCATTTCTTTCTGTAGATCAGTCAAATCATGAGGCACCCATTTTTGATATATTTATATCTTATTGATTTGATGCAAATGTCATTTGAGCGTGATTTGAGTCTATTGACTCAAATCACACTATTTTGTAGGTAGGGTAACGTTAAACCATGCCGCATGTCTCCTACCATTTCCTTCAATTCAGCTTTATTCACCCCCTTTAGGCGGTCTTTCACGTGGTTCACTCTTCACGTCAAAGTTTCAATTACGAAAGAGTTTAAACCATAAACGCACGATGCGTTCATTAGCAGTCTCCAAATGCAGCGTTGATATTGCGAGCCATTTCTGCCGCGTGGTTCCGCGTCGGAACTCGTATTCAAAAATGACTAGGATTTTCAAAGTATCCGTCTTTCACGTCTGAGCAGAATAAAAAAAACAATTAAAAGTCGAAAATCGAATGTTGCACATTTTTTTAAAAGAAGAACCTCATAGGTATCATGTGAAAAAAGCTTCAAAAGGTTTCATGTCAATTCAAATTGTCTATTACTCTTTTTATTTAGAAGAAATGAACTAATTTTGCAAATCAACAGTGTTTTAAAAGAGTTGAACAATAGTTAAATTTAACATATCCTGTGCATGAGAAGAAAATATTTGGTATCATGACACTATGATTTATTTCTAGGATTTGAGGAACACGAGGCATTTTTGTCTGTTTCAGATCGACTATAATGCAGTAACTTATAGGTTTGTTAAACAATTTTTGTCCGTTTTACTTTAGCAAACAACTAACAACACACACAACATTACCAAATTTTGGCAACTGGTAAACAATATTTATAACAGCTGTTAAAATGCCTTCAAGCTCCGTGATTCCGCATAGCTCGAATATAGGAACCAATCACGGTTATTTTTCTGTTTATCTCACCTAACTGCTGTTATGAAATCTTGCAATTACTTACCGGGATACAGTCGACTACAATATTTAGCCGAAGTCGAAAAGACAGGTTTCACATTAGGATAAAATTCCTCAGTGATGTCCCACACACGTAAGATTTGACCATCTCTTGGCCCTTCTACATACAACATTACTTTATCTCCTGTGTCTAATGCAAATCCTGTTATCAAATCATTTCTTGACCCCGTCTCTACCATCTGTTCATTAATTTCTGTAATATGCCGTAGTATTGTCATCACTGCCTCAGAGTCATCAAGAACACAATATAATCTGGAGTACTTTGTGAGTGCTTTATGAGGTTTGCATCCAACAAGACCTATAGATGATTCTAATGTCATTTGTGCTTTTAATATTACGTATGCCGGTACGATTATATCAGGCTTGATTGGTACTCGAACCGCATTTATATCGTTAGTGCAAATTTTTTCACGTTCTGTTGGCATCAAAACTATTTCAGGTGGATATATTGGAAACTCTCCTCTTTTAAATGTATTGATTGATTTTGATAGACATCTCGCATCAATTTTTGTAATGGCAATAAGGATGTCATTATCCTGGTTTGGCAACTTAGGCGGAACAGATCTGTAAAAGTCATGATCATTCTTTGCGTAACCGAATAATGATGTCTCCGTTACCGATGGTACTTGTCTAATGCCACGAATCTAAAATGAACAACGAGTAAGTACGTTTAAAACGGCCCATATAATATGTATTCGAATAAAAGAACAATAATACCTAACAATAACATTATCTAAAATATGTTTCGAGTGATTGCAGAGGTCCAAATGTAATGTAATGTAATAAACAAAAGTTTGTCAATGGACGGATCATTTTCTAACAGACATAGTTTAACCTTCTTGCCTAAAATTTAGCTACTCTTCAAATTATAAAATAAATAAATTATAATAATAAAGAAATATTTCAGACACACAACGCCATCTAGCACAGCATTTGCCATCTCAGCACAGCAGTCACAAACGCTACCATTGCACAACCAACGCAGTCATTTGAACTAAACTTATTGCATCAAATACATGATTATAAAACCATTTGAAATGAATATTAATAATTTCCAAAAAACGAGTCTCTTATAAGAAGTCTCTTAGGGTAGATATTTAAATCCTATCCTCATTCCATCGTTTTCTTTGCCCCAATTTACTTTCTTCCTAATTATCTAAAAATAATTCCTTTCTTTATCCCAATTTAATTTCTTCTTCATAATTTAGTTTGGACAAAGAAGCATAAACATGAGTTTATTCCGAGTAATTTAAATATTTTGTAGTTCATTTAATGGTTACTTACAAATTAAAACGCTAGTAATTTATGAAATCATTAAGCAAAAAGTATAAAATTTGATCCTTAAACATCAATAATAATCTATGTCAGCAGTTCAATTTAAAAAAAAAATATAATGAGTATTCTACCAGTCAATCTAGCTTTTTTATAGTACAAGTTATGCTTAGGTTGAAACTAGATGGCGTTCTGTGTCAGATCTCCGAAATGTTTAACTCTTTCAGGAGTATAATGTTTATGAATTAATTATATGGAAATTACCTCAATTTTAAAAGCATTATCCAGAAACGATGATAAAATATCTCCAGCCACTTCAAATTTTAGCGGTACTGCATGTTGGTCGTCAAAATCTATCTCATTTTTTATGTTTTGCGGCTTTGAACAGTGTACATCGTCACTTATTGTCCATTTGGTATACAGCTGTGTTATTCTGCAATGTACAATATAAGGGATATGGTATTTTTAAAGTTTTGCAATCTTATAATTCATAAAACTGCTCATTGCAGCCAAAGTAACTTTTAAATCCTTTTGAGGGATTAGGAATCTGCAGTTAACTGGATTCCTTTAAAAACAATGTAAAAGACGTGAAAAGCTGTCAAATATTATTTCTTACGGTGTGATGATCGGCCTCGAATCCAGTACGACACGGTTAAATTTCGATATTTTTAATTGGAGCGACTGCCATCAGATTTCCACAAACTAAGTACTTAGGCGATATCGAAGTTCTGTAGAACGACTGTTGTCGGACATTTTAGGGCTCCAGATACTCGTAACGATTAGACGAAGCGACTAGCATTGCGAAAGCCTGCATTGTCTTCTTCCAATGCAAACGGCTACTCGGCAAAAGCTGGGGACTATCATAAAAGATTGCAGTATGGCTCTATAGAACATAATATATCATAAGACCAATTGTCACTATTGTCCGGTGGCAGAGAACAGAGCTAAGCACCGTCATAAACAGATTGCAGCAATTCCAGCGACTCCCATGCTCTGCGGTCACTGGTCGAATGCGCATAACGCCAACTGCCGCACTAGAGGTGGCTCTTGGTCTGTCCGGATTTGTTCATAAAGTAGGAGGACTCAGACACCTGGGTTTATGGTATGAAGGTGAGGGTTCGCACTCCAAATGATGGGATCAATTAGTGAAATATGAAACACTAATAGCAGACCCATGCGATAGAATCCCAAAACAACATATCTTCACAAAAAGATACCAGATTCAGATACAAGAAAATGACCGAGATAAATCCGGCATTAACCAAGTCCGAATTTATACGGATGGTTCCAAGACTATGTCAAGAACTGGGGACGGTGTTTTCTCGCAGGACCCAAATATGAACATATCACCACCGTTAGGCCAGCACAGTTCCATATTCCAATGCGAATGTGTGGCTATAACTTACGCCGCCACAACGGCCATGTCAAGGGGCATTAAGGACTGTAACATCCGAATACTAACCGACAACAAAGCCGTCCTAAAGGCATTAGAGGGCAACAGAATGACCTCTGGTGTTATCTGCGAATGCCATCAAGCATTGGAGCAGCTTGCCAGATTAAATTAGGTACTCCTCCAATGGATTAAGGAAGCAAGCACACAGTAACGACGCCGCAGATAAGTTCGCAAGGAGGGGCTCGGCAACCCCGGCTACCGGCCCAACCATACTCCTGCCACTACCGTTCAACCAACTACGATTCAGGGCCATGCAATGGACTCATGAAGCACATAACCGGAGGTGAAAAGACTCACTCGGCTGTAGACAGTCCAAACTGGTGCTAACTGAAGTCACACCACGACTCAACTGCAGATTGATCAGTCTTAGCAGACTAGAAATCCGAATAGTTGTAGGAACTATAACAGGAAACCTAGCGCTGAACCGACAACTATTCACGGTTAATGCGACGGAGAGTCCCCTTTGCAGAGGATGTCTGAAGGTAGAAGAAACGGTCGCCATGTAATCCTGGAATGCGAGGGAGTGGCCTCACAACGGACAAGTATCATTCCTAATACAAAATCGCTTCTAGAAGCCTGTGAACGCCCCAGGAGGCTTCTGCGCTTCTGAAAGGAGCTTGGTTGGCTTACCCAGCCAACCTCTCCTTGACGCATAAAGGACCACTCTTGAGTCTAAATGCGGTTTCGGTTTCCGCATTTAGACTCAAGAGTGGTCCTTTACTAATACCACCCACAACCAATACTAATACCCGTAACGATTGCCACCGATGTTCATATGGCAACCGGGACCGATGGTTTACGTATTAGTGCTAAAATAAGGACATAGAAGCAATACTTTGTCAGCTTTTGACGACGTCTTCAAACTTTTCTTTTCTTATATTTTCTAACATTGATGTAACATTGATTTTGTACACTGTATTGTGCCTACTGTCAACAAGATTTTTTTTATCCCTTGCGATGACCCTCATGTAACCGATAGGATTACTAGTGTGTCTGGGCGAGCAGCGGTAGTCGGCTCCCACCCGAAGAGACGCGATCGATGCCAGTGTAGGAGGAATTTGAGCCTTAGGCGGTCGGTTTGATTCCGACACACTGCCTACTTAAAGCCGGTCAGGCTTTGACCCGAGGGCGTTTAAACACGTACAAAAAAAAGGATCATTAGTGCGTTGCCAACCTATTCTAGTTCCTCTTAGCTAGTAAAATTGTAACATGTACTCACCTTTGTTTCTTGCTGTACCTACCTATAGCTGTAATAATTGTCATTTTACGGCAACGCAACCTAATCATTAGGTAAGTTATTTGCTTATTTACGATGTGGAATATAATAGTAGGGTGGAGAAAATATTTATTCCCTTACATAACTGAACTTTTTAACATGTACATTCAACTTCACCTAAAGTGAATAGTCAGATAATGTCCACATTCAAATGTCTTATACCAAAATTGCCTGTCGTATTCAGTAGAATGATAGTTCTGGTTCATCAAATTTAGAACAGTATCGTCTATATATGTTATGGCGTAGTCAACCGCCTACGTTTCAATAACCTCCTAGAGCTTTAAACTTTGACCACTTTGACCTTTCTTAACCAAACTTGTACTCGTAATTACCACTGCCGAGAAGTAAATACACCTAAATTAAATAAATCATTAATTGGGTGACAGGGTGTAACGGTAATAGTTACTTAGCGCTTATTTATTTCAACTCCTCACAGAAAAATAAAATGATTAAATTATAAATTGCTTGAAGTTTTTCATATTCTATGTCCACATTCAAATGTCTTATACCAAAATTGCCTGTCGTATTCAGTAGAATGATAGTTCTGGTTCATCAAATTTAGAACAGTATCGTCTATATATGTTATGGCGTAGTCAACCGCCTACGTTTCAATAACCTCCTAGAGCTTTAAACTTTGACCACTTTGACCTTTCTTAACCAAACTTGTACTCGTAATTACCACTGCCGAGAAGTAAATACACCTAAATAAATAAATCATTAATTGGGTGACAGGGTGTAACGGTAATAGTTACTTAGCGCTTATTTATTTCAACTCCTCACAGAAAAATAAAATGATTAAATTATAAATTGCTTGAAGTTTTTCATATTCTATGCCTACAGCGCATACCCACAAAGTAGGTGCAGATACCCACACAAAACAAATACAATCGATGCTGCAACTGTCTTATTTGTAACTGATGATTCTAATAATACTCATCTAATCACTTCGTACACCGTAGCTAACTGTTTTTATTAAGTATGATTATTAAATCCTTACTTGCGTTTCTTTAATTCTTCAACAGGTATATCTGTGAGTCTGCCACAATTAACAAACACAACTGGAAAGTCATCGCGTGCTGGCAAACTGGCGGTCCCAATCAATACTATAATCTCACCAAGATCTGGTGGTCTATCGCCAGAATTTTTGAACGGCACTATTCTACCTGTACCTAAAATTATATGGAAGGAATTAAACTACTTGAATAATTGGGCGCATGTAAATTTCAAAATTTTCTTTTGTAAGTTATGTTTTAATGTAATTGGTCTTTAGCTATTAAACTAGTCATAAGTTACTTAATGTTTATATTTGTTTTAACGTTAATAAGTTAGATAGTCAGAAAAACGCCGAGATTAGTACATTATAGAATGGTGTCTCTATAAATTAACAAAAATGCATTTCAGATACATTGCTTTCTTTCGCTTTCTATATGAGAAGGTTGTATAACATTCGTTTCTAAAAAAAAAAAAACAAATTTAAGAAAATAACCATTTAAACGCATTTAACTGAACTGATAGAAAGTTGAAAGCCGACCCCAACCTTATACTGTGCGCTTAATTTATGCATAATTCATGTGTTATCAAAACGCATGGCCAATTAACAACCCAATGAAAATATTCAGCCACAGGAAGCACTCACGGTCAACGGACGTATTAGGAAATATTATGAAATAAAAATTATATATATGTAAATTCAATTTTAAAAAAATATGAAAAAACTTATTTACTTATTTACAGGGATCCGTAAATCTCAATTCATGTCTTGCTTGCTTCTTTGTGCAAATGTGTAAGTGTATTCTATTATTTGTAGAAATAAAACCAATTAGGTAATATGTTTAGTCTAGAGACTAAATTAATACGAACTATTTAATACGAGCCTAGCCTATTCGTTCAAGAAAAGAGCTTTCTGAAGCTCTTGGCAATCTAAGATCTTTAAGCAGATTTTAGAGGAATTTAGCTGGTATACTCCTCGCACCCACTTCCACGGCATACAACGCTACGACATCACCATTTTTAGTTATTTCGTTGGTTAAATCAAAGTAATTGTTTCTTTTTAAAGCGTGGTCTTTAGGGATGTTTGTTTCCAACGGCACCGTGAGTTCTAGTAGTACTACACGCGTAATTAACATTGCATAGAGAAATATGTCTGGTCTGGACGCTGACGCACAGATATCCTCCGGTATTCTGTAATGATTTTCATACGTGTCCACTAATAATGTCCAGTCACTGGCGGTATTTATAATGGAAAAAACCAGAAAAAAAACAAAATCACAAAGCGAAGTACTCACTCAACATCCACTTATTATAAACATGAGCAGTTAATCTGAAGAGGATGGGTACAAGGGCTTTCAAGCTCTAACAAGTAATTAAATTTCCTCGAACTTTGCTTACTGAACATTCTTAATAGGAATAATTGTCAAAATATTATTTTCAAAAGGCAATAAATACCACATTAGCAGAATCTTATTTAGGTACAAAATTTGATTCAAAACATTAAAGCCATTTCTGAGACTGTTGATGGCTTCTAAGTAATTAGACTGAATAGATTAAAGTTCCCGGATTTTAAACTTAATAACTACCTACCTTAAGACCGAGAATAAATAATTATTCTCAATATTTATGTTTAGGTTATTACAAATATCAAGAAATAAAAAATAACCTGATATAATCGCATCTCCAGACAAGGTAATCTCAAACTTCACCGGTGCTACTGCTACATTTTTCTTATCTTTGTCTTTTGTTTCTTTTGATTTGATTTCAGACTTACGATAAAGGGCTGGCGCTTTTTCGACAACATCCTCCTCTTTTTCAATTTCCTTTGGCAGTGCTTGGTTCAAAATTGTCTTCTGAACATGCTCTAGTACAGCGTCTTGGTGTCTTTTGTCTGAAATATAGAAGGACTGGTGTTTAATAGTCATAGACATTTTCTCTGTGACGACCATAGGGCGACTAATACTTAGGAGAGCTAAAACGTGGTAGACACACAAAAATTAAAAATGCGATATTGTCACAAATATAACATATAAAGAATATTTTTGAGAACCTACCCAGAGTACCTATTTACAGTACATAGTTTAATAGCATGAAGCATCACTGAACCCTCTCATACCGGCTGACGCAGGTGATCACTGAATCACGGAATGGATGCTTGGGAGATCACCTGTATCTGATCTGGAAGGAGCCAACCCTTGATTGCCACCACTGCGATGGCCGGACCGTGGACACGGTGATTCAAACGCTGGCAGAATGCCCGGAGTGGGTTGAGCAAAAGCGTGGCCGCGTGGCGGCCGTTGGAGTGGGAATTCTATCGCTCGAAAATATGATTGCCGCCATTGTACGAAGCGAGAGTGCGTGAAACTCCGCCATCTCCTTCTGCAAGCAGGTTATGCTTGCGAAGGAGATGGCGTAGCTAGACCGGGGGAGGTGCAGAATTTTCCCGGCCCGCCAGGCCCGAGAACGAGCCAGGTACCGCAGACGGCTTAGGCGCCGGAGGTCGCAGAACAACCTCCGTCCTCCATAATCGCAGGCCTGAGGGTGACAGGTGAGGCCATCTGTCACTCTAGCAGAAGCAGGCCGGCGTCCCGCGACGTGCGAAGTAGCACGTACGCTCTTCGGGGGCAGGAAGGGAACATTCGGGTTCCCACACAGGAGGGGGTTATCTATCAGCCGTAGATGGCCCGAGGTACGTCAAGGTGCCAGGGCGTCCCTTTCTAGGTTATACCTGGTCCCCAACTACTGGTACCTGGAGACAGCGTGCGGTTTTTGGTCGATTCGTGTCCGACATAATTACCCACTGATGGGTGGTATCCGAGGAGAGTTCCGCCCTGGAAAAAAGAAAAAAGATGGAGATGGAATGATATTTCAACTAATAAACATGAAAACGAATTGATTTATTTGTTTGTTTGTCAAGATTTCACGTCTTAACTACGGAATCGATCGTCATTCAATTTTACATTAAACGTTGCAAGGAGCAGACAAATTTTCGAATGATAGAAAGAGCAGTTCCACGCTAGGGTGAAAAAAAAAGTCCATTGCGTGTGGTCCAGTGGGTGGCCTACGTGTGTACGGGTGGCATGCGACAGCAGGGGGGGGGTCGATAATGGACCTTCCTTTCTATACCCCTGCCTTGCTGCACGAGTAAGGAACTGGCGTGTCCTGGAAGAAGTTGAGACGCTCTCGGATCACTTATATATCCGATTTGAGCTCTCCCGGACCCAGGACCCCAGTAGGAGTCACGTGGAGCGGCGTTCCTCCCGCTTTCCAAGGTGGGCTGCTGCTAGACTGAACAGGGACGTACTAGAGGAGGCAGCCATAATTTTGTGATGCGGCCATGACCCGCATCCGAGGTCGTCCGCCTCCAAGGAAAGAGGTTTATTGGTGGTCCCAGGAGTGGACCTCCGTGCGGCCTGTACAGGTGCCCGGAGGTATTATACCCTAAGTCGGCGGCGTCACCGTGAAGACGGTGAGGAGGACCGGCTTCATGAGGAGTATCGAGAGGCGCGGAAAATTCTGAAGCTGGCCATTAGCCGTGCCAAAGAAATAAAGAGAAAGGAGATGCTGGAGAGTCTCGACCGTGACCCCTGGAGTCATCCCTATCGCGCGGCGCAACAAAAGCTCAGGCCCCCTTACGGAGACTCTCCAGCCCAGCTTCCTGCAGACAGTGGTTGAGCGCCTTTTCCCACAACTGGCGGAACACACCCCCGTCGATGGCCTCCTTGGTCGGAGACGACGGTGAAAACGAGGATGATGTTTTGCCTGTCACGGATTCGGAGGTAAGGGTGGCTGTTCTAGGAATCCGCTCCAAGAACACCGCCCCCGGGCCAGGCGGAATACCTGCCCGAGTGCTGGCCTGAGCTCTCGACCACATGTCGGACCGCCTCTGGGAGGTGTTTGACGCTAGCTTGGCGTCCGAACGTTTCCCTGAGTGCTGGAAGAGCGGGAAGCTGGTCTTGTTAAGAAAGCCGGGACGGCCAGCCCGTTTGGTCGCGGCCTACAGGCCCATCGTGTTGATCGTCTTCGATGAACACTTCCGACAGCTTGCTCCAAAGCTTGTCGGTGTTGCGCGAATCTACCCTTGGGCGAATTTTGCCCAATCTGGATAAACCCAGCCGCAACGAGACGTTTGTACACGGGGGTTGTCCAGTGAATGGCAGGGCAGTGGCGGTTGGAGCTATACGTGGTTACCGCACCGTGTCGACGGAGATGGCGTGCGCTTTGGCCGAATTCCCCGTTGGATTTGGAAGCTACAGCTCGACCAAGTATATCGGCGGACGGCTAAGTTCTGGACGGGTTGCGGCGGCCGGCCCCCGCCCGAAGAGGTACACGAGTAGCGTGAGGCCATTTGCCGAGCCACGATGTTTTACTGCGGGGCCCGGATGTCTTGATGACAGCAGTTCCCGGGCCCGTTCTATTACAGGCGCAGAGTGGCACACCGTGTGATTTTAGTCGGTCCGATTCCGACACACCACCCCGCCGTAAAGGGGGCTAATTAAGTTCCAAAATTTGTTCTTCGGTTCGTATAATTGTTTTTGCCTCAAATATGCTGTTTATTTATAGATTTTATAATGTCTATTGCGATATCGATATCTAGTTTGTCTAAACAACTTCATGTTTGATTCTAGATTTAAGTCTAAAATGTTCTAGATTTAACTAAAATGAATCCAGGATTCTTACAGTAAACAATTTACAAATTTGATCTAAGAAGGGACAAACTTAGAACAAACTTCTTGAACAAAAATAGTATTCGTAAAGCAACCAGTTTTAGTATAAAATGTTTGAAATGTAATCGTGTTAAATGTGAAATATGATTAACATATAACCCTGTTGTGGTTAGATAAGCCAACGTGAGCACAATCTACGAGTATATAACAAGTCACAAATCTAAATAAATATTCCTTTCGTTTTTTTTGTTGTTAATACGTGAAAGGCGCTCACTACTAATGTTCAATGCTAATGCTGTATTCTGAGCAATATACCACTTTTAACCAACTTACTCTTTGGCTTCTACGCTAGAATTACATGTATTAACCTGTTACGGGGTGTGGAATATCCATCGGTCCGTCATTGTTTGAAGCCGGTATAAATGCAACAATACAACTCCATATTAAATTATAGATAAATTTCGAAATGCTTTCTTCTACTTCATGTTCGCACACTGTAGCAAACTGTCGCCGTTCTCCGAAAGAGAGCTTAGGCAGGTATACTTCCGTAGATTTATCAGTTTTAGCACTAAAACGTAAAATAGACATAGAGAGACACAAATATAAGGATGTTTCTTGTGACACCAATTTTACATCATCTAACTTCGGTATTAAATCAATCAATCAATCATTAATGACAAATATTGCTGCATTAGTTAGCATTGAATTCCTTAACTCTGATTTTAATATGTTATCATGGTCATCACGTGTCCCTAATTTAACTTCAGTTTTTATATTTCGTTTCAAATATGTATCACCGTATGATATTTTGATCTTAAAATTTCTGAAGTCTCAATAGATTATAATTTTTAAATGGTGTTTTAATGTGCCCTACACATAAAAAAACAGAAGCTTTTTTCGAATCTCACAGAGCTTCCTGAAATTACCTAATTAAGAGCTCGGCTTAGAATAAATATATATTTATATTGGTAATTTGTAATACACCACTATATAAAATAGTATTTCTATATAACTTTAGAGGGAAGAATACAAATAAAATTACTTCGTGCCAAGATATCCAAGACCCATGTTAGCTGATACAGTAGCAGTAAAGTATCTGTAGTCTGTTACTCTTACGGGCAAAACATGACGAATTGAGAAGGCCAGCCATCTTCTTTGTAAAAAGTGCCAAGTTCGAACCCATCCACTGTTGATACCACACCATACCTGAGAATGTTACAAAATGTATGTATGAAATACTAAACCTATTATTATGAACAAATTTATGAATGTAACAAAGACTCATTTTGTTTACTATTGTCATCGATAGAATCTAAGATGAACTTATTTTGATAGATATTTTTCGTGTGTACATATTCCATAAATTTGATATCATGTTCCATACAAGGCCACAATCAATTGAACTTTACACACTACCACAGATTTCAATCGATTATGCCGAACCTGACCCGGTCGTAGGTTAGGTTCGGAGCTTGCCAGATCAATATTGGGCATTCTGCGAACTGCACATTCTGCAAAATAAACATTCTACGATCATTGGACATTTTGCAACTTGGACATTCTGCGCCTGAACCAGGGGAAACCTATCTACATTGCATTTCGGGTTATGATAGGAACGATACGTCGGGTCAGTTAAGGAAGAGGATTAAGTTCGAAACAATTTTGTTTTTTTTCAAAAGTTACTAACCCAATCCGCGACTGGGTCAGAATTTCGGGCCAGGTTCAGCATAAGAAAATTAAATCCATAATAAAATCATGTATTTTAATAAAAGTAGATAAATATATTTTTTGACTACCTTACTAACTTAAAAGCAAAGGTTTCTGCTTTGAGTAGGTATTACACACAGACGTACTCTCCGTTGCCAATACTACCCTTGGGCGAATACAATCCCTTTTGCGCCTTGGAAAAAGCAGGCTTTTTAACCTATTTCTCGATTTTGGTTTTATTTTTTGTGTGCATGCTTAATAAGGTACAGGTATTATTTTTTGGTTAGAATAAGGTATAACTTATTTGGGGTGCTAGCTAGAAAACCTCCCCGTGGTGCACCCTGGAAACGCTGGCGATGGTACTGTTTCCTCCTTGTCCCCTTGGAGGAGAGGATTATCGCCAGCGGCCAATATTCTAGCAGAAGAGGTAGCCGTTCATCGGCTCTCGGGCAAGGCCTGGTCCAGCAGGGTGGGCGTGTCTGCCGGTTGCCCTGCTGGCTCTTCGCTCTTCGGAGCATGGAGTAGGGGCCACAGTTTCTCCGCTGATAGCGGTGGAGAAAGGAGGACGGGCTCGGCGTGTACTGACACTACCACCGAGCAGGCAGGGGGACGTAGTCTCCCTGTCAACCGTCGGCATATCGCAATCCCGAGAAGAGCGCTGTGGTTAAGTCTCGCGGCTCTGATCGGGGGCGAGGGTCTTGGCTTAACCGCCCGGACCGCGAGGAAGATAACCTCTCTAAAAAATTCCCCGAATCCCGTGTTCTGGTGCGTGGCCAGGGGATGCATGGCTGATGGGAAGTTCAGTCTCGAGCGCACTCCAAGCCGAGGTACCTGCGGACCCCTCGGTTGGGTTAGAAACTTACGCTTGCCCGGGTAATGGGGGATCTCTGCCCGGGTGGACCTTTAGTTCTCCCCCACTCGTGGGATTTAATATGGATAAAATTCAAAACCTAAAACAACAAAAAACGATCGGAAATAACCAACAACAGAAGGCAAGTCTAACGGAAACGAAGAAAACGAAGTTAAGGAAGGAGAAGCAGAACAGTGGAGTCGATGGGTCGTCCACTGAGAGTGAGGTGGCGTCGGGAACGCCTATCTCGATGGGGCTCCCAGAGGTCAGTCTGACTCTGGTCTCTGGGAGCCGAAGAGCATCGGACCGTATTCGTTCCGGATCCGCCGCTTCGTCGGATGGCGCGGAGGCCATGGAGGCGGAACGAAGCGACAGCCGGAAACGCGGACGCTCCAGGGAAGAGGAGACCGACACGTCCGGCGAAATGATGCCACCCAAAGTGGCAAGCAGCCGCCGAGGGAGGGCACGCAAACCGGCCTCGGTCGCGATCCCGTCAGGCTCCGCGTTCTCCAACGCGGAGTCGTACAGAAGTGTACGGGTGGACGGCGAGGCCGTAGCGGAGGAGGAGATCGCGGATCTCCTGCTCAAGGTTCGGGAGCCGGTGGGGGGAAATGCCCCCCAGGCTCCCGTGTCCGTGCAGGAGAGGGCGAAAGCGGCGGTGGCCGTCATTCACAAGGTGGCCACCAAGTCCGTGAACCTTAAGGGCTCGTTTGTGAGGGCCCTTAAGGACTCCTCCTCCGCTTTGTCGGAGGTCGTGGAGGGCCTAGTGGGCGATGTGTCTCGCCTGCAGGTGGCCAACGAGAGGCTGACGGAGCGGGTGAACGAGCTGAGCGCTCAGTTCGCCCGCTTCCAGGCGAACCTCCCCGAGCGGGAAGCCCCGTCCGCGTCCCAGCCTGCCCCTACCACCAACTCAGGGGCATTTGACTCCCAACTGCGAGAAATCCTCATCGCAGTTGGGAATATGCTGGACGGACGCCTGGCTGGCCTGGAGGCGAGACTGCCCCCTGCGCCGATTATGCGCCCCCCGCTCGCGTCGGCACAGCGGCCTAAGGCCGCCGCTCCGACCGCGCTCCCCGTGGTGGGAGGCCGCGTTTCTTACGCGGCGGCGGCGTCTGCCCCTACTCCATCGGCTCCACAAAAGCCGAGGAGGGGGGCCAAGGCACCGGCCCAGGCGCCGGCCAAGGCACCGTCCCAGGCGCCGGCCAAGGCGCAGGCCAAAGTGCCGGCCAAGACGGGGCCTAAAACGGCGCCGAGGAGCGGAGTGGCATTCCCTCCGCTCCCTACTCCGACACCCCTGCCGGGCCCCTCCGCACCTGCCCCCTCCAACGAGGGTTGGCAGGAGGCGAGGGGATCCAAGAAGTCCCGAAGGCGGGCCAGAAGGGCTGCCCAAAGAGCAGCCCAAGCCCTGCCTTCGCCACCGGTAGCAACGGCCTCTGCAAAGAGGCCGCGGAAGCTGCAGCCGCCCAAAACCGCGGCTGTAGTGGTGACCGTGTCCCCGGAGGCGGCGGACGGCGGGCTGTCCTACGCGGCCGTCTTCAAAAAGGCCCGGGACAGCCTCGCCAACGACTTTGGAACGGTGGGGGTCAGGATGCGCCTCGCCCAGACGGGAGCTCGAGTACTCGAGTTCCCCGGGGCTGAAGGCGCTAAGACGGCAGACACATTTGCCGAGAAGCTGCGGGGTTTATTCGCGACCACAGATGGTGTAAAGATCGCCAGGCTGGCCTACTAAGTGCGCAGAGTTGCGCATCTCGGGCCTGGACGACTCCGTAACGGCCGAAGATATCCGCGCTGTAATCCGGGAGAAGACGGGGTGCAGCGCGGACAACGTCAGGGTCGGCACCATCCGCCCCGGTCCAGGAGGGCTTGGCGCCGTGTGGGTCAGCTGTCCCGTAGCGTCGGCCAAAGTATTGGCCGACGCCGGCAGGCTGCTCATCGGTTTCGTGAGCGCCAGGATCACAGTCCTGGCGGCGAGACCGATGAGGTGCTACAAATGCCTAGCATCGGGACACACGCGCGTCAAGTGCGACAGTTGTTTTGACTGCGGCGGACTGTGTTTCCGCTGCGGTCAACCGGGGCATAAGGCGGCAGAATGCTCTGCCGCCCCTCACTGCCCAGCGTGTGCGGCGGGCAATAAGCCCGCCAATCACCAGATGGGGCGGAGAGGCTGCAAGCCTCCCCGCAGTTCTCGGCAGACGTCAGGGGCTAGCCAGTCGACCCAGGCTACCCCCGACGTCAATATTGCGTCGACGTCGTCGCCCATGGAGGAGGTTGTAGAGACGATCCAGTAATGGATCAAGTCTCCAACCTCCTGGTCCAGACGAACCTGAACCACTGTGCCGCGGCGCAGGATCTCTTCCTGCAAACCATGGCACAGTGGTCGATAGGTGTTGCCGTAGTCGCGGAGCCCTATTCTGTCCCTCCCCGTCCAAACTGGATGGGTGACTGGGACGGCTCCGTGGCAGTCGTCGGTTCCACGACGGCTCATTCCCCGCCCTTGTCGCTAAGAGACAAGGGCACTGGATATGTTGCCGTCGAGTGGGGGGGGGATCACCATATATGGCGTTTATTTCTCCCCCAACCGGAGTTTGAACGACTTCGAGGTTTTCCTAACCAGCTTGGAGACCTCGATACGGCGACTAGCGTCTGGGCACGTCCTTGTGCTGGGGGACTTCAACGCAAAGTCCATTGCGTGGGGTTCCCCCAGGACGGACGCAAGGGGCGAGGCCGTAGAGGAGTGGGCGGCCTCGGTGGGCCTCTGTCTTCTCAACAGAGGCTCCTCCAACACGTGCGTGCGACAGCAGGGGGGGTCGATAGTGGACCTCTCGTTCGCTACCCCTGCCCTCGCCGCACGAGTAAGGAACTGGCGTGTCCTGGAAGAGGTTGAGACGCTCTCGGATCACCTGTATATCCGATTTGAGCTCTCCCGGACCCAGGACTCCAGTAGGGGTCACGTGGCGCGGCGTTTATCCCGCTTTCCGCGGTGGGCTGTTGCCAGACTGAACCGGGACCTACTAGAGGAGGCAGCCATAATTCACTCGTGGCTGTCTCCTCAGGCTCCGACCGAGGAGGTCGACGTGGGGGCTGGTCGCTTTCGCGATGCGATTACGCATGTATGAGATGCGGCCATGCCCCGCATTCGAGGTCGTCGGCCTCCAAGGAAGGAGGTCTACTGGTGGTCCCAGGAGCTGGCGGACCTCCGTGCGGCCTGTACACGTGCCCGGAGGTCCTACACGCGCAGTCGGCGGCGTCACCGTGGAGACGGTGAGGAGGACCGGCTTCATGAGGAGTACCGACGGGCGCGGAAAACTCTGAAGCTGGCCATTAGCCGCGCCAAAGAAGAAAAGAGACAGGAGATGCTGGAGGGTCTTAATCGTGACCCCTGGGGTCGCCCTTACCGCGCGGTGCGACAAAAGCTCCGCGCGTCGGGCCCCCCCCTTACGGAGACTCTCCAGCCCAGCTTCCTGCGAGAAGTGGTTGAGGGCCTTTTCCCACAACGGGCGGAACACACTCCCCCGTCGATGGCCTCCCTGGCCGGAGACGACGGGGAGCACGGGGAGGATAATGTTCCGCCCGTCCGGGATTCGGAGGTAGGGGCGGCTGTTCTACGGATCCGTTCCAAGAACACCGCCCCTGGGCCAGACGGGGTACCGGCCCGAGTGCTGGCCCTGGCCCTCAACCACATGGCAGACCGCCTCGGGGAGGTGTTCGACGCTAGCTTGGCGTCGGGACGCTTCCCTGAGTGCTGGAAAAGCGGGAAGCTGGTCCTACTGAGGAAGCCGGGACGGCCAGCCGATTCGGTCGCGGCCTATAGGCCCATCGTGCTGCTGGACGAGGCGGGCAAATTGTTTGAGAGGGTTCTTTCTGCCCGCATCGTCCGGCACCTCTGCGAGGTGGGCCCCGATCTGTCGGACGCCCAATTTGGTTTTCGGGCGGGGCGTTCGACAGTCGACGCCGTGTTGCGCCTGAGGGCCGTGACCGAAGAGGCCGTGAGCTGTGGCGGCGTGCTGTTGGCGGTGTCATTAGACATCGCCAACGCATTCAATAGTCTGCCATTCATCTGCATCAGGGAAGCACTCCACTATCATGGGATGCCAAAGTACCTGAGGCGGCTAGTGGCAGACTATTTAGAGGAGCGTACCGTCGTGTACTAGGACCGAGAAGGTAATCTGAGGTGTCGGCCCATGTCGTGCGGTGTTCCACAGGGGTCTGTTCTTGGACCCCTCTTGTGGAACATAGGGTACGACTGGGCCCTTCGCGCCGATTTCCCCCCTGGGCTGGGTGTAATCTGTTACGCAGACGATACCCTCGTGACAGCCCGGGGGGCAAACTTCCAAGAGGCGGCGCGCCTGGCCACAGGGGGAGTCTCCCTGGTGGTCGGGCGCATTGAGGCGCTGGGCTTACGGGTGGCCCTAGATAAGACGGAGGCCCTGTTATTTCATGGGCCTCAATCGTGGTCAACTCGGTCCTCGTACCGGTTCGGGCCCAGATGAAATATCTTCATCGTTTCGACGGAGGTGGCGTGCGCGTTGGCCGGAACTCCCCCGTGGGATTTGGAGGCGGAAGTGCTCGCCGAAGTTTATCGGCGAGTGGCTGACTCCCGGGCGGAGAGCGGATTTCGCCCTCCGCCCGAGGATGTGCGCGAGTGGCGCGAAGCCGCTCGCCGAGCCACGATGGCTCGTTGGTCGTTCCGGCTGGAGACTCCACGCGCTGGCTTCGCCGCCGTGGAGGCTCTCCAGCCGGTCATCGCCGAGTGGGCAGGGCGGCAGCACGGGACCCTTTCCTTCCGGCTGACGCAGGTGCTTTCCGGGCACGGTTGCTTCGGAAAGTACCTGCACTCGGTCGCTAGGAGGGAACTGAGTCCCGCCTGCCACCACTGCGACTGCAGTGAGGACTCGGCCCAGCACACGCTGGCGGTCTGCCCCGCATGGGCGGCGCAGCGCCGGGCCCTCACTGCAGTCATCGGAGTGGATCTCTCGCTACCGGCCGTAGTACGCTCCATGGCCGGTAGCGACAGTTGTTTTTACCGCGGTCGCAACCTTCTGCGAGGTAGTAATCTCGCGGAAGGAGGCGGCGGAGAGGGCCCGGGAGGACGACCTCCACTCGGACCCGATCCGCCGCCGGCGAACCGGGCGGCGGAGGCCCGCCTATCACAGCCTCATGCCGCCCTGAGTGTGGCCGCGGGTGGACGGGGTGGGTTTCCCCTCCACCCGCATTAGTTTGGCCAGCCGCGAGGGGGTGTGCCGGACGTCGCCTATAAAGAGAGGAGAAACATCGAGACGGAGCCCGCACCAGGAGCGGGCTGGCGCTAGGAGGGGTCCGGATGTCTTAACAACAGCTGTTCCCGGATCCCTCCTGTTACAGGCGCAGAGTGGCACACCGTGTGGTTTTAGTCGGTCCGAGTCCGACACACCACCCAGCCGCAAACCCCGGAGGGGTGACGGTCCGAGGGGATTTCCACACGTTAAAAAAAAAAAAAAAAAAAAAAAAAAAACAAAAAAAAAAAAAAAAAGGTATAACTGATTTCCTTAAACGTTGTAGAGGTGAGAGATGAGAGTTAGAGTGAGCCCAAAAAATCTTAACAGCAATACTTTTTATATCTTGCTCAGATTTTATATTGAGGTAAAGTATGAACAATAGGGAAATTGTTAAATAAATTGTATGGAAAAGTTATTAGAGGTTTTTCCCAAGTACCTGTATGTCGAGACAAATATAATTTACTGCTACCTTAGCAACGTGAGGCCAAATCATAATCTCTGCTTCATAAAGAAATCCAGGCGCCAAAACATACTGTAGTTTCATTCCTTGAACAGGCCCAGGTCCTAAATCTAGCCATCCTTCATTGCAATCGTGAAATACATCTATACCAAGAAGTTCCACAACAAAAGTGAGCGTAAATGAACTGCTGCAACATGTTTTGACTGGGTCACTGTTAGATTTTAGCGCTGCCTTATTCATTTGAAAAAGAGTAACATTTAACAATTATAAAAGCTACTCTGTGATGAAATTAAAAATTATGTCCAAGTATACTTATATCACTGCGTCATATATTGATATTAAGTATTAATGTTTGTTGTTTCGTATTTCCTTCATATCAAATGCGTTTTGACACTGACGCACTTAAAAACAACAAAGTATGGCAAAACAACCGTTTTTTTTACCAACTTCCGAAACACAAAAGAGGAGGTTATCAATTTGTCTATATTGTTATATTTTTTATATAAAGACGTTTTCTAGTAATTTAACTTGAGTCTTCCAGTGTCAGTAGATACTCTAATGAGCACCTGCTACAGATTACTCTGTATTAAGTAGTGGTTGATTCACAAGAACCTGGAGTCGGTCACATTTGTAAATGATCACCATTTCTGATGATAAAAACAAAACAACATTGATAAGACCTTATGTGAGAAGGAAAATTTTGTGTTAATAATGAACGGCATGATTCAGTGGCGGATTAACCCTAAGGCAAAGCAGGCACATGCCTAGGGGCGCGCGCGCACCAAAATATATATATATATATATATATATATATATATATATATATATATATATATATATATATATATATATATTTTATTATATATCATATATATATGCTTAACATATAAAGAACTATGTCAGTAAGTATGCACATACTTACACAATATAAACAATTATTTAATTCTATAAAGATGTTTAAAGTTGACATCTAGGATTTATATTAAGTAATAGCCACTATTTCTTTGTTTTCATTTTCTGATACTTAAGAAGATAGAGGCTAGTGCGTGTACACAAAAAGTTGCTACAACTGCAGCTGTAGCTAAAATTACTCTTAAAGTGCACCGGTGTGAGCGGCAGCTATGATCGCCCATTGAAGGCCTTCAGAGGGTGGTGGTGGATCTCTCCCATGAGATTAGTCCCGGAGAAAGTCGTAGAAAGTAACCAGCAGTCGATCGCTAGGAGTGAATTGAATTGCACCTGTTACCACTGCAGTGCAGTTAGAATTCAGTTCAGCACACACTCATTGGGCACTCATTGCAATCAGCGGAGAGGATTTCTCGCTCCCAGCCGTTACACGCTCCCTGGCTGGCGCACCTTTTAGCACTTCATGCCGCCCTAAGTGGGGTCCTAAAGGAAGGAGAGGGTTGAGCGGGACCTAAAGAGGCTTAGAACTCTCCGGGTAAGCGAGGCCCAGGAAAAAAAAAAATTGTAGTCATCACTATCACACATTTAGTAGCGTACTAGTACCTATTAAAAAATATAGCATGGGCGCTAGAGGGATGGTGCGGTGGAGGAGGGGCGCCGATGAGATGCTTACCTAGGGCGCTCTTGATACTTAATCCGCCTCTGGCATGAATGATTGTATAGATTTTGTTTTCTAAATTGTGTCTTTTATGCGATTTCATTAAATAGTAGCCTAGCCTAGTTTATTAGTAGTAGTTTATATGACTGTTTACCTACGTAGCTATAATATATAGTCAGTTATAAAATTTACTCTAGGCGCGGCTCGGCACTAGCTTGCGTTGATGGTTCGGCACTTGGGCGGTACAGCGTCGGGTCCTCGCTACAGTCATCGGAGAGTCGCAACCTTCTGCGAAGACGTCATCTCGCGGAAGGACGTGGCAGAGTGGCCCGGGAGGAAGATCTCTACCCAGACCTAATTTACCCCCGGTGAACTGATTGAACAACCCTGATTGTGGTCGCGAGTGGATGTAACGGGTTTTTCCGAGATTATGTTCAGCCGTGAGGAAGTGATGCTCGCTTATGCTTGGACGTCGCCTGAATAGAGTTTTACTCGGAGATGGTGCCCGTGTTACTGCGGGCAGGCGCTAGAAGGGTTTCGGATGTTTTAATAATAGCTATTCCCAGATCCCTCCTATTTCAGGCGCATAGTGGCACAAAGTGTGGTTTTAGTCGTTACGATTCCGACACCCGCGCCACGCGTGAAATCTCAACGGAGAAAGGAGACTCTAGTTAGGTTTATAATCACCCAAGAATTACATTTTATTCATCGTATAAATAAAGTGACGTTTGCGATTAATGTTATTATTACTACTGTGATAAGAATACCTAGTGCGCGCACATATCTACCTAATCCTACTTAATCTAACGGGTACTGTTTGATTTCTATAATATGTATGGCAGAATCGCGTAAACGCACGGAAATTCACCCGTACACGCCTTCAAAAAAAAGGCAACGACTTCAAAAGTATTACCAGGTCATTAAATTCCAAAAAAAATAAAAAAACTTCAAAAGTAGGCAACACTACCCTCACGTTCTTCTATTTTCCTGTCACAATCTGTCACAATAGTGTAGGCATTTTCAAATTTCAAAACAAAGCCTATTTTTGTCGAACGAAATAAACGAAATAGACACGAAAGAAACATGTGGTCTTGGAAAATGAGCAGAACCTTTGGTGATAGGACTATGCATGTAAATTCACAGTAAGTTTTAAAATTTGCAGTTGCTAACTTGACAATAAAATTATTTATATTTAAAAAGTTCTAACTATTACAGAGCTTCTAAGAATTCTCAGCGGAATTTATTGTGTTCATCACGATCTATTCAAAGAAATAATGAGCGGCATTCGCACTCCACCATTGATACAGTTGAAGTAGAGGTATTTTCAAAACATATGTCGGACTGGTGGAATCCAGACGGGAAACTAGCACTATTGCATGGTTTTAATGCTTTAAGGTAAAAAAATGTTTAATCTAAATTAGACAGATTATTTTGTCATGTAAAATAGACGCCTATCATTGCTCGATTTCAGATTGATTGTTATATGTAACTAGCTGACCCGCGCAACTTCGTCTGCGTCTCTCAATAGTATTAAATTTTCTCCGTTTTTGAAACATTTCATTGGTGATTCGCTCCTATTGGTCTTAGCGTGATGATATATAGCCTATAGCCTTCCCCGATAAATGGGCTATCTAACACTGAAAGAATTTTTCAAATCGGACCAGTAGTTCCTGAGATTAGCGCGTTCAAACAAACAAACAAAAAAACTCTTCAGCTTTATAATATTAGTATAGATTGTGATATAAATCAAACAAAAGAGTATATAGAATGTACAAATATTTCACTTTACTAATACATTTATTACTTAGGTTAATCAAATCATTCTTTTATTGCCTTATAAAATAATGATGATACTTTTTTGTATTATAATGGCTAAAAGTACTAAAACAATACATTTCAACCACCAGCAATGAAATGCACTTATAATTTCTTTTTCTTTTGCTTCTAATTAAATAAAATTAGTTTATCAATAGAATAATAATGGCTATTTGAAAACAAGATTATTATTACTATTATATTAGATTTTTTTTTAAATTACTATGGTCTTGTTAAGTAAAAGAGTACACAAAAAGCTACAAAGATGTTTATTATGTCACACTATGAGTATCTACAAAATATAAACAGTATCTCATGTTTAAAGGGCATTAAATACATACAATTTACTAGACAATATGCCCTTTGAACACTATTGCTATTGTATATCAAGCTGTTTTGTTCCTTTAGGGTCACTGGTTGCATTACTAATGGTAACAGATAATTCTCTCTCATATATACACATAAAGTGTTGTGAAAGAATATTTCTCAAAATATCACACCTTAATAAAACTGCAAAAGATGATTTACTTTCTAGTAAAAATATATTGTTACCTGTGACCTACTCATTATTGTATTAGTATGAGGACAATAATTTGACATGTTATAATTTTTTTTTTGTTTAAAATACCACTCCTGCTGTAGGAATATATCCTGTGTCACAGGGGAATTCACAAACAACCACCGAACGGGCCCAACGAACACCCAGACTCAGAACAACAATTTAATGATCACACAAAGTTTTGATCCATGTGGGGATTGAACCCACAACACTTGGCACAGAAGAGATGACACAGGCAAAGTGACCGTTTATCCCACTACGCCATCTGTGCAGTCAAGTCTTTATTTCAATAACACATTTCTTCTTTTTCAAGATTTCCTAAATCATAATAAGTCAAATTTTCACTATATTTATGTACTACGGAGTTAAAAAACTTTTTAACCTACAAATATAAACTGTAAATCTTTCATTATAGCTTTAAGGACATGTTTTTAGAAGAATTAACCAATAACTGATTATAAATTTCAGAGTGCCACTTATAAGAGATGGTTTAGTACAGTGCGCAACTGAAGAAAGAAAGCTGCAACCTCTTAAAAATATTAAAATTTTAGATGTTGGCTGTGGAGGTGGCATATTATCAGAGGTAAGCTGAGCCTTACAATCATAGTATTATAAACTCTGGTTACTATTTTCCTGTAGTTTAATTAAAGTTCAATAATATGTAGTGTAAAAAATTCAGTAACTAGAAACATACAGTCTAAAAGCACTTCATAGTATATGATAATTTTAACTTTTTTTTAGTTTAAGGAAGGTTGTCATTACCATGGCTTCTAGCTATTGTTTCGTATAGATGTGTGTGACCCACATGTTATACCAATTCATTTATTTTGCCAATTAATTCTAATCATAAATGAAAAACGAGCAAAGAATGATGAATTGAGCAAATTATCTTTAAATAGTTAAAGGCCTATGTATATTTTCAGGCTTTGGCGAGGCTTGGTGCCACTATTACTGGTATTGATGCTAGCGAAGACCTCATTAAAATAGCTGACGAACACAAGAACATTGATCCTAAAATAGCTAAATGTAAACCTACATATATCCATACAACAGTAGAGGTAATGAAAACCGATATTTTATTTATCACCAAATTTTTTAGACATTTCATATGTCTAAAAAATTTGTGACTGTAGAAAAACCACCTCAAAAAGCAAGCAGCTTCGCTCTGTTGAACACTATTGTTACAGTGCACATAGTGTAACATAAGAACACTTCTCAGTAACTTAGCTTTGGTTATTGCTTAATTGACATCAAACTATTTTGTGAGTTAGCTTATGTGACCTAATAGTTATAATTATTTTGTAGGATCATGTAAATAAGTTCGCATGTTGTTACAACTGCGTTGTTGCTTCAGAAGTTATAGAACATGTTAATAATCAGGATCTATTTGTGAAATCATGTGTACGAGCTTTAGTTCCTGGTGGCAAGATCTTTTTTACCACACCCAATAGGACCAGACTGTCACAATTAGTGGTTATCCTACTCGCTGAGAGAATGCTCAAAATGGTACCAGATGGTGCCCATGAATACGAAAAATTCGTAACGCCGACAGAACTCTCTTTTATGTTAGAGAAAAGTAAGTCATGTAAAACCTTTTAAACCCTGATTTTAATAGTCCAATGCTGGACATAGGCCTCTCTTTAGAAAGGAGATTTTGGTCTACTATATCACACAGGCCATACAGGTTGGTATAGGGTTTGTTTCAAGTTTTCCTTTGCAGTGGTGTTGTCCTGCGCAGTTTGCTCCCTTAGTCGTCACTTACGACGTCCATTGAATGAATAAGGGTGGTGACACTCCGTATTCTTGGACGATTCGATTATATACCGATCTAAAAAAGTTGTCGAATAGAAGTTGATAATATAAGGTTTTCACATATATGAGATACATATACTCAAGCCTATGTCCCCAATGCGGTTCAACAGAGAGACAATCATATTTTGTCAAATATAATAGACGTAGCAGGCGCATGCTAATTTCCCTTTAACCAATCCCTTTGGGTATTAGAGAAGTCTGTTGCCTTAAATTCAAAACCGTCAAAACTGAAGACATGGTTATCATAAGGTTTCACTTTTTCATTAGTATATAAAGGTGTCTCAGTAAGAGTGCACTTTTTTCATTTTAAAATAAAAACGTCTTTTATGAGAATTGTGATATTGTTACTGGATTGTAAAGAAGACATGTCACATGACAGACATGTGACATTAAGTATGGAATAAAATATCCGGCAAATGGATAGCAGAGCCCCCACGGCTCTGATGACAGGTCATTACTTTTTTCATGAAATTTTCCATGACTTCTCTCGATCTTTGATTTGAGCTCAGGAATTGTTTCTGGTTTATTCGCATAAACCCGAGATTTCACTAAACTCTAAAGAAAAAAATCGCACGGCGTTAAATCGCACGATCTTGGTGGCCAGTTGACATCAGAATTTCGTGAGATAATGTGTTCTGGAAATCGTCGCTGCAATAAGTCGATTGTTTCATGCGCGGTGTGGCAATGGGCGCTGTCCTGCTGAAACCACATCCATGTCCAGATCCATGCCGTCCAGTTGAGGCCACAAGAACTCCGTTATCATATTCCTGTAACGAATGCCGTTCACAGTCACTGCAGTTTCGGCCTTATCTTCAAAAAAGTAAGGCCGAATCACGCCACTTTACCAAAATCCGCACCAGACAGTGGTTCGTTGTGGGTGCATTTGTTTCTCATGGATTGCATGAGGATTTTCTGAGCTCTGAATTCGACAATACATAAATTTTGTATATTCGCGTAGCCATTCAGATGGAAATCCGCTTCATCGGACTTCCCGAAGATGACTTTTTTCGAAAAATTGGCATCGACTTCACTTTGCTCCAGAGCTCCTGAGTTAGCTGAATCTTGTACGCATGAAGGTCTTTTGTCAAAATTCGCTGCGTACTGCTTCGTGAAATTTAAAGTTGTTGAGAACGACGCTGAATTGATCGACCCAGTTTATTAAAAAAAATTGACCACTGTTCGAATGGTTGGCACATTAGGTGCACTTTCTCGACTGAAAATATGACTAAGTTTGCGAGCGGTTTCAGCGTAACTTTCCCCATATTTGTAATGAGTTTTCACAATTATAACGCGTTGTTCTTTCGAAAAGCGCTCCATTTTTAATAATCGGAATAAACATAGGTGACAGCTGTCAAATTTTTGTCACTAGCCCACTTGCACGAAAAATGATTCTAAATTTAAAAAGTGCACTCTCACTGAGACACCCTTTAGCATGTCTTCCTCGCTTAAATCTTTTACAGACAGAACAAGTCTTAAAAACATACATTTAGACCATATCTTCACCTAATAGGAGGCAAGCCTATTGTCGTCGACAGATATACTCGTATATTTCTAAAAAACATACATGTTATAGATCAATTACATACATAATATACGTAAATCGTGATTGAAAATTAAATCACGAAATATGACCTGGTTGAGAATTGAACCCTGGCTTAGTAGTCAGGGTCAGCCACACCAAGACCAACGATCCTGATATAGCAATGGACTGTTAATTAGATATCCTTAATGGATTTTATTATAAAGTGACAAACAGCATATTTTACATAAACGAGAGATGCCACATTACTTTAAATATACGGTGCGTCAAAATCGAGGAGAGTTAGTCAGACAGGACGCCGGCCATAAAAGAAAACACAACATTTTCCAAATTAAATAATGGAGTGGTGAGGAAAGCTTTTTGCGCTGACCCTAAATAAATTTCAGAAAAAGGTAGGAAGATGATTATGATTGTGCGTTCAAATAGGGCTCAAGTAGATCTTTTGCTAAAAATTTCCGTGCCTAAAATAAATGTTATTTTTACAGACAATTGTCACGTGGAATCAACATATGGTATCCAGTATAATCCTCTCACTAAGAAATGGAGTTTCAGTACTTACCAGCACCTAATGTATGCTATGCAGGCACAAAAATTAAGTTAAATATGTGAAGGAAGCAAAAGAATAATTACAAAATTTATGTAGAATAGTTATAGTTTTATGCTATGTTTTATATGAAATAAACTGTTTGCTGTTATTTATGTTTTAATAGTCGTTTTTATACTATCGACAATCGTCTTTATACCTGCTTTTACAAGTAATTTTTCTGTTCCTTTGGAAACAGCAGTTTTTTCAGACTCAATCTTTTTTAACGTGTAAGTAAAATTTTATTCTGGACGGTACCACATCACATCAAGTTCTTTATACATTAGATTAGCATACGTCCCATCGACACTAGGTGGTATTTACCACCCTTCACAATCATCTGATATGGAACATTACTAAGCCTTCGAAATAAAGTTCCTGCAAATTGGTATGCCGATGGATCTCTTATGATGCGAGAGTTCATCCGAACCAATTACATTTTAGACGAGGACTAGCTTCTGACTACGGTTAGGTACGCTCGCATTAATATAAATTTTATGAAATATACCTCCCGGCAAGTTTTTCTGAAAGAAAAGTTCCTTTTGTATCTCTTATGTAATGATGACCTGTTGGGTACTTAGTAAAGGTATGGATCGCCAGCGACGACTATCTCCTAATAGGAATAGATATAAAATGTAAAGGAAAAATCTGTATCTAAGTAGATCTACGGGTCTAGTATAGTTAGTACGTAAGGCGAAAATCGATCTGATGATGATGACTTACGTGTATGAACACAAAGGAGAGTACCTATAATTCGTAAAAATATAGACAAATAGCGATGAATCTGGGTAAAATACACAGTATATCACAAACACAGTACCGATATCTAAGACAATTACAAGAATTTAAAGAAAAATAATAAAGCAAAAATGTGTAGATAGATAGGCACGTATAATGTAGGTACGTCTTTTAGAACTATTTACCTAGGTACTATTTTTTGTAATTTGCAAAAAAAATAATATTTGATTTAATTATTTGTTTGTATATTAATTATTTGTTCATTTAATAATATAGTATAGCATTTTTCAATCATTCTAGATTGCTTCTTTTGCAACTTAAGCCTCAAGTGTCAATACTATCAGGTTTGCTAATAAGAGGTTGGTTTACTATATTATTATTTATAAAGCAGAGGGATTGCTTGAAAGCGCAGTTTCACGGGAACGACAACGGTAAAAGTCTGTCAATCTGACATTAGAAATCGAGTAGGACAAAATTGAAAAATGCATTAATAATATTTTGAAGAACGGTTAAATGCTTTTAAGATCGAACATAGGTGATATATTCTTATAGGGACAATGTCACTAAAGAAACTCTTAAAAGCTCCTATAAAACTGTTCAAAAAAGATGTAATTTCATTCGTTATTATCCGCCGCTATGATTTGGGACGTGAGTTTTCATTATTATTAGTAATAAATTAGTATCAAATTTTACTAATGGTACCTTTTGTTCTTCGTCAACATAGTAGCAAGTGATTTGTCGTTATTTCAATCCAGTGATTGCTACTGATAAGTATATACCTATATCAGATATGATTCTGATCCGAATAATTTATAACGAATCAATGCGAAAAAAATGTGTTTAACAATTGTAGGAAATATTAATGTACGTAGCTACCACAATTGTAAGTAAAAAGCATTTTAAACCTAGTATTGCTAATAACCTGTAAAAGTAAATTCCTGTTTGATTTTATTAGCAATCTAAAGGTTGCCTGGAAGAGATCGCAGGCTGCGATAAGGCCGCCCATTGTATCACTGGTTTTTTTTCTTTATGTATCATCGCATGTATCCTATTTATGGTGTGAAATAAAGAGTACCTATCTATCTATCTAGAAAGTCAAGTTATAAGAATTTATAAAGTAACCTACATTCACAGCGGTGGATGCGACAACCGGTGAAACTATTTTCACATTTATTTTGCACTGTTGAACATCGGCGGACTTAATGCCAGGGCATTCTCTTCCAGTCAACCTTTGGGTGGTGTAGAAATCTTGTAAGGTAGGCACAGAGGTTACATAATAATATCAAGTTTTAATAACAGTATGTACGGTTCACTACATATATAAACATATACACGCATACAACACTGCACATCATAAATACACATAGACACACATACATAGATATACAAGTATATTTACATACATAGATATATTCGTACACTATGAGTACCGGAATATGAGGTATACTTAACTATGGATTAGACCATTCTGCCATTTCATTAAGAATATAAAGCGGTTTGTGGACATGTTGACTTCGAGCGGGATCGCATTCCAGAGTAGTACTGTTTGAACAAAGAACGAAGAGTTCACGAAGTCGGAGTAGTGGGAGGGACATACATAAGAGAAGCAGATTGTTATCTGAGCGAAGATTTCTGTCGTGATTAGACAGGATCTGAGTAGACAGGTAACGGAAGTAGGGAGCAAGGTAAGTAGGTGAGAACAGTCAGTTGAGAAATGAAAATAGAGAGGTAAGTGCACACTGTTTGCAGCGCAAGCGAATAAGCAACCAGTTTTATTGAAAACGCAAAGCACAAACGGTCATACTTCCGAAGATTGAAGATGTATCGAATGCAGTTATTGAGAAGACGGTGTAGCTAATTTAGGTCTGCATTCAGGTCGAAATAACACATCACGATAGTCAATTATTGGAATTATTAAGAACTGCATGAGTGTAGTTTTAGTAGGTAGGAAATTCTTGAGACGATATATAATGTTCGCAAATTGCAAGTTACTTTCTGGTTCACGGTCGTAACTTGAGCTCGCCAGTCGAGGGTTGAGTCGATGAGTAAGCCCAGGTCTCTGACTACAGAGCTAAATGGAAGAATTTAACCATTGAAGACGATCGGTAGGATAGAAGCAGTACTTATCCAATGTGCTCATAATACGTTTGCTGCATATCATGATTGCCTGACATTTTCTGACACACAAATCAAAATCATGCGTTATTTGTTCGGAGCTTCAGCCACGCCCGCGCTAGCGCTGTTTTCTTCGTATTCACGGCCGTACCGAATATGTTTGAAATATTGGTCACTGTTACTTACCTATGGCTACAATCTGTTGGGTAACTTTTTGTGAAAGAAACGGTTGTCCGCTTTTGCTGACTCTTGCATTGAGGGCTCCGTATAAACGATAACTTTGGATAATTTTTGCTGTTATAAAAACGCCAAAACTATGTCTGTAATCGCAAGAAAATGTACCTACAGCTGTAGATGTATTAAAACGACTTGTGAAAATATCACATATTTATTTTAGTTATTAAATCAGAAACAAATTATAAACGAATTTAGAGGGAATTTGATTCACCTGAAAGTATTAACTAGAGTGGATAAAAATTAAAACTTAAACGACCGTATCCTTTGAGTGCCTTGTCTAGCTTGATTTTCTAAGTTTTTTTATGTTAACTTGATACCTCCATGCCATCTTAAGATGAAAGGTATTGACATACAGACAGATTTCTTTTTCTCGTTGAGGTATGGCAGTTAGGTACCCTCAAAATTACCATAATCCTGTCAAAATAGCTTATCATAATAAGTTTATTATATTTCCGTGCTTCGGAGATCACGTTAAGCCTTACGCAATCGTTACGAGTAGTTCTCCAACTACGGAGTGTTGTCGGACTTTTTAGGGCTCCACGTAAAAAATCCGACAACAGCCTCTCTTCAGAATTGATATCGATATTGCCCAGTGGATAGTGGAGGTCTGATGGCAGTCGCTCCGCGTAAAGATTTAAGCCGTAAGACGTAAGCCGACCCCAACCTAGGTTTGGATAAAGGCTCGGAGGAAAAAAATATATAGAATTGATAAACCTTAATACTTATAACTTTGTTTTAGTTCTGGAAGATAAACTCCGATATATCAGCGTCAAGCCAACTACTTCCGTATCGAAGCTACGCCAAAAAGTGTGGCATTTGTTAGATCTGCCTGATTTTTGTGAAGAAGTAATTATTTTAAAATCAGACGATGATTGTGTTATACCATTGACAGATCTACGAAAAGGCAATGACCCGCAACACCCGTTCCTCTTAGAAGTTTGGCTTCCAGGTTCTCAAATTCAATGTTAGTAACGTTTTAGATTACAAAAACTGAAATGAAGATTTTAAAAGATATATCCTCATTTTTGTACCTAAATTCCTGTAAGCTTATGCAATACTTGCAGTTGTAGTACTAGCTACTACAAGTATTAATTTGAAAATAACAAAGTAATTTTTAAAATCGTCAAAATTTGAGCACTCAATAAAGTAAGGTCCCAACAGGTTGGTGTCAGAAGAAAATCACCGTGAAAGTTACATAAATAAGGTTCATTTATCACAATATTGACTTTAGATGTGAGCGAAATGAGAGAGCTACAAAATGATTTTGACTGCTTGAATCGCACAACTTTTAAACTATTGATTTTTTAATTTAAGTTAATCTGACTTCTCGTCTTCTATAACAATGTGATAATTCCCACAGCAAATACAGGACTCCATAGTAAATTGCTGACCATTCAGAACGGTGAAGAGCACTCTCAATTTGATCGAACCAAAATTTTTAACCGTGACGGTACAGAGGACATCTGCCCATCAAACAGTTGTAAGTATAAACTACTAGCCATGCTTGTTTCTACGCATTATGACAAATCTTTTAATCCCTCGGAATCCAATTGCCATGAACAACTTCAATGCCTATAGAAGACTGTTGTAAACTTTCTAAGGTGCTCTTCAGCTCCATTTGGAGACGTTTATGGATAGATAATCACTTATGTGCAATCTAGGAATTCTAATTTGTTTTATACACTAGTGCCGATGAAATTGTTAGGTTCCTAAAAGGTTTGATTGCATATTAATAGGTAGATTACTTAAGTTGTTTAATCTATGATAAAATTTACAAACCGGTTTCTTTATTGTGTAATCAAAGGAAAACACAATGTGGGAAAGAAATATAGAGACCAAGTATAGTAGTAAGGGCAGACACCAAGCTAAACATAACCTGAAACAAAGTTTAATATTTTAAAAGTAATTGAAAATATAATAAGGATTAAAAAGTGGGAGTCTATTACCTCTTTACATTATACTAATACAATGAATTTCTAAATACAAAAATAAGATGGTTGTGCAAAATATTTAGTTAATAAATAAAAAAATTATTGGAATAATATGGTTTAGATTCACAATTTGGTTATCTACAAAATGTTTTTTTTTTTAGTTAAGAAGTGTGTACAGGACACGCCTATTACTTGTTTGCAGTATGCTACAATGAATTTCTAAATACAAAAATTAGTTTTTTTGCAAAATATTTGGTTTATAAATAAAAATATTGTTTTTTTTTATTAATGAGGCATATTAATTAAGTTTTAAATTTCTAAAAAAATAAAGGACATTTAAAAAAAGATCCCCTAATATACTGCCTTTTTAAAAATTGACGCTTCTGAACCGTTTATCAGTTTGCAAATAGGTACGAGGCGTCGTCACGTCTAGACCAACAGTATATTTCTTTACATCTTAATAAATATATTTTAATATTGATAGGAGGGAAACGGTTGCAAACTTGCAAACTGTAGAAATACAAATCAATCTATATTTTATCATATCTATGTTACTACTTTGATCAAATGTAATGATATTAAGTTATAAAAAAAGATACCGACCTCATCGACTATCTCGGTGGCGCAGTGGTAGCGTATGCGACTGCCGTGCTGAGTTCTCAGGTTCGATTCCCGGGTCGGACTAAATGTTTGTATGATCTACAAATATTTGTTTCGGAGCTTAGGTGTTTTCTATGTAAAATATGTATGTATTTAAAAAAAACTTGCTTTTATAGCACAAGCTCTGCACAGTTTGAAACTAGATGGCGTTGTGTGTTACAATCAAAATCATTAGTAGCCAAATCGTATCGTTTTAATGTCAGAATTTATTAAAAAAACATTTTTTAATCTACCTATGAAACAAGAAAGATATTTAGCATTTATGTTATTTTTTTTTATTTCAGCCCAATCTACACTATCAAACGAGACAATAGCTTTAAATAAATTGCGTATTCGAGACGAAAGAGCGATAAACCATGTGTTGACAGACTTCAATAAATCTGATCTGTCATGCCGAATGTCCAGTTCTTCATTCTTCAAGCTAAACTCAAGAAAAAGCCGCGATAATTTCACCCTTATTTTAATGAAAATGCAAAGTGATCTATCCAGTTTAAATAACAAATTGTCAAGTTTAGAGAACAGAATAACAACATGACCACTTTCTATTTCTAATTGTGTGTAGTAAAATAAAAGAATTAGTTCAACTCATTTATAATATTTTTATTCACTCAACAGTATAAATTAGCTATATAAAAAATTGTATAAAAGTGGAACACGTGATTATTATATACAGATGTGAATACTTTCTTACTAAGGCTTACGTGTGTTTCCAAACAATTTGTCATATTAACCAACCGCAGGTATATTTAAACCGTAACTCTGATACTTTAAAAATTGCAAATATAAACCTTTAAAGTCCTTAATTGAAAATATGAGGACATTACTTTTTAACACGAATATTTTACCATTTTTAATATATTTTTATAATAACATATACAAAAAAAATATTTTCTTTCGGATACAAAAGTTACAAGAGTTATAACCGTGACCACAAATTTTCACCATACTCAAATACAAACACAGTCTCCGAAATGCTTGCCAGCACATAAGCATAAGCAATATACCCCATAAAAGCTACAGTGCTGTTTGTAACTAAAAAGCTGTATGCCACTAACATCATGCAAATTGTACTATTTGTTCAATTAGTTTTATTATAGGTAGTGGCAGTGAAGCATTTAAAACCTAATTATATTTCTGATTATACAATTCACAATACGGAAGTCAACAATAAAACCGAACATAATAAATATTAAGAGGTACTTGTGGAGTCTAGCGTACTTATGACTTAGTTCATTGTGGAATAAATAATTGCTAGCAATCATTATCATCTACTGTTCAGTTATGTTGTAAACTTAAATACAAACTGTACAAATACAACAACAGCAATGTCCAGCGATACTTAAGGTTGAGCATCGATCTCCGGAACGTAGACATAGTATTCTGCAATAGAAATAATAATTAGGTGCATTGTTGCTCATCACCGTGTGATGACGGATAGAATACGGATTGACACCACCCCTATTCATCTCGTGCAGGAAAACAGCACTACAAAGAGAGGAAAACTTGACACAAACCCTTTACCAACCTATATGACTATTACTTATTACTATATATCGATTATAGGTATACTGATTATTTGGGGATTATGGAATATCTTTGGATTTAAGAACCTAACACACACGAACGCTAGCTTAAGCGTTGGACAGTATGTCGCCTAGAACATTCTAGCTAGACAAAAACAACATTAAAAATTAATGGTTTATCATAATGTCATTTGCGATGAGTGTAAGTAGGTATAAACGAAAGTTGGGTTAAATGCATAAAATTGGTTGTATTTTGACTATTAATACGAATACATCTCCTACGTTGCTGTTTTAAGTTATGTACTAAATTAGTGATGGATTTGATTACCAAAGGTGAGTTGTTTTTTTTTTTTCTTTTATCATCCTCAATATTTGCTTATTCTGGTAGTTAGAAATGCTACACTAATTTAAAAAAAAACAGGTAAGAAAATCTTATACTTGAATTTCAAAAGATTTGGCCTGCGGTAATGAGGTGGTTCACCTCATTACCGCAGGCCAAATTTTTTTGACAAGTAGATGACACATTATTCTAGTTTCTAACAGACCTAAATTATTTTTCAAAAGGCGGTTTTAGTGTTTCGAAAATGGAAGTTTCATGAGTCAAAATTCTCAAAAGTGAGAAATTAAATATAGTTAATAAATGTTAAAATCATAAATACTGCACTTCCTCCCGCTCATTACACATTCATTAACACATATATATATTTCATGACTAAGTGCATTCTTGGGAGGTTTATTTTCGAACATAAACTAGGATTGTAAATTATTGCTTGCGCAAGACATTGGTGTTTTAAGATAATCCATTGGGTGCAAGACAATTATCTTTGAGTGCCGTGCCATGGTCGTTTAGTTTCGGGGTACCATGAATTTCCTTCCCCTTAATTTCCTTACTGATACCCGAGACGGCGTGCGGTTTTTGGTCGGTTCGGACATAACCACCGATGGGATTTCCGCACAGAAAAAAAAAGTTATTATTGTTAAATCAAATAACTAAGCTAATCGAAGTCTGTTCTTTTACCTTCCTACACCATAAAACATTTTCAGTTTTAAAGTAAATCTTAACGTTTATAACAAGACTCGTATATTTTACGAAATGTTTGTTTTCCTTATCGTGATAGCGAGTGATGGGAACGAATAAAAGTTGAATAAGAAATGTCATTAAGTATTAATGGGTCCAAGACATTGCATTAATCGTTCTAGGAACATATAGAGGTACTTACCTTATATTCTTGTTTATATACACTTTCTACACAGCACTTGCTCATGACTATAAAGCCACTCATCCGCCCTTGCACCTGAAGCGCGTGTTCAATACTGCGAATGAGGTCGTTTGTCTTCAATACCAACAACGCCTGTCTATCTACATGCTCTAAGCATTCTGTGATATAGTGTAAAATGTTAGGTATCTCTTCTTGGAACAATCTTTTCTAAAAAGTAATCAGTAAATGATTTTAATCAATAATTTAAGTAATTACAGATTAGGTTAGAGTTATGTGTAAAGTTAATTTAGTCACGGCGTAACGTCTGCAGGACAACTGCAGGTTGTAATTTACCCAGTGACCCATCTGCTCGTTTTCCCCGAAATCCTATAAAAAGGAGGAGGAGGTGGCCAAATGTCACTTTGTTGTTGTGTTTCAAGGACTTAAAGACATCCTGGAATACTAAGTACATATAAACGCAAGATAGCCTAAGCCGAACTTCCTTAATTAAATTATTGTTTTGTTGACTGTAACTTTTTTGGCGTGATTTTAAAATTGACAACTTATGTTGATTTAAAAAACATTTAAAGTCAAATATTTTAATTTCATTCATATATTCAGGCGGGCAAGTTATGCAAAAGTGAAATCACTTTATCCGACGGCTATGATCTCGCGTAACAAAAAATCTTCAAAAATGTATCACCTAAAAAGGGTAAAAAAGGGGTACAAAGTTTTCTATTTACATAGTAATCCATACCTACTTATATTACAAATGTAAAAGTGAGTTTGTTTCTTACGATTTTACGCCGAAACCACTAAATTGATTTTAACTTTTACCAATGAAAAGCTACGTTAGCAGCGAGTAATATAGACTTCTTTTTACCGCGATAATCGACATACAGGCGGGCAGAGCAGTCGCCGAGTATATGTATAAATTACACCTAAAAATCTGTCGGTTCGGATCAGCCTATAATTAAAATATTTAATTTGTTTCTTTAATAATTGTGACTGAGATTATAATGACTCTTACGTTACAACCGTGATCTAAACGTGAAAATAGGATATGGCAAAATACGTCTATTTGTAAGGAGCTTACCTCTTGAACGGTTGGTTTAGTCGAACCTATCCCTTTGATAATAGCGTCCCATGGTCTTCCAGTTACCATACAAGCGAATAATATATACAACTCACTGCGTATACCGAGTTTCTCTGCATGAAGTTTCATCTCATCTTTGTTCCGATCAATGATTGACAACCACAGCTTGGAATAATGATACCTAAATCTATCTGTCAATTGCTGCAAATAAAATATTTTACATGGTAACGATGTAACACAGAAATATTCAACAGTTTTTTAAACGGTTCAATATTAAACCAATAAAAAGCTCATAAATAAGATTACAAATGCATGACTTTTTAAAACGGCTTAGCTCCATTAGCTAAATGAATTAAAATATTACGAAAAGATTTGATATTGGTAGATACAACTTATCCTCCTTAAAAAAAGGCACAAATTATCCAATGTTGATATAAGTACCTACATAAAAAAAAACAGTATGAGTATCTCTTCTTCATAGAAACAGTTAAGGAAGTTTCAATTGCGCTATTTTTACATAAAATAAAATCGTGTGTATGTGCCAAATAAGCATCTTCTAGAAAAACGCGTCATCGAAAAGCCACGGGTATAAAATATGATATAAGGACACGATTTACGTGTACTTCTATCAAAAACAACTCGCCTAAAACGAAAATTATTTTAGTTAGGAAAAAAATCCACACCTGAGTATGAGGAACCCTGCTAATAACACTTTTACATGTAAAATGTTGCTATGACATTACCGCTAATTGAATGATAAATATACATTAGTATTATTAGATCTGAGATCGTTTTAAATGAAGTTTGCTTCTCTAAACGGCAAAAAATTCGAGTACAAATGTGATCGTGTTCGGTACATATAATGCTCTCCTATATACCTACGAAAAATAGTAGTACACCAAAGCATATCTATTACAAATAATTAATGTGCCGATTCCTGTATAGAACTTATCTACAACTTACAGCATACAAACCGTGGTCCAATAAATAGATGTCAGTCTCTTTTGATCCAGGTGCCCTTTTCAGGACAATGTTTCCTGGGTGAGGATCACTATGCACAAAGCCACTAATGAAAATCATATGAGAATACAAATCTCCAAGTTTTTGGCAAACTTCAAATCGATTAATCTTGTGCTCCTAAAAATTATAATAATATAAAAATTATGTAACAGTAACGATTTTAGAGTGACGTTTATAAATTCAGCAAACTTGGCATGTGGGTCAGGGGGAGGGATGTACAGGGGCGCAAGTCTACAACGGAGCGCAGGGAGGAAGTTGATAAACTTTTATTATTTCTTTCTACTCCCACTCGCTAACTCCAAATACTGTAATATTTTTCAATAAGTATTTTTATTTACAATTTTTTTCTTAATCAAAATTTATCAGAACATAACAAACAGGCAAACAAATAGTTATTTCGCATTTACATTATTAGTTAAGGGCACAGGAACATGTAGTGTTTACACTAAAAACCGCCCGACAGGTGGTCTCAGGCGCCCTACTCTGGGGAGTACCTAGACCATGTTATTTCTGGTCTCCCCCCTCCCTAGATCGACGTCGCGCCTAGCCAGGCCCTATCCAGGGGAATTCTCCTAGCCTGTCGGCCCAATCAATATGTGTTGCGGCCTGATCGCATTTGTGCGACCTGGGCCTCAATTCTGCTATTTTATGTTCACGCCAAGCCACTGTCATACTACTGACACGCTATTGAGATGCCATCGAGTGGCCATTGGCAAATAAATAAATTATTTCCTTATAATTTGAAAATATATTACGTTTTTTTGAGAAAATGATAATCTTTTTGATATCACCACATTTGATATGAGCAACTGCCATTCCATCGCCACTGTAAAGACACTGAGTTAGTGTAGACTACCGATATTTACCGAAGCCAATGACCACTCGATGGCATCTCAATAGCGTGTCAGTGGTATGACAGTGGCTTGGCGTGAACATAAAATAGCAGAATGGAGGCCGAGGCCGCCATCCAATCGCCTCTCGCAGCAATTACTGTGCCACCAGAGCGAACTCACTAGCAGCCTGCGGCCCCTCCGACGACCGCGCAATGTTGGCATTGTGCCGTCTCCTCGCGACCAATGCGATTCAGGTACTCACTGAAGCAACCAAGCCCAGTGAGTACCTGCGTCAGTCGGTAGGTGACGCGACCTCCCGCCCAAGCTGCCAAGATAGGCAGAAAGGCACCGACAACGCGGTGGCGCGCATTCCGCGGCTGTTGCAGCCACGCGCGCCGTGGCACCAGTGCCTGTTGGTGAGCGTTCCGTCGCATTTCGAGCTCGTCCTGGTCTTCCCCGCTTTCACTCCGGCGGATCGGCTATAGACCCTCGCGTCTATATTCGCCAGGTCAAGCAAGAGCCTAATGTGTTGTTGACATTTAATCTGCCTGTACATGATGATTTTAGTTTGCATATGTTGAAGTTTGTTATTACGTAATTACAAGAATCTGAGTATTATGTGTCTTTCTAAAACACACAGCGTTGAGATGAAGAAGCTGTCTGTGATCCTTGATTAATTTAAGTTCTACCCACCTTCATTTGTAGTTTTACCGGTTTAGTTCGCGTCGTTTCTCACCAGAGGCGCCCTCACGAATGCATAAAAGTGGCGGTGATAGCTATCCGAGCTCATAGCGTTTGTGATTTTTGTGCGGAACGGGCTAACTTTAGCTGCAATTTAAGTTTCTATCGAAATAAAAGTACAGTCGGTTGTGTGAAATGGCAAGTGACGGCAAAGGTGAAGGGTCAGATCACGTCACTCCTGATGGAGAACGAGAGATGACTCGGGACTCGAATCCAACAGACGGAGGTATTACTTCGTCATATTCCTCGTCTTCGGAAGACGAGGAAGGAATCGCAAGTCCACCACCTAATAAACGTCCTCGACGTAGGTACAAACGAGATGATCAATCTGATCCACGTGTGGATTCCTTGGTAAGTCAAGTTTCTTACATTTCGCAGTATTTAACACAACTACCCTACCATTTAAATACTTGCCTCGAAGCTATAACTAAAGACACTGTCAATTCTAAGGATAAATCCTTTTTACGTAACCCGTGCCAATCATCTTCATGTGACCTCACTCTTGGAGAACCTTCTATCGAGTGCAATAATAATTTAATAACACCCCCGGCTGACAGGGAACGCCTTAACCAATTAGAAGATATACAAAAATTCAGCACTGATGCTTGGAAATCCATTAGGTATAAAAAAGCTTTACATTCTTGCTCTGCTACACCAGGTTTTATAGCTCTTAAAGTTAATGAAGAATTGTGCCATTTTAAGAAACAAAAAGATTATCTATATTCGACTGAAAATTTGATGGCGGGCCTAACTAATACTGTGTTAGAACAGCGTCAGTCAGTGAAAAAGAGTCTTCAAGATCTTGTTAATTGGGCTGCTGCTAACCCACAGGGTCTCAATCCTAGTACATTATTCAACAAAGTGACTGAAATATTCGGGCCACAGACGGAGATTAATAAAAGGTGGGACACGTTATTGCAAATCATTTGTGGTAAGAGGGCAGAGTGTATTGATATTAGGAGAGATCGAATTTTAAAAGAGATTAATAATGCAAATCTTAAGGTTACTTTGCAACAAGTACCCCCCAGTTCAGAATATTTATTCGATCGTGAAAAATTACACCCTATTATTCAGTCCTTAGGAGGCACTCAGATGTGGTTAAATACCCCAACATATTTAGTGGATAAGCCTTGCTCATCTGCTTTGCATAGTAATCATTATATAGATATGAAAGAGAATAAGAAAACAAATGCGTCACGTAGTAAATTCCACCGCAACCAACAAAAATCTAATAAATCGAGTTCTAACAAAAGGAGCCAGACGTTTCGTCGCCGTAACACAGAAACAAGTCAGATTCCTAGAGCACCACAAAAGTGACTCCTTCAAGGGGGGCTGCCTCCGGGACCATTTAGAGGCCTGGAGGACATTAGGAGCCAATCAGTTCATTTTAAAAATAATTTCGTACACCCGTATACCATTCAGGTGCAAGCCCCCCCTAAAATACCCTTACAGTCATATTCAAAAAGCTTTCATGACTCCTACAACTGGTCAGATGACAAGTGTAATCAACGACTTGAAGTCAAAGAGGGTTTTAGAAAGACCTTCAGTAACCAATTCAGGTTATTTTTCCAAGATGTTTCTTGTCAAAAAACCGGGGGGCGGAGTAAGACCAATTTTCGACCTCAGGGGTCTAAACAGGTTTGTGACTACAAGGCCCTTTCAGTTGATATCGCAAATAGATGTTATGAATTTTCTACAAAACAAGGACTGGCTTACAAAGATAGACCTTCAGCAGGCTTATTTTCATTTACTGATTGCGGAAACACACAGAAGATTCTTACGAATCATATACAACAACGAAATTCTACAGTTGACGGCACTACCCTTTGGCCTATCTTCGGCACCGCAAATTTTTTCAGCCCTTTCAAATTGGATCGCAGAAGTGCTTCGTGCTCGAGGTTTCAGAATTCTGGTGTACTTAGACGATTACCTTTTAGTACACCAGGATCGTGCCGTTTTGGAAAGACAAGTTGCGGAAACTGTGTCATTCCTTCAGACTTTAGGCTGGCATATCAACCACCAAAAGTCGATTCTAAAGCCTGTTCAACAGTTGGAATATCTAGGCTTACTGTGGAACACGGCAGACAGTACAATAAATTTACCAGTACAAAAGATACGCGTTATAAAGTCGGTTCTAGTAAAGTTGTTGTGTCAAAGGAGTTGCACTCTAAAGCAGGCTCAAAGTCTTTTGGGACAACTAAACTTTGCGAACCATGCGGTCTTGAAAGGGAGATTGCATTGCCGCAACTTCCAAATTTTTCTCAGACGATTCAGACAGGGCAGACCAAGAGAAAGGAGACCTTTACCCCCGAATATTGTGGAAGATCTAAACTGGTGGCTAAAGACTATAGATCACAGTTCTGTCCCATTAAAAAGAACAGAAGTCACTCATTACCTAACTACAGATGCCGCAGATGCAGGGTGGGGTGCACACATGAACGGCAGTCTTCTTTCAGGCAAGTGGTCCTCGATTCAGAAGACATGGCATTCGAATGTAAAAGAGCTGTATGCTGTCTTTGCTGCCATACAATCGCAGAAAGACTCTTTGTGGAACGCACATATACTGATACAGTCCGACAACAGGACTATTGTGTCGCATATAAACAAACAAGGCGGCACTCGCTCCATTGCAATGTTGAATCTAACCACAAAGCTGTTGAACCTAACCGAGCAGCTCCATATACAGCTGTCGGCAACTTACCTCCCAGGGAGGTTAAACACAATCGCAGACCACCTATCAAGAGGTCGACCAATACCAGAGTGGCACCTCTTGCCTCAGGCCGTGGAGACTATATTCAAAAGATGGGGCGTGCCAGAGGTAGACCTATTCGCAACAAAGGAGACGGCTGTAGTCGGTCTATATGTCACCTTAGACTCAAAAGATGGCTCCGCACTTTTTTGCGACGCCTTCAGCCGCCAGTGGAATTTCAAACTGGCATGGGTGTTTCCACCACCCAATCTAATACCCAGGGTCCTTGCCCACCTGAATATGGCGAGGGGCAATTACATCCTCATAGTACCGTATTGGAACCAGTGCTTTTGGCTGCCAGATCTACGGTCTCGAACCTTGACGGAGCCAATGACAATCCCATACCTGCGGAAGGTACTCGTAGATCAGACCACGGGTCTCAGCCCACCACAGGTGGATCGTTTGCAACTCCAGGCTTGGATGGTTGGGGGTGGTCTGAACAAATAGCAGATTGGGATAATAATGAACGAAAACTGCTGCAAGGTAGTTGGCGTTCGTCTACCTTGTCTACTTACAAAGCTCCTATAAGTAGGTGGGTACGTTGGTGCAGTGCGAGGAACATTAGTGTTAGATCTCCAAAAGGAGCAGACATCGCCCGGTTCCTAGCTAATTTATTTCTGCATCACGGATTTGCGTATAACACCATCCTCTTGCACAAGTCTGCTATCCTTACCTACTGTAGGCCTTCAGCATCAGAGGATTATACTAAAGATTTTTTCATCAACCAAATATTAAAGGCCATTAGTGTTGCTAGACCGAGGTCAAACAGATCACCGATCTGGGACACAAAATTATTATTCGATTGGTTACTTAACTCTACCAGAGTAAATACTCATTTTGACATAGCAAGGCGCACTGCACTAATATTACTGTTGGCTTCAGGACGTAGAATTCATGACTTGACCTTATTACTAATTTGTAAAGAAAATTTAATAATATCGGAAGATAAGATTATTTTATGGCCTAAGTTTGGTTCGAAGACTGACACTGGAACCCATCAGCAATCTGGATGGTTATTGTCACGACATTCTAACTTTAGAGTATGTCCTGTACATCATGTTAAAGAATTGTTGGAAATTTCTCTTAATAGACGAGGTGAGGGGAATCAGGTCGATAGTTTGTTCATAACAATGTCAGGAGTACCTAGACCTGCTTCAAGAACCATCATAGCAGGATGGATAAGATCTATTTTCAAAGAAGCCTCCATAGATGCATCACCTGGAAGCATAAGATCAGCCGTCGCGTCCAAGAGCTGGCTTAATGACAGGCCCTTGCAGGAAATATTAGACAGAGGTAATTGGAGGAGTATCTCCACCTTCACTAATCATTATTGTCGTCCTGTTCATCGTTCTGTGCATCAGTCTGAAGACTTGTTGCAGTCTAATTTTTCTTCAGTGTAATCTTAGATTAATTCTATAGTATAATTATTCTATTTTTTATTGTCACATGCACAATCTAAACTATTAAGTTGATGGTTATGATGTATATACTGTCATATTTAGTTATTAATTACTTGCTCAATAATTATTGTCGGATTGATTATGAGTAATATGTATATTTAGTAGCACTGTAATACTAAAATAATTTAATCGGCTACATATGATAATTGTTGTCAGTATTAAATACATCAATATCAATTCACATAGCGTTTGTATTTCTTGTTCTTATTTCTCACCAGCAGATAACAAACAGATCTTCATCTCAACGCTGTGTGTTTTAGAAAGACACATAATAGAACTGTTTTGCACTAAAACAAAACAGATGTTATGTGTCGGATAAAACACACAGCGTTGCAGCAAGTCGCTTGCAGGTGAGTGAAGACTTCTATGAGCTCGGATAGCTATCACCGCCACTTTTATGCATTCGTGAGGGCGCCTCTGGTGAGAAACGACGCGAACTAAACCGGTAAAACTACAAATGAAGGTGGGTAGAACTTAAATTAATCAAGGATCACAGACAGCTTCTTCATCTCAACGCTGTGTGTTTTATCCGACACATAACATCTGTTTTGTTTTAGTGCAAAACAGTTCTACTATGTACTATGTACATACTATTTACATATATATATAGAACATTTTTTAGTTAAAATCGTAACAACTTTATTTTCAGGGATCTGTTAGCATGTTTTACATATAGCTTGCTTGTGTAAATGTTGCATACTGTGTGTTTTAAACCATCAGATATCTTAATAAAAGTAATTCCTGGATCCCTCCTATCTGAGGTGCAGTATGGCACTGGCATGGATTTGTGTAGTTTCAGTAGGTTGAAATTCGACACTCGGGTTTGTGGTGGGGCACATACAAAAAAAAGTTATGATATTCTAATAGAAAAAAATATATATAACAAGCAAAAATGTATAGGTGTGACTACACAGGTAGATTACATTAGGATTACATAACATATTGTAATGTTAAGGGTTTATTGATGATATAGGCATTATGAAATGTTTTATTTCAATCTATACACACAATATGACCTTAAGTTTTTTAACCCCGACGCAAAAACAATGGGGTGTTTTAAATTTGCAGTGTCTGTGTGTGTGTGTGTTTGTGGCTTTATAGCTCCCGAACGGATTAACCAATTCTGATTTTGTTTTTTTTTGTTTGAAAGGTGAATTAGTTTAGGTTTGATGAAAATCGGTCCAAGATGGCCGCCACTTCAAATGAAAGCGCTTCACTAGTAGAATATTATACACTATGACAAATTTCTAATCCAAGATGTGTTGGAGGTTTTTTTAATTTTTTTTTCTTTTCATTTAATGTCAATATCTATGACCTTGAAAAAACAGTTAATGTTAAGGACTAAAAAAACATGACTTGCTTTAACTTACACTGAATGTGTTTTTCTAATTATTTTAATGTGCATATCACAAACAGATGTAACAAGTACATTAGCACATCACTACTACATTTACTTGGTAATAAACATAATAATAATATTTACGTTGAATAGGATACTCACATCAATATACTTGACATCATTGACTTGACCTCCTTCAACATAATCCATGACTAGGACCCTCTCAGAGCTAAAATCCCAGTATATTTTTGGCACTTTTAACCACTTATAATCTTTAAACAAAAGAGCCATTTTCTCCGCATTTTTACCTTCATTGATAAAGTTTAATTCTTGAGTAATATTCTTTTTAGTTTCATCCACTAACCATTGCATTTGGAATTCAGGAAATATTTTAGACATTGTTAGAATAATTAATTCCATCCATTTTAAATCTATATTTATACTCTTCCTAACAAAATCATGTTGAACTTTTACAGCAACAATAGTCCCATCTTTTAATTTAGCCTTATGCACTTGCGCAAGTGAAGCAGTGCCCAAAGGCTCTGGCTCAAAGTCATCAAAAATATTTTCAGGCTAAAACAAAGTAAACTATTTATTTATTTTCTCATACATTTTATATGATAAGGAAATAATTAAAAATACATACATCTGTGAGATCTTCTCTTATTACTTTGTACAGTTGTTCAACACTGTTCTTCGGAGCATCCTTATGCAATATACGCATAGTAGTTACATATTCATGAGGTAACAGATAGTCAAGTGCACCAACATGTTGTCCTACTTTTATATAGACGCCTCTATTTGCCTTGCATAACTCAAGCAATTTATCTGCCCCAATTTGATGAGCTCGACTCCTTAATTCTAAATATTCTTTTGAATTTCTGTCCCAATCTTTACTGTATAACATTGTTTTGTAAGTTTGACCTATATCCAGTGCAGTGTATGCTGCTCTTGTAAATCTAACAATTGCGAAAGAATTATAGTTGCCATCACTATAAGCATAAACAGAACCACCGATCGCTACTGTACTGAACAGCCCGTATCTAAGTAAGACTGGGAATTTTCTTCGGAACATATTGAATCGGTATCCACAGATCACTGTATAATAGTCACATATTCTAATACATAACTATTCGTAATTCAGCACACGCTTCGTATGCTGCACGAAGTTAGAACGTGTACGTCTAGGGTGTACATCCATAACAAGACATTTTATAAATTTACGTAGTTCAATCAATGTCAAGATTGTCATTGTCAAGTTTAATGATAGGGTAGCTTGCTACATTATATAATCTGTGGTAGACTTGAAAATTATTGCTACTTTTAAATCATATTCCTTCCATGAAAAGATTTTAGTCACAGCGATTTCACATGTGATTGTGATTTCATTGCATTAAAATTAGTCGAAATTCTTTTTATCAAAGATTAGACAAATACAAAGAAAGACACGACCTCTAGCTTGGCCAGGTGCAGTAAATGACAAAACTTGTTATTGTAGGATAGCATCGCATCTCTAAGACAGGGCACTCTTTGCAAGTATATCTATTTCAGATCGCTTAACAAATATACTCAAGAGTAAAGTGTTTTGTGAGACAGACTTTTTCAAAACTGATGTATTGAATTGTTCATGGCAAAAAGACGAGGGATGAGTTCATACTAGGTGGAATCAGCCTACACATCAGTCCGACATGCCACCGACAGGGGATTTCCGCACGGAAAAAAAAAAAAAAAAAAAAATTGGTTGCCTGTAAAGTCGGTATACGGGCGAAAGTTTTACGTGACAACGACTTTGAGTGGTAAAATAATTTTAATGTGAATATTCATTCGTATAGTAGGAAGAAGGATGAAATAATAGTAACAATTTAAAACATTTATTTATACAAAGAATTATATTTAAAATAACCATGCCCGAGTGGAAGGGACGCGTGCCTCTCACTCGCTCTCATTGTGAGCGCATAACGTGAGCGGAGCGTAACGCAGTTTCTTGAAGTGTCACCCGGCAAACCAATTTATAAGACGTTGTCACGTCAAAAAAAAAGCTGGATGCAGCCTGAATTAGTTAATGACACACTTTTCTCTCTGTTGTTGAAATCAGAAAAGATATTTTGGTGTAACATTTGGGCAATGCCTGTCTCTCATTGTGAATGAATACGAAATATTGAACAACCAGAGACGATTGATGCCGTGGGTGACCAATACTAATAGGCAACAGTGTTATAGCGTATACAAATCAAAAAATATAATTAATTATTAATTTATATAGTTTTCTATTGTTGTCAAAAACAAGTGGCTTCATAGCTCATGTGTACGTGAGGCATCATTATTTCATTAATGTCTAGAAGTAAGTTTGCTTCCATAATATATGAACATAAGCGTTACTAGAATTAGTATAATTCTATAATTCCGTTATAAGAATTATAACGCAAAAAAAAAGGTTCATGATCTAAATAAATTACCAATGTCCAAAGGCGTAGCATGGACTAATGTAAACGTGGGCGAAGTTGCATCAGCGAGACCCCTTTTGTTTCGTTTTCAAGACATAGATGCCCAAAACGTTTATTTTACCAAACATGCTTTGACACGCATTTTAGCTAGGTGCCGCGTTGATCCGGGAGGGACATGAAATCACATGGTGCAGGCCCTCCTAGAGTTGAGTGGCTGAGGCCGGACAGCGGATGGGTTTTCAGAGGTTTCCATATACTCTTACGTCTCCAAGGCGCTAATCGCAAGATCTAAAGGGATTTTCTACCGTTAACAAAAAAGGCCTCTAATTAGTAGTAACGTAGGGCCTCCAAAATTCACGATCTGCCCCTGCTGATAGCTGACAAGTCTCTATTCCGTCAATGTAACGGTCGCGGTGTTTAAAAGTAGTTACAATGGCCTCGCAGTCACACTTTAGATGGGGCGTCGTGCGGGGGCCGAAACAAACACACTTCGAGCGTAAATGTGATCAAATTAATTAGTCATCAGTGGTGAAGTCCAAAGGCCTTACATTTAAAGGAGCATCGCGAGGTCCCCCTTACGTCTAGCTACGCCACTGCTAATGTATATTTTGGGGCTGAAGGTAACATGTTATTTAACTAGTAGTTAGTTAAATAACATGTCATCTTGATAATGACTAAAACTTATGACTCTTTATAATTGACTCGATAACCAACGCTAATTTAGATTTATATTGTTTTAAAAATAATAATGACAGTAAAAAAAAGTGTGTGAAGGCAGAAGTGATCCTTCAGAAAAAAATAATTCTGTACAAATAAATACAGTTGAAGTGTTTGTTTGTAATGTCAAAATAATAGGTGTTCTTCATGCTCACACGGTTATTTGCACGTTGCCTATGTCTTAGAGCCAGTTTAATTTCATATTCTTTTTCTCTCGTCGACTTAATCGCATTTTCGTTTCATCGAGTTTCAAATCACAACGATTCTAAAAAAAGTTTCACTTCAAAAATATCAGTATGAAATACAGTCCAAAAAAAGGAAAGACAACACCATTTGAGTGTAACGTTATGATTACCTATTAACTATTTATCTTACAATGAAGTTTAACCGAAGGTAACATTAAAGTAACCATCAAATTTGAGTAAGGACACTTATAAACAAAAATAAGATAAGAAATTAAAGAGAGAATAGTGTTCTGCTCTAATAAATAAGGTATCACGAAAACCGGAGTACTTTCGTAAAGTGTAGTGTTAACTTCACAGGTTTTTTTAAGTGGCAACACTAACACATTTCCATCGCGTCTATGTTCCGCTTCCGTTGACAGATTCTTTTAGTATCAAAGCTCCGAAAATGAAGGCGAAAGGAGAGGTAAGTAATGAAATTAAGTGAGAAATAAGTGATAAAACCATTTTATAACTTCTTAGGTTTCACCTGGAAAGTTAAGTTAGTGATTACAACCTGAAGAACAGTCTTAAGAGTAAACCATGTAGCTGTGTGTGTAACGTACACGTTGTCGGTGCAATGCTTCAAGCTTTTTTACAACATTGTTAACTTTTTAGTTTAATTAAGCATCACATTTATGTATAATTTGTTTTTATAATTCGTTTACCTCTATGTTCTAGCAACGAATGAATATGTCAGGTTTTTTTATTTCAAATTTAACTTTTAGGTTATGTCATGTTGTTGGTCAAATCCATAGAATGACAATATTGCCTTCTAAGAATAAGAAACCATAAAATTGTTTTTCACATATTAAAATAATTCGAGTGAAATTGGTTTATATATTCTATTTACTTCCTTATATGTTTTTGTTTAGTTGAGGGAATACGAGGTGATCGGCCGCAAGCTCCCTTCGGAGAGCGAGCCAAAGCCACCTCTATACAAAATGAGGATCTTCTCTCCCGACCCAATCGTCGCTAAGTCTCGTTTCTGGTATTTCTTGCGTCAGTTGAAGAAGTTTAAGAAGACCACTGGCGAAATTGTCTCCATTAAGGTTGGTACCTTGTCTTTTTGCATTAAACATAAAAGTTTACAAATTTAAATTTAACAATTTTAGATTTAATCTTTTCCCTCTCTGTATTTACTTAACCATTAATGAGTGTTTAACCTCCTTTCCTTTTAACAAAAGCCTGCATTACTTAGATATAGACACATAATTCATGTGACACTAAAAGGAATTGTTATTTTTCAATAATCACTAAAATAAAGTTACATACACTTTTTATGTTTCATATTCCTTAATAAGTTTTTTTTATACATTCCAGGAAATCCCAGAGAAGAGCCCTGTTAAAATCAAGAACTTTGGTATCTGGTTGCGTTATGAGTCACGTTCTGGTGTACACAATATGTACCGTGAATACCGTGATTTGAGTGTTGGAGGAGCAGTCACTCAGTGCTATCGTGATATGGGAGCCAGGCACAGAGCCCGCGCCCATTCCATCCAGGTACTTTTACATATATATTTTTTGAGATAAAAGTGCAAAATGTTAATATTAAAAGGACAATATGCAGCTCATGTTAATCAATTAGTAACTCTTGAAAACCTTAAACATAAACATAAATTTAGTAAGGTCAACAAGAAAGAGTTAAAGTACATACATACTTACACCTGTATCTAATGGAAGCTGAGGTAGCAGGCACCATGTAGTCCTGTTACACTTTAAGAGATTTTGGAGACTGCAGACACAAGAAGGAGGTGCTTTTAACATAAATATGTTGTAGAAAACAAGTTAGATTGTAGATGTTCTTTTAGTGTTTTTTAACTTGACATTATTTTCTCTCTGAAGCAGAAGCTATTAAATATTTCCTTAATGCATAATCAGACATAAATTACCAAACTATTAAAAAAGATATAGCACATGTGAGAGCACATAAAACCTACCCCCTATTTACTCTTCATTACATAGAGGGTATTTTGAGGAAATACTGTGATAGCAACTGTCAGCTTGTTCATAATTTAATTCTGTAATGGATCTGCTTGTATTTGCAGTCAAATCATAATATTTACTGTAGAAGCTGCTTTTTTTTAAAATAATTCATTAAATTTATTTTAGATATACTTTTCTTTCTTCATTGACATCAGTGTTGAAATATAATATCAACATCAAACAAAGCCAAGCATAAAAAGTTTGGCACAAGTAGTGGATATTTGTCTATGTTAGTTAGCCAGAGGTCAAATTATTATAAAAAATCTGCTTTAAAGTGACTAATAAAATAAAAGAAGGCTCATGTTATCAATTTTAAGTATAAGTAAACACGCAACTTTTATGTATACCTTAATATTAAAAAGTAGGTCATCTTTAAGTGTGTATTTTAACCTGTTCTGTACAATAAAGTAATTTTTATTTTCCAGATCATCAAAGTGGAAGTAATCAAGGCGGCCGCATGCCGCAGGCCCCAGGTGAAGCAGTTCCACAATAGCAGCATCAGATTCCCGCTGCCCAAGCGTGTGCACCACCACAAGCGTCTCAACACCTTTGCATACAAGAGGCCCAGCACATACTTCCTATAATTATATTGTATGACATTTAATTACAATAAAACCTACATCGTGATGTGGGAACCAATTCTATGTTTAATTTTTTACCTCTATGTTTAATTTTACACGGTGCTATAACCATGGTTCTAACTGTCAATGCCCTCTAAGGGCGCCATAATAAAATATGTTTTATATATATATATATGGCTTGAAATCATTTTTTGTATTAGGCTGAGTAAGCATGCTTTTTATATTCAAACCCAGAATAATATTAAGTAATTTTAAATCTTAACATTTGGTAATAAAAATCAATAATGACAATAGTAAACATACAACACAAACTGCACAATAGACATTGAGATAATACATCCATAATCATAGCACTTACATAATTTTGGTGAATGCGCGCCCTATGCCGGGCGGTCAGAACTGCCGTCCACACTGGGGCACCGTACAGTGCGCGTACGAAGCTGGTTGGGCAAAAGTCACTTAAGAGCAGACGCAGTGCCGACCAGTTTTAGGGTAAGCTGTCGGGAGTGCTCATCGAAGAGCCATCTCCCGTCAGGTATCAGGCCCATATCCTTCATCTGGGCCTGAACCGGTACGTTGACCAAGATGACCACGATTGAGGCACCACGGGGTGGACTATAACTAGTTTCAAGAAATAAGAGGTCTCCGTCTTATCCAGGACCACCTTTAAGACAACCACCAAAGAGACACCCCAGGTCCCCCTCCTACCCACAGACAACCAAAGTGTCGTTGGCGTAACAGATTACGCCCAGCCCGGGGAGGGAAGTCTCGAAGGGCCTAGTCGTACCCTATGTTCCACAGGAGAGCCCAAGACCAGAGCGCTGTTCAACACCACATGACATGGGCCGACGTCTCAAAATTGAAACAAAACCTATAGGGTTTGTTTCTTGAAACTTAAAACAAGCCCAAGTAGGGTTTGAAATTTGAGACTGGCATAACCAACCCGTCTGGCCAGCGTAGCATAGCAAACAAAAATCTCATTTCTAAGGAGAAGCCCATATCCAGCAATAGACTGTTGAGGATGATGATAAATACCATAAACTAGATAACCTAAAACAACCCAAGGGGCCCTTGGTAGAATTTGCTACAGGCCCCGCGCTGTCTTAATCCGGCACTGCAAAGGGGAAAAACCTTTGAAAGAAAACACGGTATGAAATTATACGTTTTTTATTAAGGGTTCGTAGCTAAAAACATGTAATATTACGATATTCTAAGTATAAAATGTAATTGCCAAAGAGGTCCCTCCTAATCTAGATACAAAGTAAAAACTTAACAATGAAGATATAGCTAATAGGGAAATCCTTAAAACGCTTTATTTTATTACAGTAGTTTTTTTATTTATCTAAAATATATTATTTCTCAGCAAAACCAAATTTCAACGGGGTTAAAATTTCTGTAGTCCAGACTTACGATAAGCTCCAGTTTGATTCCTTACTTAAAATCTCATGATGTAGACCTAGCCCAAAGAGGGTCATGACCCGCCCCCAAAGCCGGATCCGGCTTTTCTACTCCTAGATATCACGCATTTATTAAGGAGCCCTAAACTAATAATTTAAAAATGAAAAATACATATAATAAAAAGTAAGTTGGTATATGTAGGCATAGCAAATTAAAATAAACAGGATTCAGAACTTCATAAAACTTCGAAGCTTAAAAAAACCGAAAAAAAAAGTATACGCCCTATTTCAGGTAGGTATGGTATCTATTTATTATTATATAAAATCACAAACTGGCTTATTCACTGATTGATCGATCAACGCACAGCTGAAACCACTGGGATTTTGACAACAAAAGGAAACTTGAAGTTTTCCATTGGTTACATTTTGAACTGCGCTTAGTGCACACTTACATTGTGCACTAATTAGGAATTTAGGAATTTATCCCCCAAGAGGTTAAAGAGAGATCGAGGCAGATTGAAAAGTCGTTCACGTTGCATCTTTGGCAACGAAGGTTGATCGATCAGTCAGTGAGTTAGACAATCAGTTTCTCCTTTTATATATGATCTTAATATCTGTAATATCAGGCTTAACGAGTTTCAAAACACTTTTGAGCGTTTAAGTTTAACAAAAAAATTTAGTTACTGTAAATTTTGAAAATGGAAGTAAGAGATGGACAACACGCCTTTGTACGGTATTACACAAGTAGTTTTGGTCACTTGTAAATTGAAATTATTATTACAAATGAATTGTGTCGTGTTGTAAGCAGTTACGTAAATAAATGGAATGTTCATTAGATAGATTTTTAACTCAATGTTAATATGTATTCTATAGTATAAAACACATTACTCCTAATGTATCGTCATATCGTATCTTCATCTCAATTATAGTTATTTTTTCCTTGAACTTATCAACACGGTGTTATCATTTCGCCAGTAATGAATAACGTCTAGTTTTATATTTTGCACTTAAACACTTAAACATGAACGGTTATGCAGAGTTCCATCGACTTGCGTAAGTATGTACGCTTTTATATTTATGACATTTAATAATATGTCTATACCTATGAAGTTGTAGATTTTTAAAACCAGAATTTATAGATTAATTTATCAGTGGATTGGTGGGCAATTTGCAATTCAAATAAATTTTATTCGAAAGCCGTTATTTTAATTTAAAATTCAGTCATTTTTCAGATAGTGTTTTGTTTTGTGAAATTCGGGTAGTTTTCTGCGCCATGGATAATTTTAAATTCGTAAAATTTTCGAATGAGCTCCTACGTGGAACGGCTGCGCAAACAACACGAAACATTAACTACGTTTACGGGCTTGCTTAAACACCGCCCATTATTGGTTAAATCGTTTTATATCTGGAAGGCTTGAGTTGAAGACCGAGCTTAGCGGTCTGCCAGTAACTATAGTCGATAACAACCAATTGAAGGCGATAGTGACAGAGGATCTACTTCAATCTACACCTGAGCTTGCTGCGGGCTTTGGAGTTAGTGTTAAAACATCATTGAAGCACTTGCGTCAAATCGGAAAGATAAAAAAGCTAGATAAATAAGTGCCACACGAACTAAGCGACCTTCAGCAAGACTTACGCGTCGAAACATGCATAGCACTACTCAATCGGCATAGAAATGAGGTAATTCTGAATGGAATTGTTAGTTGCGATGAAAAGTGGATCCTGTACGACGACCGTAAGCGTACGTCTCAATGGGTGGACCCGGGTACAGATAAAAAAAGATTACCTATAGGAAGATGATGCTGACTGTGTGGTGGACCAATGCCGTCCTTGTACATCACAGTTTCTTACCGAATAGAACAACAGTGATGGCAGATGTCTATTGCCGAAAATTGCAAACAATGATGGAGAAGCTCGCAACTTCAACAACCACGACTTCTCTTACTTACTTCTCGACACATAGACTATTGCAAAGCTACAAGAGTTACAGCTGGAAGCTCTCCGTCACCCACCATACTGACCGGACCTAGCCCCAACAGATTTCTACTTTTTTTTTAAATTTAGTCAATTTTTTAAGTGGGAAATAATTCAACTTATTTTTTCTGTTAAAACACAACCCCCGTACTAGGAATATATAATGTGTCGCAGGGGACTTTACAAACATGCATGGTAACGGACACAAAGAACACTAAGACTAAGAACAACAATTTGTAGATCACACAAATTGTTGTCCCGTGTGGGGATCGGACCCACAACACTCAGCGCAGTGGGAAGCGGCGGTGACCGCTTAAACCACTACGCCAGCCGTGCAGTCAATTTTGATTAGCTAAAATAAAAAATTAACCAATCATTCAAAATTTTCCTACAAATCTCCAACTTCATAGGTAAACCCCTTACAATAGTGAAAATGATTAATAAATAGAACATATTTGTATTATTTCAATAACATGTTAATATAAAGCAAGTAAACTTTTGATTTTACATCAAAACACCTTGTGTACTTGTATACTTCAATAGTTTATAAATTAACTTAACAATATTTATTGATTCCCTTATCAAAAGAACAATAATAAAATGAACTGATAGCTTGGGCCCCACATTAATTATGTACACTTGACTTACTAATTTTGGCACCAAATAATTAACTGTCTCTGAAGAAACTACTTTCGTCTGCTTATTAAAATAAAAGATCTACTTCTTAAATCGTTTTTTTTTTAAAAGTCAACCATTACTTATTTTTTTTTTTATTTTGTCCAGTTTTGTGTTACATGCTAGGTTTAACTCAATTTATACCTATAATTTATTTAGTTCAAAACAATGTTGAAAATTATTCTATATATCGTGTTATTGTTCTGCAAGGGGTGTATTCATATTTAAGTAAACTTTGTTTGAGATAGTATTTTAGAAATTTAATAAAAATAGATATACATTTACAATGAATGAAAATAGTAAATTTTTATAAAAAATTTGGTGTCGATAAAATCCTGATAATTAAGTAGTTTTACTACTTGATATCATATAAAAATTTCACTTCTTCTGCTAGGCTATACACTAATATAAGGAGTGCAGAGGGCTTAGTGCAAGTTTACTTCACATCAACTTGCTCTCAACAGCGAGAGCGTTCGGCGTTGATAGGTGAATTTTTTTGTTACTAGTTTATTGATGTAACATTTTCTGTGTGAGAGAAGAGATAAATATATATTATCTATACTAATATTATAAAGCTGAAGAGTTTGTTTGTTTGTTTGTTTGTTTGAACGCGCTAATCTCAGGAACTACCGGTCCGATTTGAAAAATTCTTTCAGTGTTAGATAGCCCATTTATCGAGGAAGGCTATAGGCTATATATCATCACGCTAAGACCAATAGGAGCGGAGCACCAATGAAGAATGTTTCAAAAACGGAGAAAATTTATTACTATTGAGAGACGCAGACGAAGTTGCGCGGGTCAGCTAGTTATTATTATATAATCTTTCAGCGCGGGCCCAACGCGGTCACCGTGACGATCGAGTAGATATGAAACAAACTCGCACTATGGCCTCAAAAATATCTCATAGAATAATATCTTAGGATTACTTGTTCCAATTTTTTTCTAAGCCTAACAGAACCTACTTGGTACACGAAATACATTCACATCACATTACCACTAACAATAAATTTTTATCTCTTATCATACTGTTTTACTAAATAATAGGGGTTAAAGTATGAAATTGCCGTTGTTTAGTAATAGATACTTTGAATTGACATAAAACCTTCATAGTATGAGATTTTAGTGTAAAACTTTTTTCAAATGATATGTACCTATGAGGTTTTTTTTTAAATGCGTAACATTCTATTGTCATAATTTTTTTTTTTTCAGCTTCGAAAATCTAAGTCATTTTTGAATAAACGGCTCGAAATATCAACGCTGCCTTCGGAGAGGAGACTGCTAATGAACGCACCGTGCGTTTTTGAGTGTGAAACTTCGAATTGAAGAACGAATCACGTGGAAGACCGCCCACACAGGTGAATAACGCTGAATTGAAGGAGGAAGGAGGAAATCAATTAGGTAAAAAATATGAAAAATGGATGCCTCATGATTTGACTGAAACAAAGCCGACTCGTGAATCGATTTTCACCATTATTGCTCTATGATAACGCAAGACCTTACACTGCACGAGAAACCGTTGTAACTCTATAGGAGCTGCAGTTAGAAACCATACGTCATCCTCCGCACTCGCCGGACTTTACTCCAACGGACTACCATTGTTTCGTGATTTGGACATTTTCAACGTTATAAAAAAAAATCTTCCCAGAAGGCAGTACAAAATGCTTTCATAGTTTGTCGAATCTAGATCCCCAGAGTTCTATCGTAAAGGCATAAATTAGAAGGCAGAAATGTATAGATAATGCGAGTAAATATTTTGGTTAAATAGATATGTTACATCTTAGAAAAAAACAAGTTTCAATTTTTCAGTACAAATCGGCAATTTCATACTTTAATCCCTAATATGACATAAATTTAGACACATACCTAACCTAATGTAAAACATGGAACAACTACAATTTAAATAAAACGAATGCATTTATTTATTAGCAAATTCGATTTCAAACCCAGTATCTATAGGGGAAGTGCTTCAATCTTAATACACACAAATTGCATCCCAACAGATGCTCATAAATTTTTAAAGTTTAATTGTAACACACTTTATAATGCTAATGTTCTAAAATAAATTCGTATTAATTAGTGATTAATAGCGCATGAACAGAATAATATATTTAAATAACTTTATTACATTCGTTACATGCGCGCGCAATCATTTTTAGTATACTACAAGGGCAACACTTGTGATTTTATACTCATTATATCGACAAAATAATTTCGGTGTTTCACATCCTCCAGACATCTCGCGATTGCTCAATTTTTTTAATTTAGAAGTTGAGTTTACTTTGAGAGCTCAAATCGGAAGAGAATGCCTCAAATTAAGTTATTTCTAAACGACGGTTCTCTGACTCATAGTATACTAAATAGAACTGTACGTTGTATATTTAAAGACTTAATACTTTGAGAGCTACTTTAGCAGCTGCCCGTTTAGCTTGAGACTTGTTACGTCCAATGCCGAACACCGTGTGCTGTCGATCGTTCTTTGTAATAGTTACCGATACCTTTATCTTTGGTAAGTCCGGGTCGATTACAATTGCTTTGCTGTAAAGATAAATATTAACGTAATTTAAACATTTGCATTGATATTTAAACTTGTCAGTACACGGATCTGTATGTGTATAAGTGGATACTCAAATACACGATACAGTAATCCTTACTAATCTGATTATACGTGTATACACACAAGATAGAGATGGCAAGGTCATTTATTATTTAAAGGTATTTTATCTCTAGGTCTATAATTATTAAAAAAACACCAAGTAATATATTTTTTACAACCTCCATTTGTTTTGCTATTAATCGAGATTATAATATTATATACTATGGGACCACAAATTCTCTTGTTAACCCTTTCAGCTAAGTTGAAAGCTGTGGGTTTATGTTGGTAGCGCACAGGGTGAGTTTTGAACTTCTTTTTGCTAAGCCCACACTTTAAGCAATATCATAATACACATAATCATTTCAATATCAATCTTTATTGCACCCCATAATGTTATAAAGTGCACTTGCACGCGCATACGCACACGTGCACTCAAACACAAATGCAGACCCTTCGGACACTAATTCCACAAGGGTCGTTATGTATTGACTATACCTTAGTATTGATAACCATAGCTTTGAGTTAGTTACCTTTCTGGACGAGAAAATACATTATTTTAATATTATTATTACAGTAAAATGATAACAACACATTAAGTATCTCACCCAAACATAGGACAGGCGTGTATCCTTTCATAGAGCACTTTGACGGGCTGCTGCGGTATACGATATGAAAACGAATGTATTTCTTCGTGCATTATGCGGTAGATTACAGACCAGACAAGCTTTAGGTCACCGCCGCTGTCCAAGTATATCGCTCCGACTAAAGCTTCGAACATATCACTTAACACCTGTAAGAGATAGCAAATCTTTTTGTTAAGTCCCACTTACATTGGAAGCGATATGAGAATACCTGTTCAATGTTACTGACATAGAAAAAAAGCTTTTTATTGCCATACTTCAGTAATAAGAAAAGAAAAAAGTTGTTTTTTTTGGGGCCTCTCAGTGACAAAAACATTTCACGGCTATGTCTATTCTACTCACACTTCTTGGCAATACATGTATATGAATTTCTGGCATTTATGTATATGAATCAAACAATTATTTTTAAGAAATTGAAACTTCGGCGACACTTCCAATAATAATACTCTTGTGGATTTGGTTACCATTATGCCAATACTCATATCAGCCATCCCATGGGCTGCATGGGCATGGGATGATGACTGATGATGCTAGGAGTCTCGATGAACAACTTCAGAGGCTAAGCAGCTGGATTAAGGGCCTGATGCAGAAACCGTACTTCTCGATACTCGTAACTCATGAGGTGTCTGTCTCTGAATACTAACCACTAGTAGCTTGGTACCTGCACTTGATACTGATGGGTGACACACAACTTTTTATATTTTTGAAAGACAAAAGAAGGAATCATCTGGGAAATTATTTTTAAATATATTTTTTTTTGGACGCAAATGTATTTGAAATTGTAATTTACATGTACATTAAACAAATAAAGAAAATAATAACTCAGAGATTGTGCTAAAAATAATAAAAATGGAAATACTTAAATACTTCTGAAATTTCTTTTTTAATACTAATTTTAAATATTTAATTATTTTTCAAGGAAAGATACAGATTGATTTAAATAGACATTTTCGTACATAGAAATATTTGTATTGACCGGGAATCAAACCCAAGACCGACAGCCACCACGCCATAGAGTGCGAATTATGTGCCGCGTGTAGACTACGATAGGCGGATAGTAGTGGTTCACAATAAACTTCGTGAACGTATTTCTTGTATAAATTACATTCAATGCATTGTGCAATATGATTTTATTTTAGATATACATATGACTAAGGAAGTCAATCATAGAAGTTAAGGATTTCACAACCGTGCAAGCTATCTGTCGTAAGTGGTTATCTAGCCGCCTAATAGGGAAGTAAGTTGGTTTTGGTACCGACGTTTCATCATCATCAACAGCCTTTATTACACGCTTTATATTAGCTTTACTTGTATGTTTGTTTGTAACCGACTCCTTTGGGTGTGATTTTGACTGACTTTAAACTGTCAGAATTCGTTCAAACTTTGTAGATATATCGAGGACCGATGACAATACACTAATTTAAAAAAAAACAAAAAATGGTTTTCTATAGAAAGCGTGTTTTTTAGTTTTTTAAACCTATATTTTTTTTAAATTTTTAGTCCACTGATGGACATAGACTGTCATGGCATAAAAAGTAACAAAAGGTAATAGGTAAGTTGTTTATGTTATAATAATGGCAAACATATGCGAAGTCAACTTATACAAACCTTCGGCACTTCAACATATTCAGCCATTTGACACTCTTCCTCGTCTATTAAATAGAGAACATCTTCTACAATAACATGGTCTCTTTGAGTCTGATGATCCACGAACATTATGATGGCTTTCGAGAGCGTTGCATTCAACTCGGAGCAAAGGAATCTAAAAGAAAAAATAATAATATTAAAACATTTTCGGGACGTAATACTAGTATAGACTTTGAAAGAAATAACTTTAATATATACGCCAACTGCTTATTTCCTAAGAAATCTAGGGAGATCCAATAATTAAACGGTTTTCTTTTTTCTAAATTAGTATCCTTACCAGTGACCTTTCTAAAGTGTGTTCATTTATTATGCTTTTAAGCGAACCGATAAATATGTGCGTATATAAACGACTAACTCATGCGACTCATAAACATTACACATCCTTTCCAAAAACTTACTTGTGCAGTCCCAACTTGACAATGTAAGAGGCGAACGTGACGTTGTTGACTAGAGCAGACCTAAGATCGGTCATCTCGCCAGGCTTCAGTTCACAACAGTTTTCATATATATGTGATGTAATGAGGAAGTCCAAGACGGCATCTCCTAGAAACTCGAGGCGTTCGTAAGAACGTGTCAATCGGTTACGAATGTAAGATGAATGTGATAGCGCCTGGAACATAATTCAAAATGTGATTTCTCTCTGAAGCAGCTGTTTTCTCTCTTCATTCCATTATTATTCATGTAAAAGTAAAAGTTCAGTAAAAGTGTTTTATATTAGAGGAGGAAAACTTAAAATAAACCCTGTAGAAACCCGTCTGGCCAGCGTGGTATAGTAGGCCATAATCTCCTTTCTAAGGACAGGCCTATGTCCAGCAGTGGACTATTATAGGCTGTTGACGATGATGATGAAATTAGAGCTACACTAATAACACGTAATCCTTAGTAACAGGTTTGATATAACAGCACGTTAACAAATGAAATTAATATTTACCTCAAGTAAGAAAGACGGATCATTGAATTTATAATTTAATATCGTTTCTACATCTGTTCTGCTGTGGGACAGTAAATAATCTATATCACTGATTGTTGCTGTTTGATCTGTGACTAAAGGCGATACTTTTTTGTGCAATAATTCTGAAAAGGAATCCTGAAACAAAAGGTTACATGGTCTATTAGTGTTATGTCAAATTGTTACAAGTTTCATAATAGGCACAAAAACATTAAAGAAATAGTAAAAACTAATATCTCTGTACACTATATTGTTATTCTCTTGTAATTCTCTTCTATAATTTTTAATACATTAATAAAACAATAGAAATTTCAACTATAACAATTTGAGTTACTAAGTAATGAATATAGCTTTATTCTACTGTTGTAGGTTTGGTTCATTAATTTTCGAATTATCAAAATAGTCGTATTTTTAGTTGACGTAAGTATTCGAAGGCAATGAAGATGTTTTAAAAACTTTGTTGCGTTTATAAGTGGTAGCACGTTTGAACTGTAACTGTCAAACTTTTTGACCTTAAAACTTTAAAAGATACCTAGCTAACATTATAATTGCCAAACTAGGTTTGTTACAGAACTACTTTACCAATCAACATGAATTTTTATATAAACATCCTCAGAACAAACTACAGAGTACCTTAATCCACAAAAAACAGCGAATTCGCAAGCAAAACCAAGTAAGTTGATATTTCAGAAAAACATTATCATTATTTAAAAATGTATATATTGTATATAAATAATACCTTAGTAGGTAAAATCCCCATCCATTCTATAACTTTGATGGCTCCTTGAATACCTCCACTCAAGAGATATGTACCGATGATAGCTTCCACGCAATCGGCTACGGTCTGAAACAATAGCGCTATTACTTTAATGCAACAATACCGCACTGATATAAATTATAATATCTTTCTATGTAATGCAAGGCAAAAGTTATGATCAACTCAAACCTTAATTGTATACTGCGATATTAGTACAAATTGACAAAGCTACATTCTCTTTTATGATGAATATTACTTAAAATAACATCGTAACATATCGTAACATATTTGAATTTGATCCATCCAGAAATGAAGTTTGTTTCAAAATAAAAAAAAGTGTCGTGTTTTTTTTGGAACTTTGTGACCCTTCCACTGCTTTATGTCACGCTCAAATCGTCAGATTTTTTAAATACACACTAATGACTCAACTTACCTTTATCTTACACGCTCGAGTATGTCTGGTCATCGTTTTTTTTAACTAATCTGATGGCCCTAGACGCTCCCCCCTATATGTAGGGCTCATGTGTGTTTGAGGTACTCAACTGGGTGTAAGGTATTCCTCCTATGTTAATCTGACACGCCCGAGTAAATCCTGAAATCCCCTCTAGGGCTCCCCTACTATAACATAAATACCTGAAACTTGACAGTTTTGTCATGTCTGTCGGGTATGTTTTTTATCAGGACTAATAACAAGATAAAAGTTCAAATTTAATATGGTAACAGATCCGGAATACCTTACAGCACCCATTCATTTAAGCTTATTTTAATTCTTATTGTATGTAAACTGCAACATCCCTGGAGCCAACGGCGATACTTAGGAATCGAAGACTTTGTGACCTCCAGCAGACCTTCGGCCTTGGTCAGGTGGTGACCACACCATTGAGAAAGCAAACCCTATCGAAAATATCTGGCAACCCCATTGAGCGGAACAGACTCTTCCCTTCCTCTGACGAGACGGTGCGATTCAATAATGTATCAACGTGGTTGTCACCGTTTCTCTCTCTTATAATTAGGGGTTAATTTACATATGTCTTATAATTAGACCCTTCTCATCTGGTCTGGAGGTGAGAATACTCCTATAAAATTAATTATTTGTTTGGAACTCTAATTCTTATCTTTAAATAAAGATAGTCTAAGTTACGTCAGCTATGTGCCAGTGTCATATTCCATGTCAATTAGTTTAATCTTTTGCGTGATTAGCCGGAACAAACGGACGGAAAGACAGACGTCTTCTTGATGTTATTCTTACGCCTTTAGCAAAAGCCATTATTTTAATAATTATACTAGTAAATACAATTACTTTTTATATTTATTGGTATAATTAGATGGTTTGACAGACATTGTATCATATAATAACTGTTGTTACTCGGTGTCAACAAGTTTTGACCTGAAGTCTTAAGTCCCGGACAACTAAGTTTGTGAAAAATGCCGGGACTTTAAGACAAGAGGTATCAAGAGCCCTTTTTTTTTTTCCGTGCGGAAATCCCCTCGGATACCACCTGTCGGTGGCATGTCGGACCCGAACCGACTAAAACCGCACGCCTTCGCCGGGTACTAATAGCCGGGGAACCAGGTATACCCTAGAAAGGAAGGCCCTGGTGCCCCGACATACCTCGGGTCATCTACAGACGAGTAGACGACCCCCGCCCCGTGTGGGAACCCCATGTTCCCTGTGCTCCCTGGAAGCGAGCGCGCTTCGCAAAGCGCTCGCCGCCACCCCGGCCTGCTTCTGCTAGGGTGACAGATGGCCTCACCTGTCACCCCCAGGCCTGCGCTTATGGAGGACGGAGGTCGTTCTGCGACCTCCGGCGCCTGAGTCGCCTGCGCTGCCTGGCCCGTGCCCGGGCCTGGCGGGCCGGGAGAGTTCTAAACCTCTCCCGGTCCCGCTCCGCCGTCTCGGTATCAAGAGCCCTAAATACTATGATGAATGATTTTTCGTCTAAAAAACATATCTAATTAAAATCAGTAAAACCCTTCTAAAAGAGCAGCAAACCACTTACACACAAAGAGCTTAAAGTAATTAAAATATTGTATGAACTAAACTTCTGAAGAGTGACAAAATAGTTGAAATATTGCAACGACAGTCAAGTTGGATTTCCACACCAAGTAACCATAACTTTTTTTAAATTGGATGTTTAACTTTCACAACGACTTAGATTGTTACCTAGTGTTGAATTGTTAATCTGACGACCATGTCCAATGGATAGATTAAGTGCCAGGGCCGAAGCTTAACCGGAGTGTAACAATAAAACTGTGTAAATGTAACCATCGTACCTTGTCCGCCACAGCTTGTGTATGTACATAGCTTTGCATGGCATTCTGTGCACCACCTTCTGGTTCAAACTCGGCTCCACCCTTGACATACCCCTCCCGAACTGTATCCATGCTTTCTCGAGACAATTGGCCACTAAGTGCTTCGGACGATGGAAATTGAAGATTGATCATGAAAGTAGGACGAATCTGAAAAGTGTGCAACGTGTATTTTAGTGAGTGTGAAGATCGAGCGAAGCAAATAAAAAAAAAGAAAACTTTATGGAGAAAAAAATCATCATCAAACTCTTTGATTTTAATTACTTTAAATTCAAGATGAATGTTGATTTGATATTTCAATAAATTATTAAATAATTGACTTGTTACTTTTGACAACTTAAACATTTCTATTTAAAATAATTTCAATGATAGCGTTTAACTATTAACAATTACTATGTATTTCATAGTATGTTTGTGATCTTCGGCCATAACTGTTATCTTCTTTACGACATCAAATGTTATACACCTTAGAAAATAATGAACTATAATACATTATAATCATATTGTCAGTCAAGATTGGAACCTATTATCGATGATATTTAACCTAGATACACACTACTGTGTGGTATCGCGTCAGAAACATATCGGTTTTTTCGAGTATAATGTGTTGACAGAAAAATCCGTGATTTTGCATTTGATGCATTATAGGCACTTATAATTTATCAAGGTGATCGATTTTCAACCAAACCCGTACTACTTTTAGCTAGATAATTTAAAATGCTTATGCAAGCTTATTTATTTCATTTGGATCACCAACAAGGAATACATTTTACATGCTTTATTAGGTTTATAATGGTAGCAGTGTTTTCCCTATTAAAGGCGACCACATCATGCAAATAAATTATCCAACCTTCAATTTATTTTTGTTTGTTACCTAACAAGATTAATATTCTCCGTGATCTTTTTTTAAATACTTTCAATAATCAAAAGAAAAAGTCGGTCGGAGGTATATACATAGTAGACAAAAAATCAGTTAATAATTAAATTACAAGTTGAGTACTCAGAAGTGTCACATCTAATTTAGAGATTTATATTTTTCCAGTTAATTTCTATTTCTAGAAAACGTCTATGCTCCCAAGGAACATGAAAACTTATAAATTTAACAAATATATTATTAGGGGTTTGTCATGTATTGATGGGATAATAATTTATGAGTCAATAACACTGCTGTCAGATCAACGACGAGATAACACTTTATATTTATTTACGTCTATCGCCGTTATTTATTGAATTCAAATTAAGCTGACTTACTTTTAATTTGAATACTTTTTACGTCTACCTTTCTTAACACTTTTATTTGAAATACTTATATCTAAACTGGCCGCTACTGCAGTTTTCTCCGATTTCTAGGGTGAACTCACAAACTCTGTAATATTGGGCAATATATACAAGTAATATATCAAACACAAAAACAGTTTTTCGTTATTGCGTTTAAACAAACAACATCTTCAAAATCTTCAACTTATTAATTAAACATGTTTAGTATAGTAGGTATATGGATAAAAAGCATCTTTTTATTCTAAATTTCGAAATTTTTATTACAAATATTCTTTTCATTAAGGTTGTTAGTGAAATTATTATTTTTGAACGTTTTATCGACAAACATTCAACACATGACTAAAGAAAAGTTACTTATTTTCTGTCTGTATTCTATTAACTTCATTGTAAAAGAAGATATTATTATGGGTTTGCGTGGTACGGTTTGTTAATAGGTCTGAACTACCCTTTTTTTTTCCTGTCCTTAAATCCCTTCGGATACCACCCACCGGTGGTGATTATGTCGGACTCGAACCGACCAAAAACCGCACGCCGTCTCGGGTACCAGTTGCCGGGGAACCAGGTGTACCCTAGGAAGGAAAACCTTGATACCCCGACGTACCTCGGGCCATCTACGGGCGTACATGACCCCCTCCTGTGTGGGAACCCCTATGTCCCCTTTGTGCTCCCGAAAGGGCGCGCGCGCTTCGAATCGCGTCTCGCCACCACCCCGGCCTGCTTCTGCTAGGGTGTGGTCTGAGCAACCTGACATCAAATATAATTAACTTTTTATTTATTTATGTATTGTTACAAAATAAGGTACACAGTTTAAACAGTAAGATGCCGCATAAACTCTTTCGAGATTTTCCGTGCATCAGTGTCATCACTAATACATGTTTATATATATACTTAAACAGTTAATTATTCTAAATTAATACATTGCCTAAGACAACAAAATCACACACATCACAACATCATCAACATATCACCGGTGTACTTACATTTATCGGAAAAAGAAATAATTAATTTGAGTGGGTAGTCATTGTAGGTTGTACCGGTTGTACGGCGACCAGATCGCAACAGGTTTTATACAATATACATATATACATCTGTATTTGTAATCGAAAACCCTTTCGATTACAAATAGAAATAAGAAAACCGTACTCCGAGGTGGTCCCATTATCACAAAGTCAGTCAGAAAAACAGTGTGAGTGTGTGTTGCATTATATAATAATTGCGATTAAGTCTTCAGTGTATTCGTATGTTAAACCAAGCAGCCATTCAGTAACTCGTGATTTACATTATAGAATAGTAGTGGGATAAATGTTTAAATTTTATTTATTTTGTTATTTAATGAGAGGCAAAAAAGTAGAAATGTCGTTTAGCTAGTTGGGTTTTCACAATTGTATTATGCAAACTTTATCTATTCTGCGTTTTTTTTTGTATTAGGCATAAAAGTGGATCTCCCTGTTATTCCTAATACAAAAAACGCAGAATGTGCGTTTACTGTGTGTTACGTCCTGTTACGTAGTGAATTTTATCTATCTGTCACGACTAATTTTTTCAGGAACACGTGGAGGCAAGTTGAAATAAACCACAAATACCTTTTTCCGCGGTCTCTTAAAGCTGTCAATCGGAAGCCATGGCCATTTTAAAACTTATGTATGTTTCAACATATTTTTCCACTTCGCATATAAATCAAAACCTATTTATTAGATACTAACCATTGAATTTCATTGAATATCATGAAAATTGATTCAAGGTCTCGCAGTATGTTGTCGCGAAGATACTCTCTCGAGAGACAATGATATAAAGTGAGAATGCGTGGAATTCCGCCACTTTGTTTTATGAGGCAGTGATGTCTCTGAAGGGGCGGCGATAAAGGAACGGTGAGGACCAATTCTCTCCCGTCACGAAAAGGAGGAGCCTTTACGATATTTGAGAAGCGATGCCCGAAATGGACGAACTTTTTACATACAAGTGTATATGGAGTATCCACTTGTTCGGGCTCAAACTTAACATCTTACTACCTTATTTAAATAGTCACGGACTTATTTAATAAAATTTTATTGCATAATCTAACATACTACAGTTTGTTCCGTTCAAAGTTGAACCGACTTCAAACATTACTAATAAAGGGTACTAAAAATTAAAAAATAATTCCAATTCTAATTGAAAAGACTGAAATAAGTGCGACCCTCAATATAACAGGTAACATAATAATGGTAAAAGATACCTTCTAGTCTGTTGTCTGAAGTCAGTGCCAAGCCAAATAGGTACTTGATACCCTAAGAAGGTAGCGCGGCGGGTGCGAGGGTCTTCATGTTACGCACGCAATACGGTCAAGGTACTCAACAGGGTGTAAGGGTATAAGCACCAGGGAATTCCTTTCTAGGGTATACCTGGTTCCCCGGCTGTTAGTACATGAGACGGCGTGCGGTTTTAGTCGGTTCGAGTCCGACATGCCACCGATAGGTGGTATCCGAGGCGATTTCGGCACGGAAAAAAAAATGTTGTAAGGGTATCCCTCCGTATGCTAATATGCCGCGTTCGATTAAATCTCTTTTAGGGCTCCACTATACAGAACGTTCTCATCTCCGATTGAAACTGGTATTTTAGACAAACACAAAGGCCCCGGTAACTTAATTTAGAACATTCTAGACTTATGTACATATTCGTTGGTCTCACGAATGCAAACACGAACGACATTGAATCTACATATTTATTTTCTGTTCAAGGCGTGTTCGCTGACGCTATAGGTACTATGAATTTTTGTAACTGTATTGTGTGACTATTGTCTGGTGCAAATATTCTCAAATATTCAAAACCACTGTAGCTATAATATTAAATAACATGCCAATTTCTAACTAAGGTATCAGAACCGCTATTTTTCCGAAAAGGGTGCTACTAATAATAGCCATAATATTTTCTATTTATTAATGGATTCATTACATTGATTAAAAGGTTCAATTTGAAAATATGTAAATTAACATTCAGCGGACATTAAAAAAACTTATAAATATTTATATAATACCAATACGTTTCACATCCTAATAATTTTAATAAGCTAGATAAACAAGCATATTTTAGGTTTATTACTTTATTAGTAAACGAAATGATATTTTAGGTGTGATACACGTGTAATCTATTCGCTGAATGATATTTTTATTAATAACAACATCTTTCACGAGTAAGTTGTTGCCGTTTCACTTCACGGGATAATAAAATGTAAAAAAAAACTGGTTATTTTGATAATTTAAATGAACTGTTTTTATTATTAATAATAATAACTTCACACAAAACTCGGCAGTCTCATTCCAAATTACAGACCCAATAACCTCCAGACACAGAACAAATGATCGTGCTCATCACACAAAATTTGTCCTGGGGTAAATATGGAGCCCACGATCTACTACTTGGACAAAACATTTTTCACGATACATTCTTGTATTACATACTAAGGAGCGACTTCATACCTTGCTATTGTCAGGTCATATACTTTTAATCTCGATTAGAAGCCGTCCCGGTAGTGGGCGCCGGGCCTAATATACTCGTAGATATTAACATTTGTAAAAATATATTACGTTGTATAAGTATAATTAATTGTTTATGATGTACACAATATGTGATTCTGAATCGCACCATTTAATAAACGTCGTATACCATAAAGACGAAATGGTTTCATGCAAAAATACAAAACTGACAAAAAATTAAACAAACAACAAAAAATTGTTAAGTGTGAAGGAAAAATAAACCTTTTATAAGGCGGATATATGACTAGTTATAAAATCGTTAGTTTACCAAAACGTATTATAACAGTATTCGACGTAGTATTTCAATGTCAAGAGTATCTTGAGTCACTAGTATCTTCTTATAAGACAACTTAATTCGTTTTTTACTTAACTGAGCAAGTAGTAGGACGAAGAATATAAATATATATAATTTTATGGTTATATGTTTACGTTATTTGTATAACGTTTATGTGAATAACTAAAGGAACCCTTTATCTACTTAGTTTTGAATATAAATATATCGGTACAAGGGGCAAACAAGTAGACGGGGCACGTGATGGTAAGTGACTATCAGTATCGCGGCCCATGGACACATGCAAATAAAGAGACATAAGTGTTCACTCAGTGAAAAGCAACGAAATTATGGCTGCAGATGTGTAATTGGTGAAGAGTTTAGTTTGATCCAATCACAATGCGGAACGCGATCAGCGATAGAGTAGATGTGAAATAAACTCACACTTGGGCCTCAGAACCGGTTGTCTGTGAGTCCGTGGTATCACTCCGGTCGAGCCGACCCATATTTGCAGAAGCATGGCTCTCCTACGCTTATTAATATATTGTAATATAATAATTATACCTTACATAATTATGAAGACATGACTTAAAATTCTAAAAAAAATGTAGGTCCGTTGAAATATTAGCTGTGGTAATTATCTACACAGTAGGTAGTTACTACTCAACAGTTCAATATTTATCGGCTCAATAGCACTTTGAATTTATTGTATATACATATGCCTACGTTTTTTATAAATTCAATGTGCTACTGACCAGATACGTTTTGATCTATTGAGTGGTAAGGCGTCACAGGCGGTACGAATGTGGGGAAACACAGTCGTACCACCACATTCGACACTGATAATTAAATTTAGCGAAATTATCTATAAACTGATTAGGTAGTAAATAATAATAAGTTATTATCAATTATTACAATTTAGAGTCGAAACGAATATCCAGCCATTATCCGGGTTCCAGCCGTTGTGCTGTCTGGCCTATCAAAAAGTAAGTTTTAAGTATGTGCGTATTTGAAATCACAAAACTAATCCTTTTTTTTATTTACAACTTAAATAGTACGTGTACTACAGTTATATTACGTTCAATATATAGAAATCAATTTCAGTAGTTGTACTTGTAGTTAAACAAGCTATTTGACATAAATTTCTAACATCTTAAATAAGTTAAGAGTTGCACTGAACAGACCATAGAGAAATTGTTCGTACAAATTTGGTCATGAATCTGAGTCTGTCAAATACACTTAACAGAAAGCACACTGATACTGCATGCAACTGAATTAGGAAGCATTAATTTAATCTATACTAATATTATAAAGCTGAAGAGTTTGTTTGTTTGTTTGTTTGTTTGAACGCGCTAATCTCAGGAACTACTGGTCCGATTTGAAAAAAATTTTCAGTGTTAGATAGCCCATTTATCGAGGAAGGCTATAGGCTATATATCATCACGCTAAGACCAATAGGAGCGGAGCACCAATGAAGAATGTTTCAAAAACGGAGAAAATTTATTACTATTGAGAGACGCAGACGAAGTTGCGCGGGTCAGCTAGTTAAACATAAAGGTTATTATACCAGTTTGTTCTACTAAAATAACAAATAAATCTTAAATAATTCATATTATAAATGCAAATGTTTCGTTATGCTTAATGCTTTCACGCCTAAGTAGTCAACCAATCATTCATTTATCAAAAGAAGGGAGGTAAGACATGTTTCATCAAGAAAAAATTATTTTTCTTTTTGATTTAGCTTAAAACGAAGCCCATGCATACATGATACTTCACCAATACTTTGCTTTCATCATTTTCCTACGTTTTAAGATAACATCGTGACATTTCTTTCGACATTCAGAATAGGTAATTGAAAATCCAGACCAGACCAGATATCCGGGTTCAAGGTTAGCTGGTATCCGGCCAGACATCTCTTTATTTCATCTCTAATTATACTACCGATATTGTCACTTGTTATCGTAAACACACATGAAAGGCTTTTACAAGGTCAAGGTTGGGAATAGTCCACCGAGCAACAGAGGTGGCATGTTTGAATCACTGTAGTCGCTTAGTTCATGACACTACTATTTTGACGATCGTAAAGACCGCACGTCACATTAGCATTTTATAAAATATTTGGCGAATGATTTAAGCGACTGATTAACTATCTATTATCAATATCAAACGAAAATTCAGTACACGGACTTCGATAACTGTGTCAGTTCAGTGTTTTAGTGATTTACGAAGGTGAGATCATGCTCTTTAATTTTCTTATACAAAACAGTGTGTTTAGTGTATAGTTATTAAGTTGACCTATATTTTGTTTTTAGAACATTTTTTTGGTAAAAATAAAAACCTATCATGTGTTATGAATTGACAACAGTGGAAGATGCATTTTCTGACTTACGAAGTACCTCACAGCATAAAGCTCAGCTAGTAGTTTTGGAAACTCTGTTAGCTAAATGTCTGAGTACATAAAATATAAAGACTTTGTAACATCAGTATGAAAATATATTCTATCCATAATTTTTTTGTTAGTTTGTAGTTGCATTATATTTGTGACAACCGATTCGTAGTGAAATAAGTTTGTTGCAAAGAAAAATCAATGCATGTCATGGAGATGGGGGAAAACGCTAAGATGTAAAATTTTATCACAAACCGATCATTTCTAATGTATATGGTAATTTATGGTGTCATAGTGTCGGCAATTACTAATTGTATAAAACGTCTAGAACTTGTATAAAACATGCTGCTGAGTGAGACAAACCCACAAACAGAGATTCGAGACATAGTCGAAAAGGGCTATTGTGGGTAGTTTTACCATTAAATTACGGATTTACCCGACAACACCAACTTTTAGAAAGTCAAAAAACTACATTAAAACCTGTTCCATTTCACCGTAGTCTAGTGTGTTACTTAAAATTTGACTTGTGCGTAGGTATTGCGAAACAATATATATTTTTTGATCAAAATACAACACTTTGTATTTTGTCAAGGGCATTAAAGTACAGTTTTACTATTAATACACTAAACTTGAAAGTGATTTTTGTTCTTTCGTTTCTTTAATGACGAGCTAATCATTAGAGCTATCAATCGCATTTAAATAATTTTTTTTATAGTATTTGGGAATAATATAGGTAGTGAAGCAACGGAAAAAACGTTACAATGTAGTAGTGACTAATAACGCAGAGTGAACAGCAGTGAATTGTTTAGTAAAGCCTAATTAGTCTAGTACGTTTTAATATTTATTTAACAAACTTGGAAGACTTATAGCTTGGCATTATCTATTTTTCATTCTTTTATACTAAAAATAAATAAAAAATGAACATACTAACATCAACTAACCTAATATCCAGTAGTAAAAAAATGCTTTTCTTTTCTTTGATTTTCTTAAACGGAAGTTCTTGGCTATAGACTATAGACCCAAGAATTTTTTAGGTCAAATCAACTTTCAAAGAAAAAAAAACTAAATCCAAAACAGTGCACTTATTTAGGAGCTATGATATAACAAACGAATAATCACACACGCTTAACTTATGACACTCATTGTTTTCCGTTAAGGGTTAAAATCACAATTAAGATCAGATTTAAGGAATATGAGCTTTAATTCCAAATAACACTCCTCGTAACATAACACCTATTATCGCACTACTGATATCAGTTTTAAGAGTGATATCAATAATAATTTTGTCGAATAACAGTGTAATATAAATATAGAGTAATATTTAGAGATCATTTAGGGATGACGACAATTTCAGAAAATATATTATTCTTTGTTCAATATAATTATGCATAATATAAGAGTAGAAGCCGCAGAGAAATAGATGACCGGTAATGAGGTTTAAGGTGAGTAATAATAATTTGATACACCTGAAACACGACTGTGTGATCTCAAATTAGACAGTGCCTGTGTTGTGGTAACCAGACTGCCCTAAAACATATATGTATTTTAAAACATATTGTAGATAAATTGCAACCAGACACGGAATAAATTTAATGATCGTAAATACAATATTAGTCTACAAAGTTTTATTACTTATGATAACAGCAAGTGATGGGTCGTTGTTCATACAATCGCTATATGTAGTGTACACTACCCACTTGTAATTTAATGCACCACGGTAATTTATAAAGAGTTGCGATGAGTGCGTGGAAGTAATTCTTATTTTCAATGTTTATTGTTGACATTAGTAAAGCTTGGTATGCGCGCTTGCGTTAGAAACCTTTGTAGCAATAGCCTGTTTCAAAATTTGCTAGCTACCTACAAATTCACACTAGAATTATATATTCTCAAATAATATTCTATAAAAAGTGTAAACAAAATATTGCATACACTCAATAATAATTTATATTTATACATTTGACTTGTAATAGTTGTAGTAAATTGATTAATTACAAATTAATTGAATTACTACAACTATTACAAGTCCAGTTGGGACGCTTTGGCTTATAACTGAGTTAACTGATAATGGAACCAATCGCAGATAAATATCATCATCACTACTGACTCTATACCTATACACATGGACAAATTTAGAGGAACGCAATAAAAAGGTTTGATTAACAATAATAAAACCTGTTTATTATACTTTTATTCAAGTAGACTTAGTTAAATTAACTTTATTAAATAAAGAAAACTAAAATTTATTGAAAATTACAAATCATCACAATTTGTTCTAAGATGTTCGTTTTGTATCGTGCCGCTGTTGGAGACCTATTTTCCACGATGTGTAGCCCGACCACCGCAAGGTTCTCTTCTGACAATGTTACACTGAGTGTATCTTTCCCCTGGTACACTTTGACCCTTCTTTCTATCATCTGCCTTGAGGCAAAAATTTGAACTCGTCAGTGAACATTACTCTGATCGAGCTACACAATAGCCTGTTGTGAGGAAAGGCATTCTGGCAGGTAGGAACGCCGCTATTTAAGCTGAATTAAGTCTTCTTCTGATGGTTTTAGTACTAATTATCATATCTCGAACTTCCTGGAGTCTAGCTATGACATGAGAAAACGTTGAAGTAAGATTTCTTAACGCGGTGCTTACAATAAATCAAAAGAAGTATGTTTAATTTAAAAAAATATATTTACAAAATAAATAATTTCCTTTTCAGATGGGTCGGTCAGTGGCAGTTTTAGTTATCATCATAGCGATTTGTGCTGGCTCATGGATCTCTTACATGTACGGCAATCAAAATGCTGAAAAACCACCCCTAGATCTGCAGAAATGGTGGGGAGCTATTGGTGGATCAGATAAGGAAGACAATTCTATAAGATCATTCAAGATAGAGTTTAATGACACGGTAAATAATAAAAATGGTCATGGCTGATTCTTAGTTATATTTCCTACTGACTCGATAGTGTCTGCGACAATTGCCTTCAAAAATGTAATCAATCTCATAGGTATCTCTCTTATCACAATGTCACTCACATAATAAAACAAAACAATTAGAGCATGTATAATTTCGACGCGTCTCGCTGCAAGGAGTAATGGCAAGCGTTTAAGTCCTGTCCACTGTCTGTTTACGACTGTTTAGCACACAATACATGAACATATGGGAGTGTAGACGGTGGTCAAAGTTAGTTAATTACAAATAAACCGTTAAAGTTACAGTTGCTACTCGACTAATACCGTTAAAATAAAATCGTTCCCGATCCGTGACTAAGTTTGACTATCCTTACTCACAACAAAATGATAATAAATTATAAATATGATATTTCATTATTAGATAATTATATTATAATGATATCTGATAATGTCATTAACCTATTACGAAGCTAGCTGTCGACTACAAGAGCAAGAATTGGTAATAGTGTTTATAACAATTGCAAAAAATTTTTGAGCGATTCTAAATAAAAAATCATTACCGAAAAGAATAAAATTTAAATATTGTCACATAGCGCTGACCTCATAAATATATAAGTACATATAAATATATCTCACTATATACACATATATGAATAGATTATAGCATGGCTATGCATCATGTGCACCATATGTTCTCATAAAATCTTTCATTTGTATGTAAGTAAACCCAAAGTTGAACTTAAAAATCCTTTGATAGCAAAAACTTTCAATGCAAAAATTACACAATTATAGAATAGACTAGAATATTTATTTGTAAAATAAACGTTCTAATTTCAGATGATTGCCGATTTGAAACACAGGTTAAAAAATAGACGGCGATTTACAAAGACTTTAGAAGGTACGCAGTCGACATACGGTATGAACTCTGAATATTTAGAAAGCATTTTGAAATACTGGATGGATAAATACAATTTCAAAAAGAGAGCAGAACTTTTAAATGTTTTTCCTCACTATAAAACAAGGATTCAAGGATTAGATATTCATTACATTCGAGTTAAGCCTAAAGTGAAAGAAGGGACACAGGTATTACCGCTTCTTATGTTACACGGATGGCCGAGTTCATCCAAAGAGTTTGTGAAAGTCATACCCATGTTGACAACACCAAAGGATGGGTTTAATTTTGTCTTTGAAGTTGTAGCGGCCGATTTGCCAGGTTTTGGATTTTCTGAGGTGAGTCATTGTGGAATTGATTTTTTTGAATAATCACTAATAAACGAAAGGGGTTTGATACTGATTTAGAATTAATAGATTTGGATTTAATTTCAATTTTAATTCAGCTTAATACGTACCTACGTATTTTATATTCTGTAAAAAGATAAAGTATAATGATGCTACGTCTCGCAATAATTAGTTTGAGTATATTAGTGCAAGTAGACAGCCTAGATTTTTCAAACTACTCATTTTAGTTGGCAAAGTAACGTCCTCGAGAAACAGCCAAAAATAAAATCAACGAATGGATAAAGTATATTTATTTTCAACACAACTATAAATACCTATTAGGTTTTTGCCTATGAAGTTGAAGATTTGGGTGAAAATTTTAAAATATAATAAGTTTGGTTATTTTTTAATTTTAGCTATCCAAAGTAACTCACTATGTCATTTTGTTGTTTTGATGGCAGTTTGTTTATCCCTTTACTGTAGGAGTCTGCTGGGCGGGAGGCGATGAAGTCAGCGAAAGCGTTTTGTACTGTCTCTCGGGTGTTGAATATTTTTTCATTTAAAAAATTGTCTGAATTTTGATTCGATTCAGAATTCCATTGTTTCTTTGCCGATTCAGTAAATATTCATGCTTGGAAGCTTAAGTCTCGCTGATGGTCGCGTTCGTGTGGCACCCACTTATCTCGCTTTTTTATTTTTCCGATTTGACGCAAGTTCTTTAACGTTGGTTTGACACTAACTCTAACTAACAGTAACAAAGTCCGGTGCAAGCTCAGCCGTACATTGCATTGAATCCGCTTCCACTACTGCATTCAATTTGCCGTTTTCGACTATAGTTACCGGCCGACCGCGAGGGCGAGCCTCAACTCAAAATTGCCAGATCTACAACGACTGAAGCAATAATGGACCGTGTTTACGCAAGCACTGTTAAGCCCGTATACGTCGTTAATATTTCGTTTTGTTTGTGCAGCGGTATTTCCACGTAGGAGCTCATTTTCGATAATTGTACGAATTTTCAATTTATCCATGGCGGCAAAAACTACATCAATTTCACAAAAACAAAACACTATCTACAACAAATGGGTTAATTTTATATTAAACTAGCTAACCCTGCAAACGTTGTTTTGCCATTTACCTAATTTTTTTTTTTTTTTTTTTTTTGAATTTCTAGAAATCCGTTCTTAGCTGACCTCTACTCGGTGAAAAGAATATTCCTACCAAATTTCAAGTCTTTAGCTCTAATGGTTCCAGAGATATCTTGATGAGTGACTATATACGTGGAAATCTCTTATATATATATATATATATATATAGATACCATGGCTTTCGAATATACATTTTTTTGAATTTCCAATTGCGGGCCAATCCACAGATAATTAAATCTGAAATGCTGGTTTTAAAAATCTCCAACTAACTAGGTAAAGACCTATTATGTTCCAAAAATCTTCTTAATCTAAAAGTGCGTCTCGGATACACTTTGTTTAGCATATTCTACTTGTTTCTATGCCTTGCGAACCGATTGAACAACTTTATCAGTCATGTCCTGTCGGATCTCCATTACACGTGATCATAAAACACGTGTTTCGATAAAAAATAGTATTTTCAAAATATTACAATGTAGTTTTGTATGTTTGCTACTTGTGTTTGTCACTGAATATCCTGAGACTGAATAAATACATTTATACCTATTTGTTACAGGCCACAAATAAGCCAGGTTTGAGCTCAGTACAAATAGCGATCATAATGCGCAATTTAATGTTGAGATTGGGCATTGAGAAATTCTACATTCAAGCTGGCGATTGGGGTTCGCAGGTTGCCTCACATTTGGCGACATTGTTCCCAAACAATGTATTAGGGTATGTGCATACCTAATTACCTTTTTTTTATTCATGACACAAGGTTACAATTTAATACATAGGCACGGTAATAGGGAAGAAAAACCACGGGCGGTTCATGTAGCACTATAATTATATTATAAACGTGAAAGTGAGTTTGTTTGTGTTTTTGATACGCTTAACTACTACACCGATTTTAGAAATTCTTTCGCCAATGCCAAGCTATATTAGCAGCGAGTAACATAGGCATTACATTTTATCGCAATAACCGATATACACGCAGGCGGCACCACGGGAAAAAGCTAGTACAATTTAAATTATATTCATACACCTCATTTTTTATTTATAACTATTTATGTTTGTCAACTACTTTGTGAGGTAAACCAGTTTGAACAACGTTTTACATTTTTGTGGATTGTCTGAGAGTTTATCTAAGATACTGTTTTTCAATTCGTTAAGTAGTTGCGGTAAAACATATGCGCATATATGTTTTACCGCAACTACTTAACGAATTGAAAAACAGTTTTACATTTTTGTGGATTGTCTGAGAGTTTATCTAAGATACTGTTTTTCAATTCGTTAAGTAGTTGCGGTAAAACATATATGCGCTCTTGTATGATCGTAGTACATACCTCGGTAAATATGCTGAGCTATGTAGATTAGTGAGTCTTATTCTTAAAGTTTATTATTAGTTAATTATTAGGCCGACATAAGCATGTTTAATAACTATTTAGAGTGTTGGATATTTAACGTGTAGTATGCGAGTAGTTGGGTTATAGAGGCATTGATGGTAGTGCGCTCCCAAAACAAAGAAAAACCTATCTAGTGCTATAGTATTTACATAACCTACCAATGCACACGGTTGTTGATTTTTCATTGTTTCGAACCTAAAAGTTGAAAGTAATATAATTATATAAATTATGAAGAGGGCTGATCGTTTGCATCTTGAAAATTGCCTGAGCAGCGTGTTTACATGTTTTAACATTTTAAGTACCAAACTTCTCTATTTGTTTAGTTTGGCCACTGAGAGTAAAAGAAGATGGGTTACGTTATAATGAATTATATATCTTACTTGCATGTACTTTGTGTAGTCTGTAGTAAGTAATACACGATTATATGTATAAAAATCGCAATATATCTAAGTATACATATTTGTATGCGTATTATTATGTATTTATTTATCTTATCATTTTGTGGTCGTTGTGTGCTACTCGTTAATCTAAGTATTACTGTACAGTTTGGTCCATCTTAAGATTTTCATTGAAAAAATCCATACTGAAATAAGACCGCCCATTGTACAATTCCTTTTTATGATATTTCTAGATTGTAACATAATTACTTTTTGGTGTGCAGTAAATAATACCTATCTAGCTATTTAGGCTAACAATTTGCTTTAATCGCCGATTTGCTAGACTGGTGATTCTTTTTCGACTTCGTTCCGTTACTCTTTGACACGTTCACGAACACGATCTGGTCATTTTTTTTAGAAATTACGAATGAGAAATGAAATATTTTGCACCTTGTTTCAGGTATCACACAAATATGCCAATATCTTCAAGAGCAATTAGCATTGTGAAGTTATTTATTGGATCATTATTTCCTAGTTTGATTGATTCAGGTCGACCAGAAAGAGCTTACCCATTAAGTAAACAACTGTCCTATATAATCAGAGAAAGCGGATACTTTCATATACAAGCAACAAAACCCGATACATTAGGTAAGAACCTAATAATGTATGTTTAATCTATACTAATATTATAAAGCTGAAGAGTTTGTTTGTTTGTTTGTTTGTTTGAACGCGCTAATCTCAGGAACTACTGGTCCGATTTGAAAAATTCTTTTAGTGTTAGTTAGCCCATTTATCGAGGAAGGCTATAGGCTATATATCATCACGCTAAGACCAATAGGAGCGGAGCACCAATGAAGAATGTTTCAAAAACGGAGAAAATTTAATACTATTGAGAGACGCAGACGAAGTTGCGCGGGTCAGCTAGTTCTATATAATATGCACAATGTGTATCTAAGAGAATCGGTAGTAATTCCTGTTCATAAAGAAGATGCCCATTTTTTGTATGGACGTGGGTTTTTGTTCACAGTGAAATCTATTATTGCTCAAATTACACTGATAATAATATATAGTATAATATACACATATAATATATACATATAATATACTATAATATATACATATAATATATACTTAAAAATATTTGGTACATCGCTACTAGATTTCTTTTAGAATAAAAAACCTTCCTGGACAACTCATTTTATAAATTCTTTCCTATCTCTTCATTTGTATAATAACATTTGTTTGTCTGACTGTGACAATGAAGCCCAAGATTGAAACGTTGGATGTCCGCTTAAATTATTATCAATATAGTATAATTATATATAGTAATAATAATAGTATATAGTAGTTTATTATACTGGGTTACTGGTTAAGTAGACCTATTACTTATTTCCTTATTTTTTAGGGTTCCGTACTTCAAAAGGTAAAAAAGGAACCCCGTCTGTCCGTCTGTCACTACCGATTTTCTCAGGAACGGGTAGACCTAGCAAGTTGAAATTTATACCAGATACTGAGGCCTATTGTCCCTATTAGGTGTATAAAAATCAAGGTCCCCAGTCAACACGATAAAAAGATATGGTCAAATTTCGATTTTCGCGAATAAAGTTTACACGTACTAAAATACCGTACCGTAATAATTCCAAAAAATAAAAAAAAGTTGAAAATTAAGATAAATTTTGGTAATTGCAAATTTTCGCGAAAATCTACGTAAAATCTGGGTAGATACGCAACCCTCGGCGCACGAGTTCGACTCGTACTTGACTGGTTTTTTAAGGTTATAATTCTGTCACTAAAATTGCAGGTAATTTAGCAAACTGGACAGTATCAGAAGCACATATCAGAGTCTAGTTAGCAAAAAATCTGCAACTTAATAGTAGTAGTAGTTTTTTTAGATATTCGTCAAAGAAAAAAAAAATACAAATTAATCATTTTGCTATTATTAACCATCCAATTCGGCCCAGTTTATAAGATTGGCTACAATTTTGGCAATGGAAATTTTTAAACAAATTTTTTAAACAATATTTTTTTTTATAAAAAAGTCTAATATCTTAAAAATGGTTATGGTTGGGATATGGTACTTCCAAGTGAAATCTATTAATAATATTAGCTACTACAACCCGCTAAAGTATCTAGGTCGACTTAACCGGTAACCCTGTATAAAAGATACTTGGGATTGTTATTTGTCAAAGTGCGTGTGCATGAGATTTGCGTGCATGCATGCTTATAGAGAGATTTATAACATCGTACTACATCGTGTTACCTCTCGAATAAATAGGTCAAGTAATTTGAACAAGGTTAATGCCATCACCATTTTCTAAATATTAAAATGAAGTTGTGGTTTATTTCAGGTTATAGTCTAACAGACTCTCCAGCGGGTTTGGCTGCCTATATGATGGAAAAAATCGCGATTTGCAGTAACAGTGACCAGTTAAATACACCGCATGGGGGATTGGAGGAGTTGAATTTGGATGATGTTTTAGACACAGTTACTATAACCTGGATGAACGAATGCATCGTCACATCAATGAGGATGTATGCAGAAAATGGGATGTCGAGTGACACCTATCCTGTTCATAAGTAAGTTAAAAATATTTTAATTTGATCTGTTCTCATTCACTTCTCCTTCATACCTGACTCCTTCTTGCTTCTGTGTGCTGGTCACAACAGAACCCTCCGTTGTTCTACATACAAGTTCATTACAGATTCATCACAACCATAACGGTTCCACCATAATGGTGGTATCCGAGGGGATAACCGCACAGAAGAGTTTAGCCATTCAGTTACTGTTGCCACAATTGGAATAGCTGTATATTTTATATTATGTATCTAAAAGTCATTTAATTATGCGTTTGTTATTTATAATCTGTATGTATTAAGTAATATATTTTATATATGATTATCTTGAGCTACTAGATTTAATTCAAAGTATCTATCTATTCCTACGATATATTTTTAATTTTCAGTATACCTACTAAAGTTCCTACGGCAGCTATTAAATTTTTATATGAAGTTATGTACCAACCAGACTGGTTACTGAGGGACAAATATCACAATTTGGTTCGATCTACTATCGTGGACTATGGAGGACATTTCGCTGCTTTACATACACCCAAAGAATTAGTCGATGACGTGTTTGCAGCAACGACTGAGTTCATCAAGTTTAACAATAAAAAATCGAAATAGTATTTAGAAAAGGTTTACAAACTTAAACTCCTTGTCTTAAATACATACACGTATCTTAGCACATATTTAATACCCGTTTTGATAGAATCGCTTAGTAAGTTTCACACAGTTTCACTTTTGTCGATTATAATGATCACCACTAAAGATTCAAAACAACATTGTTAAGCGATAACTTACGTTTGTGTATTATTTTTCTATCAAGGAATTGAGGTTTTGATAACAATTGAAATATTTTTAATATAAAACTGTTGTACTTAACTAATTTAATATAATTTGTTTACAAGGTATTGTCATCACTTAGATGCACTGGATGGGTACTAGATGTTTGAAATACTTATCGAGTGGTTTACTTTTTTGGATAACTGAGGAAATACTAAATAATAGAACAAAATTATTTTATTTAGTTTAAAATGTCTGTAAAGTTGTGAAGAAATCTGTTCATAAGATTATTCAAGCAAAATGTCGTTTTGCTGTTTAGCCAGATGTAGATGCAGTAGTGTAGTAGTAGTGATTTAGTGTCTCTAAATAATTTTAATCTATTCTCAGCATTGGCGTAATGTATTTTTTGTATTACTTTTTGTCTGATAATAACATGGATAAATCATCATCATCAATCAGAAATACTATGTAACATGTACACTTCAACACCGCGAGGTCATTTTTTCTATTAAGAGCCTGATCTGCAAGTTTCTATAGGAATAAAAACGTTGCTCAGATTAGTCTTGGTTCAACACTTATTGGTCGTACTTTTGCCCACTTTATATGAAAGTAAGTAGACGATCTATTGGTGGGCACTAGTAGCTACTTTGATAAATAAAATGATATAGGTAGTAGAAAGTGAATGGAATATGTATAATAACTTTAAATAGAAATGTTAATGTATGACGATAGCAATTAAAGATGCAGACATATTAAATGCTATTGGATTGCAAACTAAATGTAAATGTAACCTACTTCAATAAATATTCATACTATTCATTTAAATTTACAGGATTTTTATTTTCTACTAGCTGACCCGCGCAACATCGTCTGCGTAATAAAATTTCTCCGTTTTTGAAACATTCATCATTGGTGCTCCGCTCCTATTGGTCTTAGCGTGATGATATATAGCCTATAGCCTTCCTCGATAAATGGGCTATCTAACATACATGAAAGAATTTTTCAAATCGGACCAGTAGTTCCAGAGATTAGCGCGTTCAAACAAACAAACAAACAAACTCTTCAGCTTTATAATATTAGTATTGATAAATAGTTGGGTATGCTCTTTGTGTGTGTATATTAATTATTGAGAGAGCCTAACGCTCAAGTGAGTTTTAAAGTGGTCACGATAACTTGAAATCGGTCGGGAGAATACAAATATTTGTGAAGAGATTTCTTTGTGTTTTTTTAAGAAAATGACGAAAAAAGATGAAAGATAAAGAAAATACTGCTTTTTTTTAATTATAGCCAGTGTAGGGTGATTTAAGGTTTTTAACGCTATCGCAAACATCGAGATCTGTTCAAGCTTTTAGAAGTTATTGTGTAATAAAGAAACTTATACACTTACAAGAACCCTTAAAACATTACACGATTTTTATGAGCAGTCGTGTAAAGAAACCTAATCGTAATTTAAGCACTCGACTGTTGCGCAACAATGATGCAAAGTGTGTATTATCACAGTTTAGACTTCCTGTTGATTACTATTGCGAATCGTAATTACACATCTAATTAGTACGATGTAATAAGAACCACAAATATTTTAATTACAGTACCTACCTGTCTCTCCATAATACAACATTCAACTAACATTTTCAAAGCTCTTATGTGCTACCATCCGAGTTCCGAGTTTCGGTGGTCGTGGTTTGATTTCCGTTAAGCATTAATATATGAATATGTTTATTTATATTGCTCTGGTTGGATTTTATATTTATATTAGTCAATTTAAGTTTGGGTGCCCATGTTCTAGAACCCATGTCACATTCCGTAAATAAAAGCCGCATGTTGCAATTTGGAAACAAATGAACAAGCTTCAAATTAAAATTCAACTTAAAATCAAAAGGAATCAAGATAGTTTAAAGTATAAAATTTCACGTCTGCAGAATGACTTTATTGAAAATTAAACAATGTTTAAAAAACAGACAATCAGAGCCATAGATTATAACTAATATAAAAGATGCACATACCTTCTTTTCTAATAAAAATTCTTCAACTTCTTTAGGCGCAAAGAAGCCAGGCAGCAAAAAGTCTTTTCTCGGACTAAATTGCTCCACCTTCATCCGACCTCCTAAGTTGAACTTCTCGCCAGCGTAGTAAAGGTTCCTAAGTCGTGAAAAAGTCTAACTGTTACTAATTACTAACAAATAAAAATTTATACCTATCGAGAACTATTTTACCTAGCGCCTAAACAGTTGGTTTTTAAATAAAAGGTTCAAAAACTTTTTTCTAGCTTCTGACAACACGTAGTGAAATTTCACGATGATTGGTTAAGCAGTGAGTTAATTAGCGAAAACTCGGCAAACAATAAAACTCACATTGGCACTTTTAATATTAGTTAAGGTGTATCATAATCACTTGACGCTTATTGCTAAACATTGGCTTCTAAAGTGATCTTCCCTTTAAATTTAGTTAAACCTTTTATACTTGATACTGCAGTTTTAATTTTCAGAGCATTAGATAGCAAGAAACTACTATTACTTAAAATTAACTTAATCAAATTCGCATATTTTTACTTAAAATTTACTTAGCCACTTAAAATTTACTTAAAGTTTACTTAGTCAAATTCGCCAAATTGTTATAGAGGTTATAAACTAATTGTATTGTGTAGTAGTAGAAAACATTAGAGACAAATAAATTATATGGCGTACAATTGTTCCTCATCCTATAATCTAGATCCATAAAGTAGTTCGAATAATAAGAAACTCTAAAGAATATACTCAACTTATTGTACCTAATTATAGGACTCATTATTCAAGCAACAACAAGCAACAATTTTGTAGTAAGTGTGAGCCTGTAATCCTACATCATAATATGTCCTAGTTTATGCTGAAGCCAGTAAACATTATAATTACCTGTTGCTAACCAGTCGACCTTTAATATTCGTCAATTGGCCTTCGTTTTTCTTGGGGAACTTGTGGAACAAAAATAAAGCGGCAGCAAACTTAAGGAAAGCATCCCCTAAAGTCTCTGCCCTCTCCAAATGGAAACTGTCGTGTGACTTTATTGTTGTGAGTGCTGCTAACATGTCTTTAAGCTCCGGGCCCCTGTTTGTAGGCTTTGTGTCAAGAAGTTTAAGTTTATCGTTGTACCTGTACATAAAAACGAGTATGATGTTATTTCTTAATGCTCATAAAAATTAATCATGTTGATATTAAATGAGATTTAAAAATGAAATTTTGGCTTGCGTTTTCAGTTCTGAGCAGTCTGTTCAAGAGCAAGGGCCTGAATTGTATAAAATCCTTTGTTATTTGATGAAGATTGCTTGTAGACACCCAACTGAATTTTAGATGTTAAATATTATATTCTCTTCCCTATCTTTGAATTTAACGTATAACTGCATAATACATCTAGTACAGTTTCAATTTGTTTTCAGAAGATGTAGTTGTCTACATAAATATTGTTACGAGCGGGGTATATAGTAAATAAAAATTGTCGGTTAATAACTTTTATTGCACTGTATTTGCTAAAACTCGCCATAACAAACAACTATATTAATAGTTAGTCGCACTAGAAATTCACTTCGACATTAATTTTCTGGGTTGTACGGCCAATACACTCCGCTTTTATAGCGGTATCGAGTTTACTAGAATGATCCCTAGTATTCGATAGTCCGTTCTAGAAAAACAAGAATATTCTAGCATCAGTTACGTTACTTGCAGCGCCATCTAGCGCTGTAAGGCTCAGAATTTTTTATCACAATCTTAATAGTTGTACTTTACTCGATAGTAGATGGCGCAGTCCTCCACATTCCATATAATTTTGGAACAATCGAATCATTTAATCCTATGGCGCAACAATATGTTAATAGACAGTGGGTACTTATTTAGATTTGTCCATTGTACAGTGTTTATTTGACTTTTTAACACGCTTCTATTAGCTTGGTAAGTGTGTATGTAAAGGAATCTTTGAACGTGATTTTGAACCACTTCAAAATGTCCAATTGAATTGAAACTTCGCACACTTGTCAAGGACCGATGACAGTACACTAATTTATTTGGCCGATTATCTTGATCAGGATCTTCAGAATTAACGACTTTTTCATACCTAAAAATACGGTAGTGTCTTTTGCTATGTACTAAGAGGCTTGTGCTGAAGCATATGTGACTTACTTACTTGTTACTTTTTTAGAGATTATTATTCTTAATGAGATTTTTTTTATTTTACATTAATGACTAAAAAAGCAAAAATATATTATAGTTTAAAAACTAAAAAACACGCTTTTGTAACTAGCCGAACTTATTACTTACTAGCTGACCCGGCGAACGTTGTTTTGCCATATACATTATTTCTAGGAAATATGTAAAAAAAATAGGGGTGGGTCACCCTTGTCATTTAAAAAAAAATTGATGTTGGCTGATTCTCAGACCTACCCGATGTGCACTTAAAATTTCATAAAAATCGGTCCAGCCGTTTCGGAGGAGTATGGTAACTAACATTGTGACACGACTATTTTATATATAAGATATAATTAAACAGAGTGTAAGTTAGTTTTATTTAATGTGGGTGAAAAAGCTTAAAAAAGTAAACACCTATATGCAAACATTGATATGTACGCAAACAAAAGTAGATCGAATATTTAAATTATTTGAATAAAACGCCCCCCCCCCCTTCCCTCCCTCTTAGTGTTATAGTCTTTTTAAACATCCATACTTATTATTACAATTGAGAAAGTGAATTTGTTTGTTTGTTTGTTCCGTTTTCAAGCTTAAGCCACTAAGCCGATTTTAAAAATTATTTCACCAATGGAAAGCTACATTATCAGAGAGTAACATAGGCTACTAATACCGCGATAACGAACATACACGCGGGCGGAGCCCCGTCGAAAGCTAACTATTAATAAAACAAAGTAAGTGCGATATCATTGGAAATTTCAAATAAGTATAAATATCATCAACGTTGGCCCATTTAATGCTTGATGAAAAGTCCCAGCTGATTGTAATAGGGGTCTGCCATTTTGAACAATGACCCATAAAGGCCAATATATGCGAATCAATTGAATAATTTTATTTATTTAATTATTTTTTAATAAAGTTATGTAATATTAACTTTTAAATAAGTAATACCGCCTTCAAGCCGCCTATATCATAATAAACTGTATTTCTTTATTCTTCCAAAACAAAAATCTTCTTAGTCTTTAAAACAAAACAAACTTTATCAAAAACTTTATAAACTTATTGTTGGCGCGGTTATGGGTGTGATGTCACAGATTAGTGATGGTTAACTCGAGTACCTAACCCGAGTGTACTCTAGTTGGACGTAACTCGAATCTACTCGAGTTGAATTTTCTCTAACTCGAGTTCGAAAAAAAATTCAAGCATATGATTTAACTATGGAAAAAATATTCTTTGTGATACTAATTATCTTATTTTCTTGAAAATATTGTGATTACTGATTATAAAAATAGTTTTATTTGATAGTAAATATTATTTTAAATACTTAAATAAATGATTGGATTTCACTCGAGTTAAATCGAGTAATATTTTTTCCGAGTTGGCTCATCACTATCACAGATTACCACAGATTTTTTTTTATAAAGCCAATGTACTACCACAGATTACTAAATAGGTTATGCGAAGTTTGTATAATGCGTTCTGAAATCAAACTCATATACTCAGACCACACTTAGGTGCGCCTACCTATATTTTACCTTAGTAACGTCATAAAATCGGAACATTTAATAATATTTATCTATACATAACTACTCCGTGGCGAGTTATTTTCAAAAATTAATTAGAATTTAATTAAGTAACCACGTTTCCGAACAAACAATGCTCTTTCAATATAGTCTATGGCTGTGAATGACATTGGCTGCGTTCAAGTTTACTAAGTTCTTGGCAGATCTTAGCATATCTTGTAGCAACAACTTAAAGTAACTGTATTTTTTTTCATCTATAATAAAACAATGCAAGACATATTTATTTAAGTGTCTAAAATTAATTTTTTGGTAGATAAAGTCAGCCCTGCTCAGAACTTAGTAAACCTGAACGCAGCCATTGACATTCGTTACGCGCGTTTTTTTAAATATGCAAAATTAAATGTATATTTTTCAATATTTCTGAGAGATTTTCTTAATATTTTTTTCCGTAAGAACCTTCTAATAATAACAAATACAACAAAAAAGAATTAGTGAAATCGGTCCAGCCATTTACGCGTGATGCCGTGACCAAGGAAAACGGGTTTCATTTTTATATATATAGATTATTTTCTACTTCTTAGTTCGGCTAAGTAACAAAAGCGTGTTTTTTATTTTTTTTTAACTATAATTAATTGTATTTAGTTCATTGTAAAGTGCTAAAAAGACTTTCTTTTGAGTACTGTACACAGAAGGTAATGATAATTACTTAGCAGGCGGTGCAGATATAGCTGCAGAAGTGACGATGCGCGGCAGCGAATGTACTTCTGATCTAGACATTGCAGGAACAACAGGTGCCGACACAAACTCATCGTAACATTCCACGTCCATCACCGTTACTGTTGAAAGGTTACGGTCGATATCTATTGGTTCGCTTTTCACCTGGTTTGTGATAATTATTTTATTAGTCCACAAAAATATAATAAAATTTAATATGATAATAAAACAAAACATGAAGAACTTTAATGTACATATAATCACGGACAAAAAAGTACCCGAACTTATGACATTTATGTGAAAGTCCGGAACAGACAACAGTCAATTTAGTGGCAGTTACCAATGTGAAGTCTTAGGGATGCATTTTCACTCTATGTTGCTACATCAATATAAGTACAATGTTATTTGTTCTAACCTAATATAACTACCGTATACTACACATATTACTATTCTACTAAACAATAAACATAGTGCGGTCGCGAACCAGAAATAATTTCGTACACTGACCGATATATCTAACTGGTACAGGTCAAAAAAGATTTTACTTAAAGTGCAAGTCCATATACTTTGCAGAACATCTTCTGAATATGTATTGTGTAAGTTAATTTACATAATAGGTCATATGAAGTTGGAGATTTGAAAACCAGCATTTAAGATTTACTTCTACGGGCCTACAACTGCTTGCATAAATACAGTCCATTATCGGTATTAGATCTGGAAGTATTGAGTTGAAGAACGAGCCTCGCGGTCGGCCGGTAACTACAGTCGACAACGACGACCCTCGGCACTTGCTACCGATCAAGTCACGCCCCGCGCGAATTATAATTATTATTTACTAAGGCACCTATTACAGATTTATTATTAGAAAATAATGGTAAATGGTTTATGCATGAGGTATATGTTTATAAAATTAGATGTTTTTTTTTATATTTGAGTTGATTCAATGAAAGGTAAATTGCGGTTTCCGATTTATGACGTATTAAAATTGACACGACCGAATGGCGTAGTGGTTTGGGTAACGGACTGCTATTCCAAAGGTCGCGGGTTCGATTCCCGCTCAAATCAAATAATTGTGTGCATGAACATTTAATGTTTGATTTGGTCTGGGTGTTTCTATGTATAATAAGTATTTACAAAAAAAATATATATATGTATTTATATCAGTTGTCTAGTACCCATAATACAAGCTCTGCTTAGTTTGGGACTAGATGGCGTTGTGTGAATGTGGTACAATATTATTATTATTATTATTAATTTACCACTTTGGAAGTGACTCTCGCGAAAACTATTCAGTTTAGAAAAAAATCATATTAGAAACCTCAATATTATTTTAGAAGACCTATGCATAGATAGATAGATAGATACCCGTATGGGTTTGATGAAAAAAATTTTTGAGTTTCAGTTCTAAGTATGGGGAACCCCCATTTATTGTCTTTTTTCTATTTTTGTGTGAAAATCTTTATGCGGTTCACAGAATACATCTGCTTACCAAGTTTCAACAGTATAGTTCTTATAGTTTCGGAAAAAAGTGGCTGTGACATGAGGACGGATAGACAGACAGACAGACATGACGAATCTATAAGGGTTCCGTTTTTGCCATTTGGTTACAGAACCCTAAAAACCGAGCAAAGCTCGGTCATTCAGGTACTCAAGTTTATACGAATATAGTAAGTATACACAACACAAGTATACACAAAGTCAACGCTTTGACGCCATATCGTACAGTATGGTTGTTATCTGTGATACTAGTTATAATTATTTTTATAGTAAAATTAAATTTAAATAATATTTATGAAAGATAATAAAAATATTATTTTAGTATTACTTGTTTCAGAATAATATTAATTTATCGAATGACTTTATACATTTGGCATGGCAAACCAAATAGCCCATGTACAAAAGCTGAGGTTATTGTATCGCGCAATTTTTTTATAATCTCTCCGCATAATGGTCGGTGCAAGATTTACGCGCGAGGGACAGGAGACAGGATAATAACAAGTGAATGTACGAAATTATTTCTGCCAGTTATGTTATGTTTTTGCGTTTGCCAAGGTCCACGGGCCATCAAATCACCGGGGCTCACGGCGAAGTTATTTGTTGGAATCGAACCGACTGAAATCACATGGGTCAAGGGTAAGGAAATCCCTTAGAAAAGTAAATATAACCTAACAAAGGCTAGACATTACGCTAAACAATATATTAAACAACGTTAAACTCACATCCCAAGGAAATTCTTTGTTCAGTTTTTTCTGTTGTAGTTGGTACAAACTCTCCTTCATAGATAGGATGTTAGGACGTCTCTTTTCTTCATCTGCCGGATTGTTTATTCTAAAACCATAAATAATATATAGAAGAATAATTCTATTATTTAGAGAATAATCAATTTTAAAATATTTTAACTTGAAGAACCTAAAACCTGAAAAACCTGACAATTTTATCGACTACGTACGTTTTATAGAAGTATTTTTTTAAAACGTACTAAGTCGAGTCTGGTATAAATTAATAATTAAATCAAACCTAAAGAAAAAATAGTCACCTATCAACGGAATTGATCTGAGTTGGCTCCTCAACTTGTGATAGCAGGGAATGTATGGCAACTTGCATATTTGCTGACACCGGCAGCCACTCTTCGCCTGTAAAAAGAACGTTAATCATTATTCTAATTAAATAATCTTAACGTCCATAATGTATCAATAAGCATTTGTTGATCTAAATTGACAAGTTGGCCGAGAATTACACAGAGAGACTAATCAACATTATAAAAAAAAACTAGAAGAGAATAATAATAAATCGATAAATTAGTTTACTAATTTTAATTTCTTTTTAATATTTTAAAGTCAAAAAATAATAGCTTGACAACCGCAATATAGTAAAATTATCTAAGAAGTGCATTTTGACAGGTTAAACTGACGTTCTGAGACTACAGAACGTAACTATTTGAATCAAACATAAAACAATAATGTTACGTTACCTAATTTAAGTTAAGCAAATAATCTTTACATAGTATAAAATGAGGTCGTTTTTTTTCTTGTACGCTTAGATCTTTTAAACTACGTAACATTAAGAGTTAGACCAAAATAATTTTGCTATTGTATATCTTAAAATATCTAGAAAAAAGTCCGCGATCACATACATATATATTTATCTTTTTATACAACCACAGCAACCATTTTTATCTTTTAGATATAACAAAAAATAAATGGTGATTTACCGAGCTATTTTCAACAATACAGTATTATTCCTTATCCAAATAAATACGTTATGTTCATTCTGCATTTAATGTAGATCAAAATTGCCTTTACAGCATTTCAATACAATGAATATCTTAATAAATATCGGCGACTTAAAATGAAAGTACAAAGCTGCCGTCGCCGCGTACGTGCGTCCCTGGTGGCAGCGGTCGGCAGGTGCGGCGCGGGCCAATAAATATTAAATATAAAGATGTCCTGCAGTATAGTCTTATCATCTATACTAATATTATAAAGCTGAAGAGTTTGTTTGTTTGTTTGTTTGTTTGAACGCGCTAATCTCAGGAACTACTGGTCCGATTTGAAAAATTCTTTCAGTGTTAGATAGCGCATTTATCGAGGAAGGCTATAGGCTATATATCATCACGCTAAGAGCAATAGGAGCGGAGCACCAATGAAGAATGTTTCAAAAACGGAGAAAATTTATTACTATTGAGAGACGCAGACGAAGTTGCGCGGGTCAGCTAGTAATGTATATGGCAAAACAACGTTTGCCGGGTCAGCTAGTAATAAATATAATTCATTTCTCCACACTTACACCGCATGAGTAGTATCTACATTGCACCCGTGCGAAGCCGGGACGGATCGCTAGTAAGTAATATTTAAAACTAATGAGTTGAATTAATGTAATTTGACATATTTTAGTTTAAATTTTACAAATAATTTAAACAATCGTAGGATTCTTTATTTCTGTGAGATGTCTTAAAACAGTTACGTTCTATTATTTTTATTTAATTTTTCTTACATATTAATCGTTGCGGAGGTAAAGATTAACGATTTATTTTACAAATCGTAATTGTCAAGGGACTTGCTAACCAAAGATCGTCTACGTTATAATTAAATAGTTATATTTTATTTCGTTCGTTTCACTTTAATTTTTTGCTTTTCGTATAATTAAACGAAACTAAACAAAAAAATCTTTATTTTAAAGAACTATTTAATTAAAACGTTTATAATTAAAACTAAAGCCTTTATGAGCGTGTACAGCTTTTTTTAATTTGTTAATATAAAAACTAATGAAATAGTATGAAAAAAAACGAGGTAGAGGCCTCCCGCCGCTGACCTGGTGGAGCAACATTAAAAGAGATTTAAAAAGACAATCCAAGATCGTTTGACTTTGGCAGGAAAGTGAGGAGACCCGACCCCAAATAATTGGACAAGGAGAGGAAGAAGAACCCAAAAAACTATGAAACAAGAAACATTGCCGTTACAATGCCCGCAAAATTTAAAAAAAAACGTTTGTGGTACGTATGACATCCGCTGCGCCACCGTGGCACGCCACGTTTCGCAAACTGCGTAGAATGAGTATCCCCTAAAGCTGATTATAGCTAATTATAATGAGCGGTACCTAGTAATCCAACACCACCCGAGTAATCCAATTGCAAAGAAAATAAAATTAAAGTTACCGATTTCCACTCCCGTTTCCATTTCATAGCCACAAGTGCCTAATATATTTAGCTCAATCTGAAAAATACACCCGCGATCCTAATCCGTTTGTACTCTTAGCTATATTTGTGGTTTACAACATGTATGGAAAAGAGACTTAATGAATAGCCACAAACATTAGGTACTATTTTAAAACGATTAACGATGTTTTGTATAAATTGATGATCACAAATTCATTTGTAGTCTGAATCGATTATTCTCACTATGACTTTGTAGGCACCCTAACCCCTAAACGTCTTCTTCTTCCTTGCTTTTTCCCACTTTTGTGGGGTCGGCTCTCCTTATTTCACGGCGCCAAGACATTCTGTCAAGGGTTGTCGGATCGTAAAAATTCTTCCTCTTACGTCGTCCTACTGTTCCACCATGTCAAAGGAGGTCGTCCTCGGCCTCTTCGGCCTTCTGGTAGGCTTAGAGCCTCCGCCACGTGCTGCCCTGACCCTTTCATGACATGTCCGTACCATCTCAATCTCCTTGCCGTTAACTTGTTCTGTATTGAAGCCACCTTAAAAGTGCCAAGGATATTTTCGTTGCGGACCAACCCGTGGTGCGTTTCTGCGGTGTGTAGGTTTTGGACGCGGCATTTTTTAACAGCGCAACGTTCGGCACCGTACATCATTGCCGGCCTAAACGCTGTTTTGTACACTTTGCCTTTTGTTCGTATTGGCATTCGGGTATTGTACGGTACTCCTGTCAAGCTTCACCATTTTTGCCAGGCAGCCTTTAATGTATGTACCACGTCTGCATCTACGTCAGAAATAGTCGAGGTATTCGAATTGGGTTGCTGTTGGGACCAGTGTACCATCGGGATAGTATACTTTGTCAGCTGTGTTAATCTGGTTTTAACTGAAACGACGTGTTCGGTTTACGTTTTGCTAACCCTGAGTTCGACGGTTTCTAATGAGTCCAACCCTAAACGTCAACTGTCAAAATGTACCTTTTAAATTATTTGGACTATAGGATGACATAGAGGATCCGTATATACCATGCTTGAACCGAAGCAAAGCGTTACATAAACATATAATCAAAGGATTTGAAAATATTTTGTAAATAAAAACATGCTAATTGTATTTTTGCCGTATATATTTTTAATTTCTACATTTATTTAAATAAAAAATTAAACCCTGACCTAAAAACTATGCATGTACCCAGGCATGCGTACACATATGCTACATAAATCAGGTTATAAAAGTGGAAAATTAGTTCACTGGACAAAAAACGAATGATAGGGTAAAATAATATTTTCAACTAAACAGCAAAAATATTTTTTAATTTAAATTATATTTAAATCTAATTATAACAAAAAAAATCATTGATATTATTTATCGATTTAACGGTACTCGCCGGTCAAGAAATTTTTGAGTCTCATTTCAAATGTAAGTGTGGCACTCCCACTTTTATATTTTTTGTTGTTGTTTTTACCAAAAAAAATAAAAACACAAAGTTTAACTTTAAGCGCTTTTTACGCTTTAAATTTCAATAATTCCAGGACCCATTAAGTTACATATTTGTCACACAATCGATGTGAATAAGTCTTCATAGGTCTACACTTTTATTTTATTCATTGTAATACGTAATATGTCTTTGTATGTGCTGATTGAATCAATACACTGACAGATACACTAACACAAAGAGCCTACTTCCCGTGAGCCACCACAGCTTCCAGCACTACAGCCTTAATTTTGTAGCTAATACTTATGTACATATTTACCGGCTCGGACGCTTATTATAAAGGGATAGGTATTGAGACACACTTTTTTTTTCCATGCGGAAATCCCCTCGGATACCACTTATCGGTGGCATGTCGGACTCGAACCGACTAAAAGCGCAGCCGTCTCGGGTAACGAGCCGGGGAACCGAAAGGAAGTCCCTGGTGCGACGTAACAAATAGACGACCCCCCGTGTGGGAACCCCATGTTCCCTCTGCTCCCTGGAAGCGAGCGCGCTTCGCAACACGCTCGCCGCCACCCCGGCCTGCTTCTGCTAGGGTGACAGATGGCCTCACCTGTCACCCCCAGGCCTGCGCTTATGGAGGACGGAGGTCGTTCTGCGACCTCCGGCGCCTGAGTCGCCTGCGGTACCTGGCCCGTTCCCGGGCCCGGCGGGCCGGGAGAGTTCTAAACCTCTCCCGGTCCCGCTCCGCCGTCTTCTTCGCGAGCATAACTTGCTCGCAGAAGGAGACGGCAGAGTTCCACGCACTCTCGCTCCGCACGTGGTATTGAGACACACTACATTCTGATCGCCGCGGAGTTTTGTCTATCGTCGTTTGAGTAATCAACTGTCTTATCCACACTTTTTGCTTTCCAGTTTTCAGGCGATTGTAGTCTTTTACACAATTTTTTTTGTGCAACCTAAGAGCGTATTCGTTCTACGCTATTACTTTAATAATTTTCATTCTATCTTCAGCATGTATTAAAAATGATTCTATATACTTAGTAGTCTATGATACTTAGTAGTCACACATTTTTTCAAAGAAATATGGACATCCTTCACATTTATTAAGGTATACCTTTTAAGTCGTAACCTGGATTCGTGATCTGCGTTTAGATTTTGATGATGTAACAATACTGTGTCCATTGATTAGAAATCTAATTCACAAGCCATATGTATGCAAAATTGGTTATTTTTAGGTTTGGATACCTGTAAATAACCTATCGTATTATGTTATTGCAAGCATGATCCAGATTATTGTAAACACGTTACAATACCTTTATTTGTATGTCTCAATCTCTTTGCTTCGCCGTACTTGTCTTTTCTCATTTTGCTGCAATTGTTTACTGCTGTTACTTCTTGATCACATTTCCTTTTAACTGCTATTCTTGAATACCCTTCTTCTGGTAATTTTGAAAGCAAGCTTATTTTGATTTTTTGTTATTTTTCTGTTATTGAACAATATGTTCTTGTCCTATGACTTTTATAGTGAAAAGAAACAAGACAATTATCTATACTAATATAATGAAGAGGTTCGTGAGTTTATATGATCGGGTAAATTCTTTTAGTGTTGGATAGCCATTTTCATCGAGGAAGGATAAAGGCTATTTAACATCATACCAATAGGAGTCGAGTATCCATGAAAAATGTTGCAGATGCAGATAAAGTTGCGCGGGTCAGCTAGTGTTATAACAAAACACAATAAAAAATTTTTTTCGTTAACATTCCAAATTCATAGAAAACATTAACACACAAAATTTTATCTAATCATGCTCATCATACAAAATAAAGAACAATACCGACCACAGAAATCGTAATAATAAGACACTAGAAGTCGCATGGACGCTTGACCTTGTCGCCGCAATGATGTGTAGACGAACACCACTTACAGAAATTCACACCATTCGTGAAATAGTTGCGCGGAGCGTCGTATGTCAATTTATATTGTTAAAATGGTGAAATGCATCAGGGACGTGTAATTCAACTAATAAAGGCCTAACATAAGTAAGTAGGTAAGTTTATTTTTACTAATAAATCCTTGTTCTTACTAATTTACATCTCGATGAATACTTTATTAGGATATCTGTGTTTATAAACATTCAGTTATTACTTGCCGTTTTGTACAATTACCATTGCTGCTTTGGTTCTTATTGCACGCGATGTTGAAAAACTAGCCAAGCAATGTAATTAATTGAATGACTGAATTAATTTAAATCTTAATTGTTACGTGGAATAACTATTTTTTCACTAGTAGCTTATTATTAATTTTTTTTATTCCTATGAGTTTTAGTGTTTTTTTTATTTATTTTTATTCCTCAGAATTTTTTTATTTATAATAATAATAATAATATTTCGGACAACTAACACAACGCCATCTAGTTTCAAACTAAGCAGAGCTTGTACTATGAAAGCTAGATTGACTGAAAGAATGCTTGTATACTTTTTTTTTGTAAATACATATATAGAGAGACACCCAAACTCCGAAACAAATATTTGAAGATCATACAAACATTTGGTCCGACCCGGGAATCGATCCCGAGACCTCAGCACAGCAGTCGCATAAACTACCTCTGCGCCATCGAGGCAGTCCTGTTCTTGCAACTGTTTCATAACTGTACACATTTGGATTTATCTCAAGAGATTGTGGATATGTGGAATGTCGATTGAGTGATCATTGTTCTAATAGTCGTATCTGCTCACGGATTGATAGCAAGAGCCTCGACCAACACCTTAAGAGGCTCACGTTACACGGCTCGTATAGTGAGGAGGTTCCTGTCTTTGGAGTCCTAACCACCGGTGTCTTGGTCCCCTTACCCGAGTGCTCTATTATTTTTTATATTCTTCAATGTTTTTTTTTCTTTTGCAATATTATTTAAAAATCTAATCAATATGTATATATAATGTAATAAAGAGAATTATGATATTTCGGACATCTGCCACACAACGCCATCTAGTTTCGAACTAAGCAGAGCTTGTACTATAAAAACTAGATTGACTGATAGAGTACTTAGGTATATACTTTTTTTATAAATACATACATGTTATACATAGAAAACACCCTAACTCCGAAACAAATATTATTATTATTATAATAGGTACTATTCATTTATAAGTATCATTGCTGTTAAAATATTTTAAAAAATAGTATATGTCTATGGTTTGAATTGCTACATGAATCCACTTTATTTTAATGTATATAAAAAATTATCAACACCTTCGAAAAATTTAGTTAATTCTTAGCATTGTTTATAGCGATTCGCATACATCGAAGGAGATTGTAGTGGTGCCACATAATACATTGGAGTAAAATGCAATGTAATTCCTAGACATTAAGGTTCATCATAGTTTGTGCCCTATACATTTCACCGTTGTTTTGCAAGTGTGTGTGAGTCTTATACCTATTTGTTTGTATTTTGTGTATGAGTTAAGATGTGGCGACATCGGTTTTGGAAGTAATCGGGCGCTAATTCATTTCTAGTGTCTTATTACTACTAGTTCTGTGATACCGACGGACGACTTACTTCTTGAACGGAGTGGTGATCCATATTTTGTGTCCTTTGATATTTCAGTCAAAAGTTCGTGAGCCGTCAAAAGCATAAATATTCTGAAAAATCTCAAATTTTTAAACATTTTAATATACTAGGGACATAGTCTAATTAAAAAGGCGTCATAATTAGGTGTCAAAAAGCGGCAAATTAAATAGGAGAAAATCAACAACCAACGAAGGGCAGAATAATTGAAAATTAAATTACAACAAATTGTCATGTACAGGGTAGGAATACTAGTCAATTCACTTTTCTTCGTTCTTTATATTTATATTAGGCGTAGTAGGTACCGTCAATGTGGCAATGATATGTTTTCTGATATGCTGAAGAATTTGAATACTAAATGTGCCTCGTGATAAAGACTTAAAACTTATTTTCTAATGCACCTACTCAGATATTTCCCCACCACCCAGAGGTAGACTGGTATTAAGTCCGCCATTGTACAATTAATTGCTACTTGTGCAAAAACAATTAAATTTAAATAAATATATGAAAAAGAAAAACTTTAAGCTAAGATTCTACTGCTCGTAATCGGCAGAATGCGGGCGTTAAATGCGTCGCTATCTAACCCTTTAGGAATGAACACGTGAGTGTATAAATGAGACAAAAACTAATTATTTATTAACTACCTACAAAGGTACATTATGGATTAGCTGTTTTAAACAAAGAAAGTAAACACGAGGCTTAAAATTACGTAACATATTGAAAACAAGATGCAACAACTGCCCTGTCATCGTACCTGTGACAAATGCTCGGCAACATCATTGCCTTGTACCACAAAACGCCAGGGAAGTCGTACTTGATACAGAATTCAGGTACAAAGGTTTCAGTAAAGCCCCTATTTTTGTCGTCACCTTGTGAAGCCGATATTTGCTTCCGTTGTTTATCCGTAAAGGACCTGATCGTTGCCGCCCTAGGCAATAGACAGTTCATTCTTGAGCTTATATTTCGTACCTAAAAAATATTTATTTAATGAATATGTTCTTAATTATGACTCTATTAACATAATATTAGTTTTTATGAAATATTACAATAGAAAACGCTTTAAATAATTTGCTAACAAGACAGTTTTAATTACTGCTATATGCAAGACTACACTTTCAATTTTGACTGTAATCAACAGGTCAAGGGGTCAGAAAAGAATTGTAAGCTTGATCTTCCGGCTTTTGCAAAGAAAATATCAGTCACCATTTTTTTTTCAGAGTTTGTGAACAAAACATTGAAGGAATATGATGTAGTGTTAAATTACCTCTAACAGCGGTTGATCTTTTGGGCCGATGACCTCTAGTTTATATTTATCCAAATAGTAATCTCTATATGATAGGTACACTTCTTGTTCAAACGAAGAATCTGGCGTCTTATGTTCTAGCACTCTTGAGACAATGTACCTAAAATAGAAAAACAATTAGAAATAAATATAACACATTTTGTCATAATCATTCAGTATGTCAGAGGAGGTATTCATAATATAATCGTTAGTAAGATGTAGATGTTCAAGATTGGAGATACAATTGTCTTTCCGTGCTGAATTGCTTTATTAGCTTATTTTGGATTAGATCCACATTTTTATTATTTGAACTACCATATCTTTTTTGTTAACTGAGGCCTAAATAGTGTCATATAACACTCACCTGTCGCGCAGTCCTCTGTACCATGGAGTCACAATGCAATCTTTGTAACTCTCGGGAGTAACATTCAACGTAATTCGCTCCTTCAATAGAAAAAAAAGAGCTATGAGTATTCTGGAGATATAAAAGAACCTGACTGAACGACTGTTATATCTTTCTCATAAATATCATCATCAACAGCCTTTACTAGTCCACTGCTGGACATAGGCCTCTTCTTAGAAAGGAGGTTTTGGCCTACTACACCACTACTACTACTCATAAATATAGTTCCTCAATAATGATCAAAATTAATCAATCTTTATTTGCCAACATGAATGGTCTTTAATTTACTTAGTAAGTAGCCTAAGAAAGAGAAGAATAAATTATAAGTACAAGCATTTTAGAATGATTAGATTAATTAATCAATAATATTGTATGTATAACAATTTAACAAATCATGCAAAATACAAAGGCATTTAGACATAAATCGACACATATTCTTCTACTGTCCTTAGTATTATGGTGTATCAAAACCGATTTTTCTTTTTTATGTATTGTGTTTAGGTATATTCATTCTGTAAACGTGTAAAAAGAAATGTAATTTGTTGTGTGTTTTGTTTCAATATATTCTTTAACTGAATAGAAACATTTTTCAATGAATGGTTAGTTGCTTAGTTTAGTTAGTGCCTAGTTGCTCTTAGTTTTTTAATGAAAAGTGTAACCCTAGTTTCAGTTTTTATGAGGATAGGTAATTTGTTATATAGTTTTACAGAGATGTAGAAGGTGCTCTGGTTTAGCATTTTAATTATTGATGGTGGTAGGTGCAGTCTGTCTCTGTGGTGTGTTTAAATTATAATTGTCTTTTACTCTTGTGAAGTGATTCATGTTCTTGGATACAAATATGCAAATGTCAAATATGTAGGTATAATAATAGTAGTGTGAGGATGTTATATTTAATGAAGTAGGGCCTACAACTGTCACGATTTCCAATTGGTTAATCCAAAAAAAAAACAATGAAGTTTTTTATTCAGAAAAAAAATGAGAGCCAAACAATATCGGATGACTTCTTTTGGCCCACCTTGATAAGACAATATTTCCCGCCAAACCAAATTTCAGAGTTACAGGTCAACGGGATAATACCCTATGAATTTTGATCCCCTTGAGAGTGTCGAAATATGCGTTTTTGGCAAAATAAACGTTTAAATCTTTTTTTACGTTAACTTAGGAGTTTGATTATTGTACAGCTTCAAGGGCCCGTAGACCTGAGTATATGGTTTTAATGTCAACTCGGTACCAAGCGTTCCCGAGATAAGGGTCTTAACAGACAGACAGATGGACAACAAAGTGATCCTGTAAGGGTTTCGTTTTTTCCTTTTGAGGTACGGTATCCTTAAAAAAGTAACATTTAAAAACGATAAAACGCTTGTCCAATATAATATCCTACTATAAAAATACTAAAATACTACAATAGTAGTGCGATTGCAATTAATAAGTTAGGTTAAATTAAAATTAGCATCGGAGAAAGTGTTTGCAACGCCACAGGACTAAGTAAATCTTTAATACTTATATCTATGATATAATTGGCATACCTCGTCAGAAATTTGTTGTACTGGTGCTATAGTATCATGTGAAGTCATAGTATTCCAGTCGATAGAGTATCCATTGTCATCTATAATGGGCACGATATACATGCAGTTCACTTTACCCTCGAACACCATAAACTTTTTAACCACGTTCAATACTTGATCGAAAAGGAAATAATGGAATCTAAAACAAAATGTTTGTTAATTTTTCTAATAGCTTCTCTTTGAAAAACTAATCAAAGTATATCTTTTTGATGATGAAGAGGGCAACGAGCAAACGGATCACCTAATGGAAAGTGACTACTGCCTATATTCAGGAGTCACAAACGCATTACCGGGCTTTGAGGTAGGAGTACACTCTTTTCTTGAAGATTTGACGTTCGAAGTCCGGAAATACCACAGACGATAATTTGTTCCACATATTGGTTGTGCTAGGCAAAAAGTATTTTGAAAACCGCACAGTGGTGGAGTGCCAATTAACCAAGTGAACGGTGGCGGAAAGTTGCGGCCGGTATTAGTAATAATAAAAATAACGGCACACATTTCACACACGGCAGTCAGATCCAAACAAGTCATTGGAGAGGATCTCTCGCTACCGGCCGTCATATGCTGTATGGCTGGTAGTGACAGATTTTTTAGCCACAGCGTCGATCTTCAAACTAATTGTAAGTTCAACGCTGTGGCGGCGCTGTACGCAAAGCTGTTTCTATAGAGAATAGCACTGCTGGAGTTCGGGACGACGCCTAGGGAACAGGAGGGTCGAAATAGGCGCGTTTAAACCAGTGCTAACTCTTTAGCACACGTCTTCAACAACGATAGGAGAGATTTCATCAGGCTCACTCGACTTATGGATTTAAGAGAATGACCGGAGGATGGATCGAATTTCCGGCATACAGCTCTGGCACCACAGTATGGTCGGCGGTACGTTTCCCCCGTCATCCAAAGTCTAGTTGGATGCAAAGACTTCGTCTAAGTGATCAGCTTTCTCCTTGGCATCATGAGCCAAAGTATTGTCTCCCATTTCTGGGGGAGCTGGAGGGGATTGACTACAGAAATTTGCCTGGAACACTTTGGCAAAAAATCAGAATGCACGAGTTCCACAAGGAAGTCTCACCAGTTTCTTACCAATTCGGCTGATGTGCTCCGATTTTACCCTTGCAATGGCTCTTTTGGGGGCCTGGAGGCAGAGTTGTATTGTTTTTTAACGTGCTGGCATTTACATCACTTACCGTCGCAGGATCTATGGAACCAAGGCTTAGATCTGTCACCGATGGGAATTAATGAAGATGGAACGAATAGTTTTATGCCCCCGGCACAGAATCGGCAACAACGTTGGGATCACCCGGCTAGAAATAAATCTGCCTCCATAGATAGGATGCAAAGAAAGATCGCATCTCATCCCAGTCCGCTGACCTATAGTTCCAAACGCGATGGCAGCCTGCAATCACATTAGATGCCCCGTACTCTGGATAAGGCAATGATCCATGGAGCCAAGTGACCGGGTCTCAACGGTGACTTTATAAGAAGAAGTTCCAACAAGTGAGTGTGTAAGAAGTGAACGCTCATAAATTTCCATATCTGGGACTTGCGTAGGCGTTGATACCAGTTGTAACAGTAATAGGTCAGGGCGAAATCGTGAAAAGTTCTCCCGTGTGATCGGTTTTGCATTAGCAAAGCCATGCGGCGTTATGAGCATTATAGTCGCCAAGTATCACGATCTCTGTGGATAGGATGTGCTGTAGCACAGAATCTGTAGCCATTTGAACGTGGTCCATCGGTTGGTCAGTTTCGTTACCACCGCTGTGGGGATGTTCGTCACTGTCTACACGGAGCCACAAGATGGAGAGGTCCCGTCCTTCAAGACGTAGTAACGTAGACGTACACTCCTGCCCTAGCAACAACGATGTTCCATGTGATAAACAGGGGAGATGTAGGTTTTGTTCGAATGAGATATCTGCGTCTCGGTTAAAAAGAGCGAGGCCATCTTTACTGTCTCGAGGTGGTGGTGGACAGCATTCAGGTTGGAGTGTAGGGCCCTGACATTGCAGGAGTCCACACCAAGCGTGGCAAGGGTTGTCTTGATGTGCCTTCTTTTGCCGCAGATAGATTAATTGAGAGCAGTTGTGCAGCTTAGAAATCCACGCACAGATGAAAGGTGTTCTGAGAAAGATTCTCCAACTCTAGCGCAACTGGTACCCTGTCGTAGACTACTGTTCCACCCCGCTATGATAAGGGGATGGTGGGTTTGGGTTTCGGTAACCTCATTTACTCGGTTAAATGGAACAAGGGAATTACTTAACGACCGGTTTTCTGTGAGTCCGTAGTATTGCACAGCATTTTTGCCAAAGCATGCCTCTCCCACGGTAGGGTTTTGGCCTAATATACCACGATGGCCAGATGGGTTGGTATAGGTTTTGTGTCAAGTATTTCTTCTCTTTGCAGTGTGTTGTCCTGCGTAATTTGCTTCCTTAGTCGGCTCTTACAACACCTACTATGAAGGTGACTCTTCGTATTCATAATCTATCACCACACGAAAACATATATATATTTGATCAGTAGATGATATCGATTATAGATCGTCAATTTCTCAGTTACATACTAAGTTACTTTATTTTTTTAATCTCATTGGACGTGTGTGAGAAGTGTAAAGTTATAATTATAATTTTCTGATATTCTTTTGTATAAATGATATTGTTACTGTGATATTGATACTACTTTAATGTTTATTATAACATACAAAACCTTGAAATTTTCTATTTAAACTATAGATCTATCGATCATAAGAAACTTCGTTTTCTTTTATTTTACTTACTGCTTTACTAATGTGAAGAGCTTTTCATTTAGTTTAATGGCAGCGTAATTAACTTCTATCGACGTTTCCACTTCCCCGACTGTCATATACGTTGGGAATTTACACAGGTGAGGTAGAGATTTTTGGGTCAAGAACCCATAACCTTCTTTCCTACCGAGCAACTGATACAAGGCTCTCTCCCGAGAATCTGCAGGTTCTTCAAATTCAGCTTTCAATTTAATGACGTGGAGATAAAATGTGTCTTCGTCTGGCACGCTATCTAGATGAGTCGGAAACTGCAATTACAAAATTTTATTGTTTAAAAATATTCTTTTTAGTGACTGATGAAAAACTTTCGCCCTATTTCTGGGTCAAGAAAAATGATGAATTTTCATTATTAGTAGACTGCATTAAATTGATTGAACCACGATTTAAGTTTGTTATTATACACCAACCTGTATTTGATGTTTGCGAATTCGCTTCTTAGAACCAGGTTTATGTACTTTTTGTATTGGGTCAGGGACGGCAACAGCAGTACAGTCGTCTTCATCACCACCATCTTCTTCTCGCCAATTGGTAAAAATTTCTTTTACATTATCTTCATCAAAATCTACGGACCTAAACGATTTCATTGAGAAAAAAACACAAATATTATATTATTTGTATATTTGAATTGTCTGTCTAGTGGTAAGCGATGCTGACTGTTAAGCCAGAGTTCGTGGGTTCAAGTATCACCGAGGACAAATATTGGTGTAGTTTATATGTAATATGCATGTATTTAGAAATATATAGTATTTTTATCAGCAGTCTAGTTACCACAGAACAGGCTCAGCCTAGTTTGGGATCATACGACCGAGTGTGAGAATCATATATCGTGACGAATTCACACTGTCACTGGGCACTGTCTGAATTACTGCCTACTAATTCTCGTCAACTAAATAATAAGTCTTAGGAAATAAGCATTTGATATCGCTCAAGTTTCCTTTAATTAAAAATTAAAATTAAAATGTATTTGCTTTACATAACATAATATTAGGGCTTTACCTATAAAGTTGGAGATTTGTATGAAAATTTTAAAATATAGAATATTTAGTAATTTTTTATTTTAGTTAATTAAAAAAAGTGTATTTGCTTTACATAACATAATATTAGGTCTTTACCTATGAAGTTGGAGATTTGTATGAAAATTTTAAAATATAGAAAATTTAGTTATTTTTTATTTTAGCTAATTAAATTACTGGCCCAAATTATCTATACAATTTTGCCATTTTGATGGCAGTTTATTTATCTCTTTTCTGCAGAATTCTTCTGGACGGGTGGCAATGAAGTCAACGAAAGCGTTTTGTAACTTCTAAATGAAAAATAGAAATGTATTGAGACAAGGTCCGGTGAGTACGGTGGGTGACGGAGAGCTTCCAGGTGTAACTCTTGTAACTTTGCAATTGACCAGTCGTAGTGTGTTGTGCTGTAAAAGTCCGGCACTGTCATCTTCCTATGGGTAATTTTTTTTTCACCCACTGAGACGACTGTCAGACGGTTGTCGTACACTATCCACTTTTCATCACGGGTAACAATTCGATTCAGAATTAACTCATATCTATGCCGATTCAGTGGTGCATTAGACATGGGACAAAATCACAGTGAAATGTGAAAGACCGGTGTTTAATTTATCGATTGTTTTCAGATGATGCATAAATTTCGCCTATTTAACAGTAACGGTAATTATTTTATAATATATATAGCTACCATTCCTTACATAATAATTAAAAAATACTAGATTTACTGTTAAATAGCGTCTAACCTACCAACCTAGCAACCCTAACCTACGTACGCAAAAATCGAATGATAAATCACAGTTGAGTGATTTTGTCCCATGTCTAGTAGTGCTACGCATGCTTCGACGTGTAAGTCTCGCTGATGGTCTATTAGTTAGTGTCACCCACTTATCCATATTTTTTATCTTTTCGATTTGACGCAAGTGCCTCAATTTTATCTAGACACTAATTCCAAAGATCGCAGCAAGTTCAGCCGTAGATTCGAGTTGGTTCAGAACCGACAAATAGTTAATAATAATAATAATAAAAAAAAAACACAGTCGTTAAGCATACATCACAGTCGTTAGGCATACCAGAATCTGACATGAAACAAACGTTGCAGGAACGCTTTTTTGGCCGCTTGAAAAAAGTACTTAAAAGTCTTTTATCAGGGGGCAACAAGGTGCGAGCCTGCAATTGTTGGGTCATGCCGATTCTGATGTATTCCTTTGGTATACTTAAATGGACTCAGACCGAACTAGATGCCCTTGATAGGAGAGTCCGTACATTGCTGACTGCATTTCGAATGCACCACCCACGTTCATCGGTTATGAGATTGTATATCCCGCGAAAGCTAGGGGTTCGCGGATTATTAAATATCAAGACCCTACACAATCGGGAGATATGCAATCTCAGAGAATATTTTCTACATACCGATGTGGGAATGCATCGCAATGTAGTTGCAGTGGATATCGGATTCACCCCGCTCGCTCTGGCTAAAGAGAATTGGCGCAAACCTGTAGTATTTAGTACTAATGATCGTAGGGAAGTATGGAAGGGCAAAGAGCTCCATGGCCGGTTTTATCGGGCCCTAAACGGGGCCGATATAGACTTTAAAGCATCTACGACTTGGCTACGGTATGGTGATCTCTTCGGAGAAACTGAAGGTTTTGTTTGTGCGATTATGGACGAAGTTATCATGACGAATAACTATCGGAAATATATCCTGAAAGATGGTACGGTTGACATCTGTCGGGCATGCCACCGTCCTGGAGAATCAATCAGGCATATCATTTCTGGTTGTTCTCGTCTTGCTAACGGTGAATATTTGCATAGGCACAACCAAGTAGCCAGGATTGTACACCAACAGCTTGCCCTTAAATACCATCTTGTGAATCTAGAGGTGCCATACTACAGGTACGTGCCCGACCCAGTTCTCGAGAATGGTCGGGCCACGTTGTATTGGGATCGATCTATTATCACAGACAGGACTATTGTTGCTAATAAGCCTGATATTGTAGTGATAGATCGATTAGAGCGCCGCGCAATGATTGTTGATATCGCCGTTCCTCATGACGAGAATCTCGTGAAAGTTGAAAAAGAAAAACAAATAAAATATTTATTACATTTATACAGTGATAATTGTTCCGATAGTCATATCTGCTCACGGATTGATAGCCAAGAGCCTCGACCAACACCTTAAGAGGCTCACGTTGGACGGCTGGATCAAGGGTCTGATACAGAAGGCAGTCCTCCTTGACACGGCTCGTATAGTGAGGAGGTTCCTATCTTTGCAGTCCTAACCACTGGTGTCCTGGTACCTGTACCTGATGTCGGTGGTCTACTATTTTTTATATTTTTAAATGTATTTTTATTTCTTTTGTTATATATTTAAAAATGTAATTAATATGTATATATAATTTAATAAAGAGAATAATAATAATATAAAATATCTTACAAATCTCACACACAGCCGTCTGATCCCACACTAGGCAGAGCCTGTACTATGGTAACCAGACCGCTGATAAACATACTTATATATTTTTAAATATATACAAATTATAGATAAATTACACCCAGACACAGACCGTGCTCATCACACAATATTTGTCCTGGGTGGGAATCGAACCCACGACCTCCGGCTTAGCAGTCAGGGTCACTAACCACTAGACCAACAGGCCCGTCAAGTTACTTGATGGTCTTTCATCGCTAAGGTCACTGTATACATGCGCAAGCGAGATGCAGCTATATAGATAGTAACACCTAAGATAAGGATCGCAAGCTATTAAACAACATTTGTTTCTTTTCTAGTCATTGCTTGTCTGTCAGGTAATAAGACAACCTAATTGACGGTGGTAGTAACTGTGTTTAAAAAAATATGCTGTATTATATAAAAAAAATAGTATATGTATTTATATCAGTTGAGCTCTTAGTTTGGATCCAGAAAGAGTTTTGTGAATGTGGTATAGAATATTATAATTATTCGTGTTACTTTCGTATAAAATGGAATCAAGTAACGAGCATTAAATTTCGAGAAATTGCATATGCTAATAACTTGTAATGAAATTGTTCAACGTTACACAAAGTATTGTCATATCTTTCTCTAAAAACCCTTTCTTTTCTCTCAGGATAAAGCAAAATTTAATCCTGCGTAATATGCAGGATGGATTCCTTTAAATCGGTAAATTTCTGTCAGCGGCTCATTGCATTCAATCAAACATTTATACCAGTTGATAAAATAACCAACGAATGCAAAGCTCTGGCAAACAAATGCAAAGCAGGATATTATGAGCGCATTTAATTTTTTTTCTTATTGGCTAACCGAGATGTTAAGGGAATTAACATTTGGTCAGATAATTGCAGCTCCCAGAAAAAAAACTGGCTGTTATTTTCATTGTTGACACACATGATAAATAGAAATTGACTGTAACAGAATCAGTAACTTATATTATTTTGAGCCTTTATGAGCTGTGACCATGTTTATCACAAAGTCGAGTTATCGATTTAAAAAAAGGCAAATTTTACGATTTCGGCGATTTAATGTTCCAAATTTAATATGTGATAGACGCATTCAAAAGTCAAGAGCATATCTCAAAAATATATCTCAAGTATCTTTTAACCGGACCAGCTATGACCTTTTTTAAAAAAATAAACAAAAATATCAACAATGTATAAAAATTTAGATTTTTTGTTGATTTTTCAAAAACCGCTTGACCGATTTCTATAAAATTAAAAACAAAAAAGAATTTTTAAAATCGGTTCAGGCGTCTTCGAGTAATCGGTGAACATATATAAAATCGTTTGAGTGAGTGGATGTGAGTGTGATTACGAAAAGTTGTCATTAAATATTTGTTTTTGAAAGGCAATACGGCCACACAAATCAAAGATGAGTTGGATTCTGTGTATGGGGACTCTGCACCACCATTTCCCACAGTGAAATTTTGGGCAGCTGAATTTAAACGCGGCCGTAAGAGCTTGGGAGACGATGAACGTTCGGGACATCCAAAAAGTGCAACTACCAAGTTCACCATATGTTGCTAGACGACCGCCGAATTAAAGTGAGAGAGATAGCAGAGGTAATGAACATGTCAAAAGTCACACATGTTTGTCACAAATCAAATCAACATTTAGACATGAGAAAGCTGTCCGCGCGTTGGGTGCCACGTTAGACCAAAAACGTGTTCGAATGAACATTTCCAACGCTCTGTTGGCGCAGTTTAGGCGCAATAAATCCGAATTTTGGCGCCGAATAATTACTGTAAATGAAACTTGGATACACCATTATACTCCCGAAACTAAAATACAGTCCAAACAGTGGACTGCAAAGCGGGAACCGGCTCCAAAAAAGGCAAAAACTGTTTTTGCGGCTGGGAAAGTGATGGCGACTGTTTTTTGGGATAGTCATGGAGTTATTTTAATCGATTATCTCCAAAAAGGAAAAACCATTACAGGAGCATACTACGCATCATTACTTGACAAGCTGAAGGCAGAACTTGCGAAAAAACGGCCACATTTGCAAAAAAAAAGAAAATCCTGTTTCACCAAGGCAACGCACCGTCTGACACCTCTCAGCTGTTGCCATGGCGAAAATCCACGAATTACGGTAGGAACTGCTTGCCATTCGCCTTACTCACCAGATCTAGCCCCAAACGAAAAATTTGCGCTCGGAGGACAAAGATTTTCGTCAAATGAAGAGGCAATCACCTTCGTGAACAATTATTTTGCAGACAAAAACGCCGAGTACTATTTGGACGGGTTACAGAGATGGGAGCATCGCTGGGAGTAGTGTGTAGAGTTACAAGGACACTATGTTAAAAATAAAAATAAACTGAAAAAAGGTCTTGTCTCTTTGTTAGGTCGGAAACTTTTCAGACCACCTTCGTAATGCGCCGTCCTTCAGGATATACTTCCGATAATAACAGAATACAGACGCCAGTTGGTCTACTTAAAGCCTGTTCAAGGCATGATAAAACGTCCATGCAGCTCTTTGCCCTACCATATCTTCATACGATCAGTAATGTTGAGTACTGCAAATTTGTGCCAGTTCTCTTTACCTAGATTAAGTGGAGTGAGTCCGTTATCAACTGCTGCTACATCCCAATGCATAATCACATTAACAGAAAGGAAGTAAGTCCTAAGGTTACAGATCTCACGATTATGGAGGGTCTGGCATTTAGAAATCCACGACCACCACATTTTCGTGGAATATATAACCTCATCACCGATGAACGTGGATGATGCAATCGGTTTGCAGCTAATGTACGAAATCTTCTATCAAGGGTATCTAGTTCAGTCTGAGTCCATCTAAGTATGTAGTGGTATTACGCAATCATTATAGGCCCTCACCTTATTACCACTTGACGAAAGACTATTTAATACTTTTTTCAGGCGGCTTAAGAAGCGCTTCTGTAAAGATTGTTTCATAGTCAACTCATTTACACCTAACGCCTGTGACGTACCCAGATATTTGTAAGTTTCGTTAGCTGAGAGACACCTAAAAGTTAATAATCGTATCTATAATAAGGAGCTCTTTAGTACTACGTGCCCCAGCTCTACATCCATTCTGCGAGTGAGACATAATAGAGTTGTGCGTAATATGAGATGTTATCTTCACTCTCAGAATGGACGTTAGTAATTTATTATTATTATTCAAAACTGTATTTCAATAGAAATCATATACTACATACGTGTATCGTATAGGCAGCAATCCAGAATCTAACTCCCCAGCTTCGTGTAATTTGATACAAGCGTTCAATGCTGCTGAACGCTTTGCGGACTTTAAATTCTTTTGACACATACCCTGTAAATGAAACAAAACATTAATAAATGTTGGAAAAAAAAACTACAGTATTAAATAATTTCGATGGAGACATGTTTGTTACTCTTACACGTAAAAAGGTAGTATTTAGATGAAATTTGGACAGACATTTTATACCCTGCTTTAAAACATAAGATGCTTGGTCATTACAGTACTAAATACAGTATTATTTATTTATTCAATATAATACTGTGTAGAGTAGTGAACACAAACGTCATAAAGGGATAGTAACGCTAAACGTAAATCTTGATGGACGACCAAGTCTAAAAGGTTAAGGTTAAGTTTTGTATGGTTAACCCGCAGAAATAATACATTAATTATATCATACCTTTATTCCCTCCTTGATGGGGCTAGTAATTGGCAATAGAATAGTAACTTGATCGTATACGAAATTATCTTGGCGCACTTTTTCATGAATCCACATTGGTGTGATAACCGTGAATTGGTCAGTAGGCAGCATTGAACAATAACGATTGAGTAAGCTTACAGCTGACACACAAGTCAATCGAGCTGGAAAAAAAAGAACATTTACACAACCATATCTTTCATTAGTGGGTTAAATTAATAAAATATGAATCAATGAAAATCTTGTAGATTGCATCATATTTTTAAATGCAAGAAGCAGGAGTCAGTGCGAACAGGTCAGTCGTGAAAGTAATTACCTGCTCTTAAAAAATAGGCTAAAAAACTACATGAACTCATTTTCAACACTTTTTTCATACTAAAATAATTTTGTGACACATCATTGCTTATAAACGCGAATTAAATGTTTTTATTTATGGAATAGGGGGCAAACGAGCAGACGGGTCACCTGATGGAAAGCGACTACCGCCTTCCATGAACGCCTGCAACTCAGGAGTCACAAGCGCGTTGCCAGCCTTTGAGGAAGGAGTATGCTCTTTTCTTGGAGGTTTGAAGGTCGTATCGGTCCGGAAATACCGCAGCCGATAACTTGTTTCACCGATTGGTAGTGCGAGATAAAAAGTGTCTTGAAGAGCGTACAGTGGTGGAGCGCCAATTGTCCAAGTGGTGGGGATGAAAATTTTGCCGTGTGGAATGATGGCGGAAGGTTGCGGCCGGTATTAGTCCAAACAATTCCTCGGAGCACTCTCCATGATATACACGATAGAAAATGAGTGAACCTACATCTCTACGTAACGCCAAGGGATCGAGCCGGTCGAAAAACTTTTGGCTATCGACGATTCGAGTCGCTCTTCTTTGGATACGATCCAGAGGGAGAAGCTGGTACTGTGGTGACCCTGCATAGAGATGAGAACAGTATTCCATATGCGGTCGGACTTGCGCCTTATAGAGTTGGAGGCGATGGGCTGGAGTGAAATACTGCCACTGCAGTGTAGGTGATAGCACGCAGCCTTGCAGGACACCAGCATTTACTAACTTCAAGTCGGAGCATGCACCGTCGATAACGACCTTAATGCTTCTATCTGCAAGGAAACTGGTGACCCAGTTACATAATTTCTCGGGAAGCCCATAGGAAAGGAGCTTCGAGAGAAGCGCTCTATGCCACACCCGATCGAAAGCCTTCGCTACGTCCAAGCTTACCGCACAAGCATCTCCCTTGGTCTCGATCGCCCGTGCCCACCGGTGTGTTAGATAAACGAGAAGATCATCAGCTGGGCGACCCCGGCGAAAACCATATTGGTCATTGAGTAGCTGGTGATTTTCTAAGTACCAGAGAAGCTGGCAGTTGATTACAGATTCCATAATCTTTGAGAACAAGGAGGTTATGGCTATAGGCTTGTAGATAGGAGATTCCATCAGGCCCACTCGACTTATGAATATCGAGAGAAAATAGTGCTTTACGCACTGATTTCTGTGTGAACCGGATTTCGGCGGTACGTTTCCCCCGTCATCCAAAGTCGAGTTTTATGCAAAGATCGCCTAGGAGATCGGCTTTCTTCTTGACATCATAGGCCAACGAATCATCGCCCATCTGCAGGGGTGGAAGGGATTGGCTACAGAAATTCCCCTGGACTGCCTTGGCAAGAGACCAGAATGCACGAGTTCGAGAAGGAAATCTCACCAGTCTCTCACCGGCTGATGTGCTCCCATTTCGCCCTGGCAATGGCTCTTTTAAGGGATCTGGAGGCACAGTTATATTGCTTTTTTAGCGTGCTGGTGTTTACATTACCATTTGTGTTCTGAACGTGGGCGTCTAGCCGGGGATTCTCCAACGCTAGCGCAGCTGGTACCCCATTGGCGTGGACTGTTGTTCAACGACGCTATCATAAGGGAGGATGTAGAAGGGGTTGGGCTCCGGAAACCTCACTCACTCGGTGAATTGCAATATGGAATTGCCTGACGACCGGTTTTCTGTGAGGCTGTGGTATCGCACCGTTCAAGCCGGCCCATTTATGCCGAAGCATGGCTCTCCCACGGTAATAAGTGAGGCAAAGTTAAATACAATTTTTAAATATCGGCCAGTATTACTATATTAAAGCAATAATATTAGTTAACGAGCATGTCGCACCATCCTCTAGCTCAACCAAATAGAAGAGACGATCCACGATCTGATACACGCGTACCAATATTTGATGCGAATGAGAAATAAGTCAGGTCAGGTTAGACACTTTACTTGGAAGATTATGTAAAATGTTTTTTTTTATTTAATTTTTGTCCTCACCTCCGCTAGGAGCTAGATAAGGAGGTATGTCTCCTTCCCCATAAAGTTGATTTTGCACTTCTTCGCTTGCAGGTTCATCTCTATCTTCACTGTTGCCAATTAAAATCTGTAATGATGAATATGTTTATACATTTGCAATGAAGAAAACAATGATCATCTTAAAGGGCCTTAGAGTGGCTATTTAGAAGAAAGACATGACATTTAAATAAATACTATTTACAGAAAACAGGATTTGAGTCTATCCTTAAGTACATGGTATTCTATAAATAGTTATCAGATTGTACTTGAATAACAATAGTAGTACGCATTATGAAGGTGGCTGCTAAACTTTTCTTCATCTTTAGAAATAATGGCTTTTGATGGCGGCTTCGCAACGTTGAAGTTATTTCTCTGTTAGAAAAAGAATCAGAATGTTCTTTTTCATTAAAATGTCATTTTGTGAAAAAAAATTAAAAATACAAGGTAGCAACAAAATATGTACATAACAACTAGAATAGGTATAGGTAGATAGGATAGGTAGGATGCATTGTAGAGAAGCCGTTGCATGACAACTAGCCGTACATTTAAAATATCTTGCGATATAGGTGCGCTTTTGCTTGTATTATTATTAGAAGTAAACTCATAGGGATTAACCGTACATCAAGTTGTACCACAGTCAAAGAGGAAGTGAGGAAAGAAGGTGTTGATCTATTTTAAGAGACTTCAAACAAAAGAGGAGGTTCTATATTCGGTTCAATATTTTAATTTAAATGAATGATATCGCAGAACACTGTCATTATTTATTTATTTAGGACTTGTTGCCCATTTGCTCCTGCTGCCTTTATTTATTAAAATTAGAACAACTAACTGACCAGTTACAATTCTAATAATAATCTTTATTGCATTTAAAATTACATTCACTGTTGAGGTACAATATCACATAATACAACTCTATGACACAGACGGTACTAAATGCTGTCTAAGATGTTTGTGTGGAAGTGTGTTACCGTGTGTGTGAGTTGAGTGTGAAGAGCGCGAAAATTCATTGTTGGTCACAACAGAGTAAAACAAATGAATAAATTAGACGTTTGCAGTAAATTTTCTGTTTCTTGATAATATAGCTGCTCAAGCCAGCTTGAAATTTTATTTTTAAGTTCATGTCTTATCAGACCTACAATACATACTTCTCTGTTTATGTGGTTATAAAGTTTACAACTAATACTAATAGATTGACGTCTTGCGAAGGAGGTTCTGCAATAGACCCTAGGACATACCGACATAAATCTTCGTCTGTTTGGGTTTGGAGAGTGTACATTTCGGAGCATTCTCAGTATAGATTTAAGCACAAAGAGCTGTCGTACTGTTAGGACCTTGCAGTTTAAGTACAGTAAAAGGGATGGGTACCTGTCGAGTTTTTTAGTCATGATCTTACGAGAAACTGATCAAGAGAACTGCTCTTTGTGCTCTCTCCAGAGCAAGTAAATGGGTTTCAGCGCTCCTCCCCAAACTGTGATATAGTAAAGAACCCTTGATTCGCATAAAGCCGTGTAGACCAGTTTCATCTTGTCTATTGTAGCGGCATCTCTCAGGGTTTTAATGATATGTAGGGGACGTCTCAAACGCTTTGTCACCATAGTAATATGTTTGTCTCATTTCAGACCAGAGTCTATGTTAACACCAAGAAATTTTACATTTTCTGCTCTTGGAAGTAGTTGGCATGTACCGTCGTCTTTAAAGAGGCATGTGTGTGCTTTAAATTATTGTGTGCTTATAATATTGAAGTTGCAAGAAGGGACGTTTGTTTTTCTCATTGTAAATGGGACATACAGCGTAAAGTTAAAGTAGTAAAGTTTAGTGTAAGGAGGTTACCAGTGAGCCAATTCATAATCAGGGCTAGGGAATTTTCAACTATCTCTCGCACTGCTCGCCAGACCACCAAATAAGGACTGCCGTGTCATTATCATAGGTGGAAATGTTTGCATTTGGGATGGACAATGTGCAGAGGTCGTTTATATAAAGCTGAAAAAGTGTGGGGCCTAAAATACTTTCTTGCGGGACACCGTAAGAGACACTATTTTCTTCACTAACGTATTGATCTCTTTTACCCTTTGTCTTCTATTGGACAGATAACATGAATTTGACAAGGTGATCCCCCTTTTTTGTTTTTTTTTCCGTGCGCTAATCCCCTCGGATACCACCTATCGGTGGCATGTCGGACTCGAACCGACTAAAACCGCACGCCGTCTCGGGTACTAATAGCCGGGGAACCAGGTATACCATAGAAAGGAAGTCCCTGGTGCACAAGGTGATCCCCTATATTTTTATAAACACGATAGACCGGTAAACTTATCGCTAAAACTCAATTTTATTTACACACAATATTAATAATCACACCCAAACGAGACAGTATGTAGGTAGTGCATGCTTACCCTTTGTATCAGTCGCTCCGTTGACTGAAATTCTTCATAATTTTTCATGAATTTCTTTTCAACTTCTTTGTTGATCAAAATAACATAATTTGATTTAGCACTCCTTGCACGACCTGAAATGAATGAAGTGTTATTATGAATCCGTAAACACGAAATTGGATTATCCGAGTTTCGTTAATAGATGACCGCGTTTGGCGCTGTGATTGAACCGCGGTGTTTTTCATCCCTAATTCTTGCGAGGACTCAAATGGACTCTCTTGACTTGCAGGTGTCTATGGACGGAGGTAGTCAATTGCCAAGAAAGCCAGTATAAACATTATAAAATAAATTCTTACTAGAGAGAGACGTTAGTCTTATCCAGTTAAGACCTTTTCGTTTAATGATTGTAATAGAAGATGTTATCGCCTACCTTTACTCTGTATGTAAGAGCGGTATTCAAGTGGTGGGTCGTAGCGCAATACTAACAAACACTGCGGTATGTCAATTCCCTCCTCTATAACACTTGTTGATATTAAGCAGTTAAGATCACTGAAAATGAACACAGTCTTATAAATCATTGCAACAGTGCTGGTAAAATGTATAAGTAGGTTAATAAATGTGTGTGGTTTTTTTTTTGTATTATTGTACAGGAGGGCAAACGAGCATAATCTGATGGTAAATGACACCCTGTAGAAAGCAGTCTATATTCAAGTAAAATAGTATGTCTATGTCAGTAGTATTGATATAAGTTTATTGATTTCCCTCACCAATCATAAAAACTACTTTTAAATTTAATTATACTGCCTACATGATGAAAGAACAGCAATCACTGTGTCATAAATTACGCGCAGAATTATAAAATATAAAACTTATATGTATTTTGATTTGATTATTTAGCTACTTATCGATGGAATAACAGTAATCTGCTTGGGTATCAAATCAAAACATTCTGGCATTCTACCTTCTAACATTCGTCCAGCGGCCTGAATGATACTTAGCCAATGCCTTTAATACTATAATTATTTTAGTTAACTGGCTGGTCGTTAGTGATCACTCGTATATCGCCTCAATTCTGCTATTTTATGTTAACGCACAAGCCACTGTCATTCCATTAACACTCTATTGGGATGCCATTGCGGTGCCATTGACATCGGTGAAAATATCGGTATTCTACTAACATAAATTCACAGTATCAATAGACTGTGGATGTAGCGACAATGGCTGATTGGTTATATTAACATTTATTATGACATTTGTATAAGGGTCAGTTCAGTGACAAGTCATCGGAATTGGTCATTGGTCTTACATAGTAGAAAACGAACAGCGCTCGCCGGTGATAGCATTTTAGGTTAAGAGGTTGTACGTGTAGTTGTAAACATAATAACATTTTAGGTTAAGAGGTTGTACGTGTAGTCGTAAACATAATAACTAAATAAACTGTTTGATTTTAAACTATCGCTTACTTGTTTTTAAATTTCAAAAGCGCTTGTTGACTGTACTTTTTGACATAATGTTCCTCTCGAGTACAATTTGTTGGGTTAATATTAAAGCCAACAATAAAATCGTGTTTTAAAAAGCCGAACTCTTCTGGATTAGCCTCCTTGACATCTTTTAAAAGATTGAATAACACTTTCGCTGTGAATCTCTGTTTAGTGAAAATTATTGAAGATAGTCGTTCTCTGTTTTTGTTAACTTTTAATAACACTGAAACAAAATGTACGCAATATCCGCCATTAATATACAGAGGTTTAAAAGTAAAGTTGTCAACAGTTAAAACTAAGACCTTCAGAAGCTTTTAACAAATCTTGGAAATAATAGCGAGTGTCATACTTGCTGTTATTTCAATAACATTTATCACAAATGAAAAATTCCAAGTCGTTTAAGTAACAAACATTAAAAAAAACATAAGAGATCAGAAAAATATGAATTTATAGTTATAATTACCTCCTGGAGTGTCCATCACTTTAGGACTGTACTCTTTTAATATGTTAAGAAGGAGCAGGACTTGTTCTGACGAATGTTTTACGATTTTGTTGTACCCAGTCTCATTTTTCATCGCCAATAGTAAAATTTGTCTTGCACTGTAGTATTAAAAATATATGAGTACATCTTTCTGTACGAACTAACAGTAGCAGAATGTTATTGACTTGCTGAGGCCTGATACCCTTAACACTAGTTAGATCTTAACATAGGCATCGGTGTTGCAAACCACTGTCTGTGCTAAGTCTTTGTATAACTACTTTCATGTGTCTTTGTTGTAACTTTTGGGAATAAACATTTATTATTTTTATTTTTATAGTGGCTAGTTGACGGCGATAGACTTGGCCACTATAACGTGAGTGGGACGAAAAGTATAGACAGGAAAATGTGGACGTTTAATGCGCCTCTGTATACCCCTTCTATGATACAGATGTGTGTGTGTATCATAATTTTTTTGAACAATTATTTTAAGGCGCATTACTTTTTAGTAATAATTTTGGATTACATAAGTACATAAACTCGTACCCAATAGGTCCAATATATATAATATCCGAAGTCCAATATCTCGAAAATGGTTAGGGTTGGGATATGGTATTTCATAATACAATTTAAAAGTAATAATGGCTACCACAACCCCTAAACTAACTAGGTCGACTTAACTGTTAACCCTGTATAAATAATCATCAATCAATCACAGATACCTACTTATTTTGAAAAACACTATTGTTACTATATTAAACTTTCAAATGTGGCATAAGCATTTTATAAGCATTGTAAAAAACCAATACATATTAGTTAAAACAGAATGAGTTAACTTACTTAACAGAATGTGTTATAACGATTCTATACAGATTTTCTTCTTCCTTGGTGCTTGCTTTTCTCTTTAAGCGCTCAAGTAATATTACATAAGCTAGTATGCCCAAAGAGCCTCCATACATGCCAAGTTCTTTTATGAACATAATCATTGATCCTATCATATTCTTGACACTCTTCGGTATCTATAAAGGTTTTGTATATATATATATATATATAAATAAATAATTAAAAAATATCTAGGATTTTTTATAAATAATTTAATGCAACTTCTCAACATAATAGGTCCACAACACAACCGTGCAAATGTCGTGTTTATTGTAAACAGTTATTTTTCAAACGAGTATTATATTTAAGTTATTCAAGTTATTTATTTATGATATATTTATTTAGTATATTCAAGTTATTTATTTATGATACAGTCAACGCATTTTGAAATAATCGTACTAAAAGTAACTAAACACGATCACGTTTTCTACTTCTCGGTCTTCGTATTGATATTTTGGTTCTTTTTTTTTTTAGTTTGTGAATATCAACTGAATAAAAATAGGGAACATAGCATTTAATATATGTATCAGTTTAATAAAATTTCGTGATTGTATTCGATTGACAAGTGGCATAGTTAAGAAGCTGAGTGTCTAGTCTGAATTTATTTTACATCAACTCGCTCTCGACAGCGTGCGCGGTTGGCGTTGCGATTGGATTGCAAGTCGATGTGAAATAAACTTGCACTCGGCCCTCTGGCACTAGAGTCTAAGTGCGGGCCAATCGCAACGGCGAACGCGCTCACCGTGACGATCGACTAACTCACGCTAGGCTTTCTGCTTTATATTCATACCTTCATTGGGTCGCTACTGATATCATGTTGACCATGTTTTAATTTCACTGAATGTTTTTTCTGATTTGCAGGTAAAGCGACGTTTATAACTACATCCTGTAAGGCTTCTAATTTCTTAATAACAATTTGAGACTCCGTTGTAACAGTTGCTGGCTTATAGAATTGAACCATTTCGTGAGGATTCGTGGAGTAGCTAGAAATATAAAAAAAAATCTTATACAAATATAACACATTTAAATTATTATTATTTAGATTATTCTCATTTACATGAAACTGGATGTCAAAGAGAGATAAGTAATTTTTATCTAGCTACCAGTAGGCTGTACCAGATACATATTTGCAAACGAATATATGAGAGACATAACCCTACTGCGTTAAAAACATATAAGTAGTATATATGTTTTTTTAAATTACTAAATCCACTATTTCAAACTGTGGGCATTGTTTGATAGGTATTTCAAAATCGTTTTCAAAGATAACACAACATTTAAAAAAAATATATATATAGACGCAACTACTTAAATGGAGCCGATGCCGTCACTCTTTTTAAAAACAACTCAGACATTTGTCCTCCGTCATATAAAATATAAAATTATTAGAAAATATATTTTTGATTTTTGTTACGTTTTCTGTTTCTTGTTTGTATACTTATTTAATAGGTGTAGTAAAAAACTAGGTACAGAACTCGTAAACTGTGGGTGGACACGCTTTTAAAAACCCAGCCGGGAGTTAAAAAAGTTTTCATAATAAATATAACATAAGAGACAATGTAAGTATAAGATGATTCAGAATTAGATATTCAGTTTAATTATAGGCATAGCACTTCTCTGCTTTTGGCCAGGTAATATTTGTACATACTATCCACTTCGAAGGTTTTCCACATGAATCGAAATTAAAATAGCAGAACCTGATAATATTAGCGCGTTAAAAGAATCACTCTTCAGCTTTTTAAAATGAGTATAGATAGATAAAATATCTATATAATATATATCAAAATATCTATATAATATTTAGATATTTTATCTATCTATACTCTTATAGATAGATTAAATAGTTTGAAGCGAGTACACACTAGCATTATTGTTGAGCGCAATCAAGTTAAAATAAAATCTTGTCAAAAGTACCTTTGAGAGAACATAATATAATAACAGAGTAGATAATAGATATACACGTTCCACGTACATATTGTGTTCTAGTCGTAGCTAAAAATAGGATTGAAATATTTATGATCTAAAGCAAAAAAAAAGTTTAAAAAATCAAGTATAATACAAATTATAAGTATACGATAAAGTAATAGTTAAGTCCATACTTTAATACTTGGCCGAGCTCATCGACCGTCGCTATAGTAGCATGGAATGTTATTTCCAGATCGTGTAGTGTTTCCTCAACTTTGTTCAATTTTACGTTAGCATTTAGAAGAGTTGCTGTCAAACCTGAAAAAAATAAAATATACAGTAACAAATCTATCTTCGTGTTTTGTTTACAAAACACAGTAGTATCAGGTCGATGAGTCGATATTGTACTATGCAGGCTTGTTGGATTGACTACACTCTATCGCGGTGGCTACTGTAACTAAAGTAACCTAGCTAGGAGATTAGAACCGCACCCACTATAATTGTAGCATATTAGTAATTTCACCATTTATAAACTATATACCCATGTAATATTTGCAATATTTGAAAATTGACAATGAAACTTTATTATAATATTGATGGATTGTCGAATAGACCCAGCTGCATACGCGGTTTATAAAATTCGTCAATTAACCGATGTAAAAACAGCTAAACTAGTATATTTTAGCTATTTTCATAATATAATGTCATACGGTATTTTGTTGTGAGGAAATGTTGCTGACATTCAGAGTATCTTTGTGTTGCAAAAAAGAGCTATTCGTGCAATTTATACTCTCAGTTATGGGCAGTCAGGGGGGGATAAGTTTAAAGAAATTGGTATTATGACAGTCGCATCTAAATATATATATGAAAATTTCGTGTGTGTTAAGAAAAATATTCATTTATTCACAAAGTTTAGCGACATTCATAATATAAACACCAGAAATAAAGATAAACTCGTGTTGCCAACGACTAGACTACTAAAAGTGAGCAAGTCTTTTCGATGTCAGGGTGTGCGATTCTACAATAAAATGCCAAGGAAATTTAATGAATTAAGTATTAACTAATTTAAGTCCTTAGTTGAACAAAAAGTATTTGAAAATGATTACTACACGGTTACAGATTATTTAGATGACAAATTCGAAAGTGATGAACATTTAATTTTTTGTTGTAATTCGTATTTCGTTTGTTTTCAGACTGTTTATGTGGAATTGAATTGTGTAGTTTTTTTTGTAAATATGTAAATGTGCGTATAGAGTAATGTTAGTTCATATTTTAATAACTTTCTGGTGGTTTTGAGTGTTTCCACGACTCACTCAAGTGTCCTGCAGACTGAAATAAATATTATTTCATCGTCATTTAATTTAATTTCATTTCTTGTACGCATAAATATGTCTATTTGCAATTTCTGTGTATATTTGTGTATTTAATATGTTCACATGGATATACACCTACATTTTTTAAACAAATTAACTAACTATTCAACATTCATGAACATTACCCAGAACTCGAGGTTGTTTCACTTTTGGACAGTCTTCAAAATGTTTCATAATAATACGCATAGGGTGATCTTCAACGGCATGATGGCATTCATCAAATATCAACAGGTTAGTATCTTCAATCCTTATATATTGATGAGTGAGCATATCACACAAAATTTGACTAGTCATTACGATGACCTGCAAATATATAAATAAACTTCAAATTCTCAAATATTTATACAATACAAAGTATAACGTGAGTCAAGTACTTTGTGTTGTGTAAATATCGTGGCCAGAATTGGTCCAAAGTTGTGAGGAGGAAGTGAGCAGTGACTAATTTTAACACATAAAAACCCCTTTGTTATTATTCGTTCCTGTCTGCTTATATTTGATCACTTTGTTTTAATCTTTATGTTACGATTACGTTATTCAATTTGTATTATTTATTTATTTAACACTTCCTTTACATTCCACGAGGCGTAATTTATGACACATGGCATTATCTACCAATCAACCTTTAGTTGATTCAATGACACACGTGGTAGATTAACAAGAACAAAAATTACATCACGGGGGTGAAACTGTGACAATAAAACAAGGACTGTCCAGTTTAAGAAATTAAAAACAAATGAGTAACTGTATTGTAATGGGGAGCAGATCGAATCTATTTTTTTAAGCAGAAAGTTTTGAATTCAAATCCATGTAGTATCTTTGTATAGTTCTTAAGTGACTATAAAATTTTACTCCATGTCCCCATTTTAAATGATATAGGTACATATTTACTCTATATCACTATAAATACCTGATTTTTTCTAAGTTCAGCATCCCATTTCGCCTTATCCCAATAATCCACGCCATCTTCGGAACTATACCCACCTACTCCGGTAAGAGAGCAGAGGCTTTCTATGACTTTCTTCTGTAAAGACAAAAATAAAAGGATTTTTTATTTTCCTTTAAATAGTCACGCCTGTATATCCATGACTCGGCTTTAAAAATAATAAAGGTTTACCTTAAAACCTTTAGAGGTACCTTTAGGTACCTCTAAAGGTTTCGTCCAAACTTGTTCGTAGATAGTTAGAAGATTATTGGCTGTTTTATTTTAAAGACAAACTAAATTTGCCTTCGTAAATCGTTAAACTATGTCGCAAACAGTTTTACTAAACTAAATTTAAGTTTATGATTGCTAAACATTATTTTTTCTTTTACTTATACTATGAGACCATGCTTCTTACTAATCTTCATGATACAAGGTCAATGGCCCTACAGGTTTTCGCACCTTTAATAATAAACTGAATTAATTCAAAATTTACGTTTTTCGAGTTTTCAACAAATACCAAATCAACTTCATCAGTAGAACACGAACAATCCAACAGCCGACTCGATACCATGAAAATGGCAGAGATAAGAGATCGTCGTTCTCTTTTTGACGAACTCGCACGTACATGAATGTCAAACTTTAAATGCGATTTCCCACAATATTGAAATTCTAAGTTAATTCAGTTTATGAATAAAGGTGCGTTTTGATTTATCTACTCAATTTTTATAACATACTCTTTTTTATTATATATACAAATAAACGAAGATTTTTAGAATCCTAAAAAAATTGAAACTCCTCGTTTTTAGTTCGGTTAAAAAGATAACATATGTTCGTTTAATACTCAGTATGGTCTCCCGATATCCCTATATCAGTCCCTATCCTGTTTTAGCCTAAACGAAGAAACGTGACAATTTTCTTCGTTTAGGCTAACTTGTTACAAGTAATATCGTGATAAAATCAGAGCTTGGAAACAGCACGAGCGCTATCGTCCTGTACAGTAACATGTTATTACAAGTAATTGGTAATGTAAGTAGGTTATAGTGCGGTCAAGTCGATGAGAGAACAATGTGTTGAAATTTTCTGTAAAAACAATCTTAAATATTGTTTGTATACACCGAGTACACGTTTATCTATGCGATTAGTTGTATTACACGCCTCGTTTGTGATCAGACGGCCGTGTGTGAGATGTTTGAGGTTATTGCTATTGGCTATCTATAATTGCTTTAACAATTCATTCTGTCAAGGTGGTTCAAGAAGCTAAAGATAACATTACTTGAAAAACTTTATATTGTAATAAAGTGGCTTCAGAGACCTATTATTATATTATATATCTTAAATGAACATCTATAAAAATAATTGAACACACTTAAGTAAAGACAAATAAATAACACAAGGTCTAGTTTCAGGAAAATAGGTCGAAAATACACCTTGCACCTAATTTTATAGTAGTCAACAAATACATTAAATTTAATTTATAATTCAAGCAAAAAGTCAATCGAAATATTTATAATAGAGATATAACCTAGAGAGAACAAGAGCCCCAATTTTGCAATATAGGCAACGAGAGAGATAGATAATAGATAGTCCCCTCTGTCACTTTCTAGTCGAGCTCTGTGGTTGGCTGGGGAATATGAGGGGTTACTAAGTAGCCAAAGCCAAGTAATATACACGGTGATTTTATAGGCGTTTTGGAAACTAAACATTTTCAACCGCGAAACAATCATCATCATCATCATCAGCCTCTGCCGGATCACCTCATTCCGGATGCGATCCCATAGAGAAACGCCGAGCATAGCCCTTGCCATGGCACGCTGAGCGACTTTAAGCTTGTAAGTGTCTACGTTTCGGCTCCGTATGTCATGACGGGTTGGACACGTTTCGCGGAAGGCAACTATGCTGTAATGGTCAGTATAGTTGCCTTCCGCGAAACAATACAAATAATAATGACCAGAAACCATACAAACAACTTGTTGACAGAGGACATCGCGTGTAAATTAAAGTTACGTTTTGTTTGTTTACGTTTCGGGAATTTGCTCGGTATTTAAAAAAGCCACTTTTTGGTCATTTAATCTCACTATTAATTTATGATAAATTTCAAAATTAATTTACTAGGTACGTTTTTAGCAATAAAGTTTACAAATAAAATTATTAGTCCAATATTTAGCCCATTTTGGAGTCGGAGTCGAATGCATATTCCCTTTTAAGTCCATTATTTTAATTATTGTAGTTTGCTACTGTTTACAATCAAGATAAAAATCCATCACAGATACACTATAGTAGTATAATTCAAGTTTATAGACAGTTTCTTTACTGGGCATTTCTTATAATTTTTCACCTACCTGTTGATTTACAAGTGGTATGTTATTGACAAGGAAGAATGTCCGTTTGCCACCCTCGCCCCATGGTTTTTTTAATGCTTCTCTAAATCTCTTGATCAAACAGATTGCGATAAATGTCTTCCCAGATCCTGTAATTAACAAACAAAATAATTATTTTTTAATATGACAACCCAAGAATACATTTAGATTTGGAAAATATTTATATACCTGTCGGTAAATATATGATAGTATTACTATTGATTGCAATTTCTTCAAGTTGAGCTTGATATGGTCTTGCTTTTAGCTGTTCCGTGCAGCCTGAGGCCTCATCAGTGTCCATGTTGTGGTCTATTCAAATATAACATGTATAATATTTAAAAACATATTTTAAACAATTCAGTCTTAGATATTATGAACAATAAGGCGAAAAAACTTGTTTGACTAGGAAATTAATAATAGGATTTATTATAAACGTATATATTGTCGGTCAGATTAATTACCAAATAATGTCCGAAATCACGGTGTGCGTTACCCCAGCAAAATAATGTCAAAAATGGTCATTTCAACGTTATAGATAATTAGTTGCTCCCCTTCTGTAATTGTTAGGCATATTTTTAAATTTATTTCACTTAAACTTTTTTAGTTATTTCAAAACTGGGGTAACGTTTGAAACGTTACCGCAGCCAGACATTTTCTTTTTTTTAATTGTAATATTGAAATAAATGTTAGCTAAATAATTAGTTATCTGGACTAGGTAAATGTTACAACTTATTTGGTATTTGTATTTTCTTCGGCTGCGAAGTTATTCGAGATCCTGCTGGAGTAACGTTTGTGGGTTTGCTGGATCTCTGAAACGGGTAAGCGGATTGTAACCATCTTTTGTACATAACTTCTTAAGGATTAGTTTTAATTTGTTCGATAATAAAATAACAAAAATAATGGACCGTTTCAAAATTATTTAGGTAAGTATGAAAACACTTCAATACGTCCTAACACTTTGAATAAGACCTCTAAAGACTTACTTCAAACCTTATTCTATTGCTTGTAACTACCTTCAAATGTATACGAATTTTCGTAAGAATACTGTAAGTGACTAAAAAGTTATGATGAAATGTAGCTCTCCACGTTCACGATCACAATGTGTGCGGCCCTTTTTTGGCCACCGATAAACCTGTGTGTGAATATATAAACTGAATGTTATGCCAATAATTAGTTGTTTGTAGAAGTGTAACGTTGAAGTAAGTCTTTAGAGGTCTTATTCAAAGTGTTAGGACGTATTGAAGTGTTTTCATACTTACCTAAATAATTTTTAAACGGTCCATTATTTTTGTTATTTTATTATCGAACAAATTAAAACTAATCCTTAAGAAGTTATGTACAAAAGATGGTTACAATCCGCTTACCCGTTTCAGAGATCCAGCAAACCCACAAACGTTACTCCAGCAGGATCTCGAATTATTTCGCAGCCGAAGAAAATACAAATACCAAATAAGTTGTAACATTTACCTAGTCCAGATAACTAATTATTAAGCTAACATTTATTTCAATATTACAATTAAAAAAGAAAATGTCTGGCTGCGGTAACGTTTCAAACGTTACCCCAGCAGGAAATGTTTTTTTGAAATAACTAAAAAAGTTTAAGTGAAACAAATTTAAAAATATGCCTAACAATTACAGAAGGGGAGCAACTAATTATCTATAACGTTGAAATGACCATTTTTGACATTATTTTGCTGGGGTAACACACACCGTGATTTCGGACATTATTTGGTAATTAATAATATGCCTAACAATTACAGAAGGGGAGCAACTAATTATCTATAACGTTTAAATGACCATTTTCGACATTATTTTGCTGGGGTAACGCACACGAAATCACGTGTTTTGAGATAAGTATGTTGATTAGTAGGGAATCTTAAATTTTTTTAAATCACTAACTCACTCGGTATATCTCAAATTTTAGATCTAATAGTCAGGTAAGCATTAATTCCGATATGGATTTTTTTTTTTATCAATCTTCTCGTATTCGATATTGGTTTATTTCAAAATGTTCCACTGATACTTTGATATCTATAGTCCACCAATAGTTCATCAACGGTATTTTTTGAAATGTTCCAGTATGCCTTTGAAATTTAAAATTGAATATTATTTTCGCATGTTTTGGGCCATTGGCGCTCTGGATGCAGAAGCAGATTGACTTTTTGGATTGCAGATTGTATTTTTTTTTACAACATTGTTCTATACAACACGATCGACATTATTGTTCACAGTGAAATTTTACCAAATCGCCTTACATAAACCTGAACATCGCACATCAGTGCGTAATATAATCTATATATTAGGTCTTTACCTATGAAATTGCCTTTCTTCAGTACTGGTCATTTCAAATAAAAAAAAGTTTGTAATGGCTCTGTATTCTAAATCCAAATTAATTTTGTTTTAAAACCATGACATTCTATTTACAAACTCAGTCTTTTGTTTTTTGATTAGCATTGTATTTTCATTACATTTGAACATTTTTCGTCATAATGGATACTTTAAAAATTCGTGTAATTATGGAATATGAGTTCCGTCGTGGCACCAACGCGACACAAACGGCACGTAACATCAAAAACGTTTACGGAGAGAACTGTACAAACGAACGCACAACCCGTTATTGGTTTTCCCGGTTCCGTTCTGGAAATTTTGACTTGAAAAATGAAGCTCGTGGTCGTCCGGAGACTTTGGTTAACAATAATGAATTAAAGGCGATTGTGGAAGCTGACGAAACTCAATCTACAGCTGAGCTAGCAGCAGCTTTTAATGTAAGCATCAAAACAATATTGATCCATTTGCGACAAATTGGCAAGGTAAAAAAGCTTGATAGATGGGTGCCCCACGACCTTAACAATCGCCAGCGCAACGTACGCATCGAGACCTGCCTTGCGCTGCTCAACAGGCAAAGAAATGAAGGAATTTTGAAACGAATTGTTACGTGCGACGAAAAATGGATTCTGTTCGACAATCGAAAGCGCTCAGCAAGTTGGTTAGACCCTGGTTCAGCACCAAAGCAATGCCCTAAACCAAAAATTACCCCTAAAAAGGTGATGGTCACTGTTTGGTGGTCTAGTGCGGGTGTGATTCACCACAGCTTTTTACAAAACGGCATGAGCATTAATGCAGATGTGTACTGTGAAGAACTGGAGAGAATGATGGAGAAGCTTGCACATCTGCAACCAGCTTTGGTCAATCGGTCGTTCCCACTGCTCCTTCACGACAACGCGCGACCCCATACTGCGCAACAGACTCCAAGCTGCAAGAGCTGGGGTTGGAAGCTCTCCCTCATCCGCCATACTCACCAGACCTTGCACCTACCGGCTATTACTTTTTCCAAAATTTAGACAACTTTTTAGTGGGTAAAAAATTCAATTCCCGAGAGGCAGTACAAAATGCTTTTGAAGAGTTTGTTGCCTCCCGTGCAGCTGATTTTTACAAGAATCAATAAACATCAGGCAGGCATCAATAAACTGCCAATGCGTTGGCAAAGATGCGTCGATTGCATGGGTGATTACTTCGAATAACAGGAATAAAAAAAGTTTGAAAAAATAAGTACTTTCACTTATTGCATACAAAACGACATAGGTAATGACCTATTATGTATATCACTAGCGTTAGGCCACAGTTCCATATTCCAATGCGAATGTGTGGCAATATCTTACGCCGCTACAAAGGCTATGTCAAGGGGCATTCAGGACTATAACATCTGAATACATGAATACTGTCAGACAGCATGGCCGTCCTAAAGTCACTATAGGGCAACACAATGACCTCTGGTATTGTCTTCGAATGCCATCAAGCATTGTAGCAGCTTGTCACAAAATGGGGTACTACTCCAATGGATTAAAGGGCATAGTAATTCACACAGAGTTGGCAAAGAGGGGTTCGGCAACCCCGGCCACCGGCCCAACCATACTGCTGCCACTGCCAGTTTCACCACGACTTGCTTGCAGACTGATCAGTCTTAGTAGACAAATAGTTGTAGGAACCATAACAGGACACCTAGCCCTGAACTGACAACTATTCACCATTAATGCGACGGACAGTCCACTTTGCAGAGGATGTTTGAATGCAAAAGCAACGGCCCCCACGTAATCCTGGAATGCGAGGGTGTGGCCACACAACGGGCAAGTATCATTCCTGATACAAAACTGCTCCTAGAAGCCTGTGAACGCCTCAGGAGGCTTCTGCGCTTCTGGAAGGAGCTTGGTTGGCTCGCCTAGCCAACCTGTCTTCGACTCATAAAAGACCATCTTGAGTCTAAATGCGGAAACCGGAGCCCACAACCAAAACCAATATAATCTAATTCATTTTCCAGAGTTCCTGATTTTTTGGAAGATAAATTGAGCCATTTTTTTTTAAATTCTTGTCTTCTCCTGCTTTATAGTCCTGTGCACGCTGTCCCCCTCGTTTTAGGTGTGACCAACTTCTATATGCGTTATGGATTTCACAAAAAATATTTTCTCTGTCTACTAAGGGAGTAAATTACGCAGAACAACAGCACTCCAAAGAGAAGGAAAACCTAAAAGAAACCAGCGTGGTATAGTAGGCCAAAACCTCCTTTCTAAGAAGAGGCCTATGACCGGCAGTGGACTATTAAAGGCTGTTGATGATGATGATGACTTTTATTGCATAGTGGTACTTGTTTTTATCCGAAGATACTTGTTTTCATGCCGTGCATAACAAATATCAGTGTAGAATGTAATGTAGTTTCCAACGCAGTACTCTTTTAAAATTGTGTAGATGCATGTACTAAGTTCATTGCCACACTTTCTGCCAAGACTCATTCCACAAGCAGCAACAGCCAGCTTTTGACAGTGTCACACATGGTTCACTTGTATATATTTAATCTCCTTTTATAGAAAGGTAAGGAATCGTTACCGCATGGGGTCTGGAGAACAGCTGGTATGTAATACCAGCAAATCATTTTGTCTGCACCATTTTTGACTTATTTTATATCTGCTCTTTTTTTTAATCTGCACAAATTTGTTTCCTTCAAATGTTAACCAATACCATTGTGATATGACAAACAAAGGAACATCTCAGAAAAACTATATAACATAAAGTTATATAGTTTTTCTGAGATGTTCCTCCAAAACTAATAATAAAACTTAATTTTTTCGTACCATACAATAAAACTGCACTAAGAAGGCATATTATAAAATTAAAACAATGAAACATTATGAATTTTTTAATTGGTAAAATAGCATTTGAAAACTTCCAAACTTTTTAATCCTCAATAACTTGAAACATCATTTTCTGAAATGTTCTCGTACTGTTTTCGACCAACAATATTTAGTTAGCTAAATATTTGACAAAACAGATATTGTTGCTATTGTGTGTTGATCTATGACTTTAGAGTATTCACAAGAGACAATTTCAAATTATTTTAATTTTTTTTATGAAATATAGGTATTTTTCGAGTTTTTGATTAATAATATAATTAATTTATATTAAGCAATAATGCAAAGATATTAATTTCAAAAGTTAAAGCCTTGATACCTTTGCTTTATATATTCCTTTCTGCTTTGTATACTTCCTTCTCTATTAAAATGTTTAATAATAATTAGTTAAAATTAGACTTCAACAACACAAACAAAAGCAACAATGTCTATTCATAATAGTTTTTAATTTATAAGCCATCTTTCTTTCAGCTGATGCAATAGGCAGCAACTATGGCAGGCATTTCTTTATACATCTTATATAATTTATAATTAGTAATTTAGTCATGTATATAACATGACTAATTGCACCATTGAGATGAATGTATCAGACAATGAAAATATTATGGAAATAATATTAAGGAATACAGCAAAGATATTCCGTTAAGAAGTTAAAGCCTCGATACATTTACTCTAAATATATTCCTTTCTGCTTTTTATACTTCCTTCTCTATTACAAATAATAAAAATACATTTTGTTTCTTTTTTAATAATTTGACTGTGTTTGGTATCTGATGTATTGTACAATGCACAACACAAACGAAAGCAACAATATCTATTCATAATAGTTTTTAATTTATTACTTTTTAATAATCATCTTTCTTTCAGCTGATGCAATATGCAGTAACTATGTCACACATTCTGTCTCCATCCATAATTTAGTCATGTTATATTAATAAATAATTATTTGAAATTATTGCAACATTGGAATGAATTTATCAGACATTGGGAGGAATAATCATGCTCTAATAATTATTATCTACCTACATTACAAAAATGTACTATATTTATAGAGAACTCAATTCAATGAGAGTAATGTATTGTGATAATGATTAAATATTGCATGTCTTAGTTAGTGTAGTACTATAAGTGAACAGTAAACGTAGAAAACGATTAAACAAAAATAAATCAGTGATATTTCTACTCAAAAATAAAAGATTTGCTAAAATTGTTTGCATGTCTTTTTACCTGCTCTAATTTTCTTTAGATTATTTACTTTATTTCTTGCCGGCACTGCAAAATTATAAAATAAGCACGTATTTACATATCTTTAACAAACCTGTACAATGAAGTGATGCAAAGTGTATCTCCCAAAATTCAAATTTTTCTGCAGCAGAACGTCTTCTCACTGTCAGGAACTGAGAAACGCTTCAATCAAAAGAGGAATGAAGTTCAATAAAATCCCACTTCTTTTTGCAGCAATTTTGTTTTCAATATTGGACTAGGCTAGGAATGCCACTAACTGAAATGAAATTACCCTTTTTATTAAAGGACCTATCAATATTTCCCCTAACGCTCTCCCACGCGCCTAGTGTAATTGCTAATGTAACACATCATCTGCCTACCCTTTTCCCAATTTTATTTGGGGTCGGCGCAGTATGTATGGTTTTTCCATTCTACTCTGTCATGCGTCATCTCACTGTTTACTCCCTTCCTAGCCATATCCTCCCTGACGCAGTCCATCCACCTCTTCTTCGGTCTGCCTCTTCTCTTGTACCCTTCAACTCTCATACCTAAAACTTTCTTCGCCACATTTTCCTCATCCCTCCGCATGACATGTCCATACCAAGATAACCTATTACTTCTTAACTTTTCATCCAGTGGCGCTACTTTCAGACTCCCTCGTATATACTCATTCCTAACCTTGTCCATCTGAGTCACACCACACATCCATCTCAACATTCGCATTTCGGCTACGTTCAGGCGTCTCTCATCCGTTCTCTTAATGGGCCAACTTTCAGAGCCATACAGGACGGCAGGTCTGATAATAGTTTTATAAATTTGTCCCTTCAGTGTTAAGGGGAAACTGGGGTCACAAGTTGTTCCCATTACCTGCCGCCACTTACGGGATGGATGCATCCCGTATTGATTCGATGCTGTACAGTTCGATCAATCTCACCATCACATTGCTAAAGTAACTACCAACATAAAATATAAAAACGAATAGCAATAGCAAAAAAAAATGTTCCTAGATATTGGTGTAGCTGGATCATACCGAGACAACGTGTCGCTACTGCATGCCTGGCCACGCTGTAATTATAAAAGTCTGTTTAAATTTATTTAAATGTATATTAAATAAAGAATCATCTTTTTCTTCAGAAAGATCTGAATGTTATATTTTTAATCAAGCTATATTTATTATTTCCTTTGTCGCCTCCTTCTGAGCCAAGAATTAAGGGGAGAGAAGGTTTTGGACTTTGGTAATCATATTCGCTTAGTAAAAAGCAACAAATTGCTTAACACTGGCTGCCGAAGCAAGGCTCTTCAACGAATTGCTTAACACTGGCTGCCGAAGCAAGGCTCTTCAACGAATTGCTCTTAACACTATTCATGGTTAAAATCTAATTTCGGACACTTTTGCACAATCGGACAATGTTGGCTAACAAACGGAATAAGTGTGTCATGATTCTATTTCAGAAGTGATTCTGTTAACTAGTAATCACAAAAATGTAAAAATTACCTCGAGCCTCCTCCTCCCTAAAAACCTCCTTGTCTGTGTAGATGAACACTACTTTGGATGCTAGAACCAGATTCTATAATTATATTATCTGACTGAATTATAAGTACTGACTTCAAAAGTTGAGCAAGAGAAGGGAGAGTACTTTCATATGAGTCAGCTTAAAGTGACCAGAACCCTAAGTCAGGCACTGTACATCACCCGTCACCATTCAGGCCCAGATGAAGTATCTGGGCCTGATTCTTGACGGAAGATGTCCAAGGCTGGTCGGCGTTGCATCTGCCCTAGGGTGACTTTTACCCAATTTGGGTCGACCCAGCGTCGCAACGAGACGGCTGTACACGGGTGCACTAGTGTGGGTCGCGGCTCTGACCGCTCAGAGTAGGGGACGCCTCTGTCGCCCTCAGAGGATGTTAGAACCATACGGGGTTACCGCACCGTTCCAACGGAGGCGGCGTGCGCATTGGCCAGTACTCCCCCGTGGGATTTGGAGGTGGAAGTACAAACTTTCCAACTTACTTAAGTTGGAAAGTTTGTAAGTAGTGCAGGACTTCTAAGTCATAAAAGGTTATTTTTACAAAGTTTAAGATGTTGCTCGTCCAAATCTCAATATATTGAATTTTGTAAATAGCATCAAACACTCAACTTATATAAAATACAGGCCGATATTAGTTTAATATTTGGTAAGGTATTTAGTATTTACAAATTTAGCTCTTTAGATTCAAATTCAAAAGCTTTCATTTGCTCAAAGAAATTCCAAAAAAATTCCCCAATAAATTGTATTCTTTTATTATTGGTCATACTACTTTACGTTTCGTTACACTTTCATGTGGATCGGAAAGAATTTGACTTTTTACCGAAACAGTATTCGACACTAGTGAAAAAATTGTAATTAAATGCATTAGATAATTTTCTTTTCCGAAATGCTCTGTATTCACATGTAGTTTAGTAAAAGGACCGTATAAAGGAACTGTCAATAACGAAGTTGACTTATTATTGGGGTTTTCCCCTAGCATAGACAATGAAGCAGATAAAATAAATCATTTTAAATCCTGTTTTCACAATGTTTATCATTGCTTGTTTAGTACTAGCTAATAAAAAATATAGCTATAAAACCAGTACATAAGTAGCAATGTTACTACTGTTATATAAAAACATTCGGATAATTTATTATTAGCTATTTGATGAATAGCAGGTGAATAGGGCTAGTAGTATTGAGTAAGTAGAAACCTGATGTATTATATTATTATATGAGCAATTCTCAAAATAATGCTGAATGATTATTGTAGTGTTGTCCCATAAATTGACTTAATTTTTTTAAATGGTAGAAAAATATTATGTTCAAGATGATAATTAAATAAATAAAATCACTGAATTACTGTTTACATTCCTGCTTTCATTCTTATGACAAATTGATAATTTATGAAAAAACAAAAAAAGATAAACTATTGAGTGTGCAAAAGTATGGAGAGTGATGTGTCCCATTTAGCAGTGTATGACTTTCCATAAGCTTTATTTTTAAGTATTATGGGCTGGCATTAAATTTTTTGGTGCTATTTTACGCTTTTACTATCAATTTATCCCTCGAATATACAATTTTGTGAAAAACAATGCATATTTTAAAAATAAATATATTTTATAACATGTCTTTAAAAAGTTCCTTATGCCGTTTCTTATTTTGTTACGTGGTTTATGGAAAATATTTAAAAACAAGTAAGTAGATTATGGTTTTCTGTGCACTCTTAACATTTGAGAAGAAGGTAAAGCTAAAAGTAGCATTGCCACTTGTCAAATTCATTTGAAAATATCGTTTCATTGTGTGGTGCTCGCCGGATTCAAAATGTTCTTCTTGTTTTGTAACTGTATTAACAAGGGTAAGTTTATAATTTTTAATGTTTATAGTATTAAGAATAGATAATTGTTTAATAAATTTTTGATATCTTATTACATACAGTCGATTTTATCAAATTTTATTGTAGAAATACATGAAATGAAACTTATGGTCTATGTTCGTTACTTCCTCTTTGGTTACTTTTGCGTGGTTATGTATAAGAAGAATATGAAGTAACAAAATAGGAATACGTAAGGCAGAGTCTACATTGCATTTTTACCCAACTATGGCACAATATAAGGGAGGGAATTATTTTTTACTTTATGTCTATAAGTATGTAGTTCTTTTGGTAACCGACTTCAAAAAAGGAGGTTCTCAGTTTGACCTGTATGTTTGTATGTATGTACGTATATATGGTTGTCCGCGATTTTCTCAAAAACTACTGATTCTATTTGGGTTGGGTTTTCACCATTGGTTTCGTGTGTTTAAGTGGGTCGTAGATGGCTTAGATTAACAATTACACCCAGCAAGTAGGTGGCATTTCAATCGGGTTCTAGGGTTATATTCTATTTTACGATTTTTTGTTGTGGTTTTGAGTGTGGTTTCCTGAATTCCCCTGATAAAAACCCTCGCTAAGTTTCTTCTCAGCTGAGCTGTTTTTGAGGTCACAATAGATTTCAGTTTTAAGTTGACGTGATTGCCTAGGAATCTTCATGATATTAAAGAAAGTTTGAATTTTAATGGTTGAGATTGTACCCGGCGCTGCCAATCGGGTGCACAAGACAACGTCTGTCGAGACAGAGCTGTCTATTCATAAATAATTCAGTAGTTCCTTTCAATAAATATTCAAATTATTTTACTAAATGTTGTTCATTAATCTTTTTCTACACATGGCGGAATGAAGCAGGTATATGCGTTTAGGATGAGATTTTGTTTGTTTATTTGTTTGACTTAAACGTAGTTAGGTATTTACTAAAAACCATCGTTATTAGCTAGTTTTAAATGTAAAAGTAATTGTTTGCAGTTAATTCAAGAATGCCATTAACAAACGCAGAAAAGCAGAGAAGAAGCAAGATCCAGAAAAATTTGATAACTACAGAAAAAAAAATTAGAGAGAAAAAAGAGAATGAAGAAGAAGAAGAATGAAGAGTTTATTGGATAATATATATGTTTGGTGCCCTAATATGTGATTTTTTCTTATATGATCATTACACTCCAGACGAGCGTGAGATTTGCAATGCGTAATTTTTATAATAATTTCATAACTATTACTAAATAATACTTAAGTTTATTTGATATACCATTTGTGATTTAGACATACTTACCTATAAGGATTTTTGATTTATTTACTTGAGAATAAGTATAATTATATTTTTTAATAGTACTACTGTACTAATGAATACTTTCAACGACAGTTCTTTTAAAATACTGTACTCGAACCAAATTCGTAATTTCTAAGATAGCTAATTAACATCATTCTCAATCTTAAGTTCGAATTATGTTAAATAAAAACATTGTTTTGAAGTGTATTGTATACTCAGCCTTATAAGTTCTTGTTTTGTTACCAAAGTTCCTAATTTGTTACTGTCCTAATTGAGATGACTGATTTTTCTCTTAATATTTAAAATTTAACATTTTTTTATAATAAATAAGAATGTTATAGCATAGATTGTTGATTTATTTTGTAATTTTAATTAAAAAATGACTGAGATTCTGCCTGTGAACTTAATAATTTAAAATGTTTTCCAAGCAGGTGTTCCAAAGGTAACGAAATGGACAAAATGTTGTCTATTTCTTCTAAAGTATTGATCTTATAATTAAATAATTAAAGTTTTCTGTTCTCTGTCTGTGTTTTCATTTAAAATATTTAAAATTTATTAAAAAGATTTGCAATCTTTTACGTGTTTTCATTTTTAACGAATTTTATTCGGTAACGTAATAAGAACATTTTTAGACCATTGCCTTCAAAACTTATTTTTTTTTTCAAGAAATATTAAATAAATAAGGTAGTTTTATAAAAAATAATAAAATTTGATTATATCTTTATTAATTGGAAACATTAACAGGTAGGGTACTGTCATTTTTTTTTTAAAGTCAAAATAAAAATTATTCAGCATTATTTTGAGAATTGCTCATATATGGTCTGGTAATCCCATATTATCTCGTAGAAACTTATTTTTAGAAACTTTAGATAGTCGTCGATATTTATCGGAAAAAGAACGATAATTGTATTAACACCTTAATCACCAATATCTTACTTTCTGATATCATGGTTGATGTTCTATTTTAGAAAGAGTAATTTTCTATCTGAAGAATGAGAGAGATTTATGACGAGAATCATAGTCTTGATTTCAGATTAGTTTAGTAGTGCTGAGGTTAGATTAGATCGCTAAGCGTTTGTGAAAATGTATTTTGAAGCTATTCGTGTTTTAAATACTTATTACAAAATACCTCAGTGACAAGAAATTGAAAAATTGTTTAAAACTTACTTTAAAAAACATTTATTTGTTTGAAGTACCTACGTATTTAATATAATAGAAATCCTGGCCTGAGGACGACTTTTAGGCGATTTGTATTGCATCACATAGTATAGCCATAGCACGTTTGGCAGTTGCCACCAATTGGCAAAGGTTAAAAGTTATGATGCCACGGAGAAATTAACAGATGTACAAATCAAAATTAAAACTAAAGTAGAATCTAAACTTTTACTATAACACAATAAATCAAAGGTTGATTCCAAAGACAGCCTTATTGTTACTTCCATTAATTGATGAATTCAGAAAGTTTTTAAATTTGCCACTAATGCCAGCTTCTGTTCTAATATTTCTAATTCGACACGAAAATGGGACACTGAATAAAATAACTACACTACATATTATAGTATAGCCAATTGTTTGTTTAATTCTTTAAACACAGTTTAGTTTTTAAGTCATTGTATGTTAATAGATTGCTCAAAAATGATTCAACGTTCAGACAAACCTTTTAAAGATTTTGTTGTTTTATAAATACTATCTATAAAACATAACAAAATCCTTAACAGGTTTGTAAATGAATATGTTATATATCAGACCATATTTATTAATTGGATAGATAGATAACTCTTTATGGTACACTAAAAACATAATAATAAAATAGTTGTATACATTGTTTTTTTTGGTATTTTGCATTTTTCGACCACTTGAGTAAGCAGAAGGGTTTTTTATATCCGACAAAATGCATAAGATAGAAATCATTTAATTTGTAACAAATAATTATTTTGTATTGTAAGTGTCGAATGATATAAAAGAATCTTTGACTTATAAACACAGTTTTAAACAGTTTATATGTGTTAGTGACTGTGGAGGAACGGGTGTCATGTCCCTCCAACACAAAGGGAAGATCCTCCGACCAGGCGAGGTGATCATGCCTGGCGGGCCGCGTTGTTGATGTTGGGAAGTTGTATATATGCTAATCGGCGAGGGAATTCTTTATATCGCGATACAGGATTAGCAATTCTTATTTTAGTAGTTATTCCGTAGTTCGGTCTGTCTTCATTAGATGGCGCTGTAGTATGTTTCTGTTTATTTGTATGTGGGAGTCACCACAGACTACACACAATGCATAAGTATTTATATATACATATTCACCTCTACACTAAAAAGCATTGATTTTACTAAAAGTTTACTGTTCATAAAGAGATTTTTTTTGACCCATTGAGTAACTTCAGATTAACTTTATCAATCGAGCGAATTATCCATGGATGACGGGTATGATTTTGTTGGAAATTAATATATAAAATTCAGCCAATGTAACTAGTTGACATTTATAAGATCTAATAATAAAAATGACAACGAATAATAAGAAAAATTATTATAAGTTATAATTTTAATAATAACTATTATAGTTAATTTTTTATCAGGTAAAATTTTTTTTTTCAAAATTAGTCAAGTATTTCTTCGGTAATTCAACAATTTATTTAAAAGAAAATACAAAATAAACACAAAATTCGATTTTTTTTTTATTATTTTTTATTAAATTAACGTTATTGTGAGTGTACCAACTTTTTTTTTTTCAAAAACCAACATCTAGAGCCTTTTAGCTACATCTGTACCAATCTACATCCCTGGATTCCGTTTGGCAGCACAACAGTGGTCACCTGTCATCGTCAAATGTCTCTTATATCAAATCAAACGTCAAGAATAATCTTAATAATATTCATTAAAATCGGCTGAGTAAAGCGATTTTCACCTTTTTGCGATGTTTAATACAAAATTTAACTTTAAAAGGAGGCTTGTGCCGCTGTATTCGTCTTTGTTATTGATTTTATTTATTAGTGCTGTGTCCCCAGGTGGTAAGTATAGATAAATGTAACAGGTTAAGCAAGAAAACATGTAAAACAGGGGTAATTTGTTAGAAAACTTTTTACTTTTTTATTACAGCAAATGATTTACACTTCTATGATGGAGTTTCTACAGCAGATGTTATATTTGGCGATGTATTTTTCGAAATATTGGATCCACCTGAACTCAGGTACTCTTATAGAATCAGGCCCGCAAAAGATTTTGGAGCCCCCTTTGTGAGTATTCATGAAATGTGAATCGCTATAAGCATATACCTATGCATATGCACTAGGTATAGGCGTATACTAATACTAATTCTCTGTCAATAAATAACTTTTGTCCAGGCCTTTCTTAGTTGTTACTGTGTCATAGTTTTAAATTTATTCCCTACTTTTAAATGGCAGAGGAGGAATGAATACTCAACTGTGCACTAGACGAAACAATAAAACTAACACTTAAATAATAATAATATCTAACACATCTCACATATGGCTGTCTGATCCCAAACTAGGCAAAGCCTGTACTATGTTAACCAGAACATATATATTACAGATAAATTACATCCAGACACAGAACAAATGACCATGCTCAATACACAATATTTGTTCTGGGTGGGAATCAAACCCACATCTCCAACTTAGCAGTCAGGGTTACTAACCACTTCACCAATAGGCCCATTTAAATTCAAACATTCAATTCTGGTTGCAGTAGGTACAATTGACAATCATGTCAGGATTAATGATCTAAAAGTACAGTCAAAGATAATTTTCTTTTTAAACTTTGTGCCATACAAACATAACGTCTATAATTAAAATCATTATATCTGTTCACAACATTTTGTAGTCTAAAAAAAATAATAATATCTAAAAAAGTCAATTTCATAGTTATCATAACATGGATACTGTTGTAGTCCTTAGTAGTTTTTTCTAATGAGGTTAATATTTAATATGTTATTTACTGATTTCAATCATTTGTGTTGCATGATACAAAAATTTATTTGAAAGCATTCTTCTTTTAAATGTGACTGATATAGCAGTAATCTTAAATTGTATGTATTTCTTTTCAGAATGAGAGTATACGTTTCGAAAATACTCGTTTAGTTCCCACAATACCTCTTCACAGTTGTGCCGATATTGTCAATCATGAAGATATTGTTGGGCAAATTGCTTTATCAGAGAGAGGGTAAGTTTTGAAAATAATAAGCTAATAATAAGCTTTATTTTTTACTAAAAGTTATAACCAGAGTACATAGATAACTACTGTAACTATACTATATTAAATTATATGTATGTATATTTTTGGTGACATCAACTGTAGTCGCCACCATGGTACAGCAGAACCTCTCTCTCTTTCTAGGAATAAACCTGTGTTGTTCATGTTTATACATTACCCGCTGATGCAACAAATATGACCCTGTTTGATTTTGTGGTGCTTTAAGTTCCTAAACTCTATCTGTCTATGATCATAGCCTCTCTACAGGGTGTGACATAAATAGTGGTCATAGAAAACAGAATGGGCGAAAGTTGTACTGCACTACAATTTTAACCAGTTTTTTAATGTTAATAAAAAGAAAAGAGAATGTAAGAATGTTAGTAGGTTATAATTTACTACCTGGTATGCCAAACCTGTAACATTGGACCACTATTTATGCCACACTCTGTTTATCTATGTGATACATAATATTTTATTTATACCTTACAGGGAGTGTTCATTTGTATATAAAACAGCAAAAGCTCAACAAGCTGGAGCGAGAGCAATCATTATTACTGAATCAATAGACAAATGGGATGACAATCTTGATCACCTAATAGAAATGGTTGATGACAAGTAAGTTTATTAAAACGCCGTAAATTAACTTTATCTTCACCACTATACCAACTCCGTAGCACGAACTCTTGAATGTACTTGGAAATAATGTATCTATGTGTTATTCTTTCTTAAAAATAACACCATTTACTTCCAATATTTGATGATAGAAGAAAATACAGAACTACATATACAGGCTAACTGGTTCAGTCAACCCAGATACTTTAGGGCGTTGTAGTGGCCAATATTACTAATAAATTTTACTTTGAAATACCATGTCCCAAACCTAAAAATTTCAGAGATATTTAACTTTTAAGATTTTATATAAAAGGTACCGAAATTTTGTTTACCAAAATATTTTTTAACTTTTGGCCTCATTTTTTATTTTTACTGTTTTTGTGTTGTGTATACATTGTTTTATAATTTCCATTGCCAAAATTGTAATTAACAAAAAGGGCCGAAATAGATGGTTGATAATTGCAAAATGAAATAAATTAGTTTCTTTTATTTGAGCAATACTGAAAAAAAATCTATGACAGTTAAGTTGCAGGTGTGTTAAAAACATGTACGTATTGTCAGCTATCTAACAAGGTATAATAGCGTAGGATAGTATTACAATTCATAGAAAAAACTTAACTTTAGTTTATCCTTAACATCCTTAACATGGTATTTCCAGAATGGAGCTTGATGTTAATATACCAGCTGCATTTCTTCTTGGTCGAAGTGGTGCAACAATATTACGTACATTAAGAAAATTAAGGAAAACTTATGCAGTTGTGAATCTGCCCATCAATATGACGCATGTGCCAATTAGTAAAATGAACCAACCACCTTGGATAGCATGGTAAATAGTGTAAAAAGTTTATAATTCATATTAATTTGCAGCTTATATAAAACAAAACAACTGTAATAACACCAAAAAACTGAGACATTAAAAAAATGCTGAAGTCTAATATCAAGGGCATAAACTGTTACAAATTTTTATGTTATTAAAAGGAAGTTAATTATTTAGTACAACATGAATGCAATAAGACTCCAAGCAAAGCAATACAATACTATCAAATAGTAATTAATTTTAAATAAAGTACCTTTCATCTTCATTTACTGATAATATTTACTTTTTCTACAATGAATTGTAAAATAATGTGTATATGTCTATTGAATTCCATTCCTATCTTGTACATTTTTTTTTGTAATGAACACATTTAATTTGTCGTCTAACCAAAAAATAAGTACAAATATTGTTAATCATAGAATTATTACTAAGTCATTAGAATATTTTTGCACAGCAACAGAACATTAGTTTAATATAACAAATATGTACAATATGTGATATTATGAATGTGCGTAGTGTGGAATTACTCATCACAAAAATGACTACTTAAGCTTTTACAACTTGACCACATCATGAACGTTAGAAATATTACAATAGATATATAACTTGTGCATCTAAATGCGACACTAACTTTTAATGCGATCATTAATGTATCACTCACTGGGATAATGAAATACTGTTATACATATATCCACTATTTTGTAAGATCCTTTGTACATTAATTTATTTTAGGAGAGGCTCTCTTGTGTTTTTTTTTTGATTAATCATAATATTAAATATTTACTTGTCTAACGATTGAACGAAGGCCTACTATAAGTATGCATACAATATGCACACTTATAGTAGCATACAATACACAACAATACAATATGCATACTTTAACATTCTAAAACTCGAAATCTAGCTTCTGTTTTACTCAAAATGTCTTAGATATCAAGTGTAATCCTATTGGTTGAAATGCATGAGATTTAATATTTTTATTTTGGAGATTATTTGTAATACTTAGTTTACTATAGTGTTTGTTTCAGTGTGCTATTTTTGTGAGTAATCCAATATGATAATACAAAAACAGTTTCGAGATTAATGAGAGATTGTGAAACTAAAATAATAATACTTATTACAAAATGTTTATTGGGATATTTGATGTAAGCACTTAAAAACTCTCTCCAACCTTTTTTTTCCTATACGGAAATCCCCTCGGATACCATCCACCGGTGGAGTGGTTATGTCAGACTCGAACCGACCAAAACCCGCACGCAGTCGCGGGTACCAGTAGCCGGGAACCAGGTGTACCATTGAAAGGAAATCCTCCTCCTCAGCGCGTCTTATCGCCACCCCGGCTTGCTTCTGCTAGGGTGACAGATGGCCTCACCTGTTACCCCCAGGCTTGCGCTTGTGGAGGACGGGGGTCGTTCTGCTACCTCCGGTGTCTGAGTCATCTGCGGTACCTGGCCCGTTCCCGGGCCTGAAGGGCCCCGCCCGTTCCCGCTCTCCACCTCTTTAGCAAGCATAACTTGCTCGTGGAAGGAGACGGCGGAGTCGTGTCATTTAAAATAGATCTACAAAACCATTGAAATGTATTTTTGGCGTATACCTATAGAAGCTTTAATTTCATATATTTGCAGGAGATAAAGCCTCAGCGTACAAGAGAAAACATAAATTGAATTAAATTGTTGAATGTACTTAATAGGAATAATAGGCAAAAATAGTAGTTGTTGGGAGAATCGAAATAATTGCAAAATCGTGATGGGTTATTTGAATGACAAAGATATTTTTTTTGTTGTACACATTGACATTGAAAACATGGCGACGTGAATAATGACCCCGGTCTTACCTGTCAGTAAGTACCTGGCTACCTATTTCCGCACTGCACTTCGTACAAGCCTTTTCTCTAGCTTTTCTCCACCTTACTAGGTCGCTCTGATCGGGGAGAGTCAATTGAAAGGCGTTGAGGTCAAATTGTAACAGGGCAGGTGACCAATCGTATAAAAGTGTGTTTCAACGCTGGTGGGATACAAAATTCTCCTAGAGTTAACCATTCATTCTGCATTTCTAGGTTCCTTGCGTTCGCTTTGTAGGTCTCGTTTTGATCTGGTAGGAAAGATTTTGTTATCTCTTTGTCGGTCTGTCTTCTAGCATTTCCCAATCCAACTCTACTGGACTGCGTACCCACCATTAATTTCTTGTAGAATTGGAGCCGTGACTCGAGCTCTGATGAATTTTTGTATTTTAGAAGGGATCCATTTATTTCGTCTTGTGATTTTGACAAGACATGCAATTTGGGAACTCTATCTATGTGTATACTCACGTAAATCTCTATTATTTTCTTAAACAGAATACAAGATGTGCTAACAGATTATTCCTTTCAATTGAAGCGTAAGTGTATAAAACAGGGATTTCACAAACTTACTTTCATTATAATACGAACAGCGTGTTACGTCTTAAACCGGTTTTTATGTTAATCGCTGCTAGTTGTGTATTTTGCTGTGACATAAGCTGAAGACCCATGGTCGCTCAAATTCTACTATAAACATATTTACTGGGGCGATCTTAATTTCACCTAGTTCCCATTATGTCGGCAGTACTTTTACTCAACGTATATTATATACTATATCACTCAATATTATATACTAGTTTTATTTAACCTGATTTTTACCTTACAGGAATACTGTTTCTACGGCTAGTGTTACTATTTTATTTCTACAATCAAATCATAATATTGTAATTATATTTTGAAATGTACCTAGGACGGGATTTTTTTAATTTATTGTTATATGTATGTAGGATATTTAGTCATATGCTAGTATGTATTGTACTGTAACAATTGATAAATACTTTTTGCTTCAGGACTTTGTAAATAGATTGTGTTAATAGGCTGCCATGCTCTGATGGCGGGAAATGGTCTCATGGTGTAATCGTCGAAGCGACATTCAGTGACTAATTATGTTGAGGATCTCATTGTATTTAAGTAACTAATCCACATGAAATATCTATGATATATATATATATATCCATATAATCTAATTGTGAAATATAATGCTATGTATATTCAATTCTGGGTGATGTAATTTATTGTGTTATGTAATAAAGCCTTAAATGCTTGATGTGAAATATAATTATTCTGTTATTTTTATTTTAGCCTAATTTATGGTACATTGTGTCGTGTGTGTATGTGTGTGCAGCGTGTCAAGCCGAACAGAGTTTTTCTACATTCCATATTTTAAATGTTCTACGTTGTGTACTTAAAAAATAAGCAGCGGCGATGATATTCTTGGACACGTTTCACAAAGTTGTTTAGATCGAAAGCATGTAGCAATATATATGGTAATGGAACTGGTTACGTCGATCTAGATACTTTAAGGGGTTGTCATCATTTCTGATAGATTTCACTATGAAATACCATATCCCATATTCAAGATATTGGACTTTTAAGATTTTTTATAAAAATTACCGAAAGGCCCAATATTTTTTTTTTTGCTGTCTTTGTGCAGTTGATACAATGTTTTATAATTTGAATGACCAAAATTGTAGTTAACTTAATAAGATGGTTTATAAAAGCTATAATATAGTTTTTTTTTCTTGACAAATGTTTGAAAAAATCTATGACAGTTAAGTTATAAGAGTTGTTAAAAAACATGTATGTATTGTCAGTTATCTAACAAGATATATAATATAGTCTAGAATAGTATCAGAATTCATAGAAGAAAACTAAGATGAAAGACCGGGAGTAATAAAAACTAGCGTACAACCCGGTAGTACCTAGTTGAAAACTTGGCTTATATTTTATATATATTTTGTTTTCTATTCATGACTACTATTGCTAACTGGACTTTGATTTGTGCTTCTGATACTGTTGGACACACGGCGCAAATACAAAGAGGAGAGGGCTAAAAAACTGCACTGTGATTCTAACTAGGTCCTGATGTTATCACAGTGGGCATGTCTTAACATTAGTTAAGACACAGGACACTTAATTTGCACAGGAAGGACGCTGTACACACAGCGTAGTACACACAGTTTAGTATATTTTCGTGGTATTAAGAAGCTAATGAATACATATTGTATTTTATCGTGTAAATATTATTAGGGTCGACGTTTTGTTGCTATGGATTGCATCACATTTCATTTGTAAGTAATTTTATACTTAATTTATTAAAATAGTTCTGGTTTTTTGAAATTGGTTACATCTGTTCGTCACTAGGAGCAGTACCTCCTATGTTAAAGAGTAAATCCCGAAATCCCTTCTACTGCTCCCCTACTATATACGCCGCTGGTACAAGATAATGAAGAAGGAGATACTTTGAAGAGATAGATTTATGCTTAATGCAGATTTATGTAGAAGACCCGGTATTTTATTTTCATGGATATAGGTAGAAATTTAATAAAACGGTAAAACCAATTACCACAGCGTTAAATACTGGGCTCTATAAGCACTGAAAATTACGCAGATAAAGGGGCCACAAAGACGCATGAATGTGTGTATTATCAATTCAATTCAATTGTCAGTTCTCCCCGAAAACAGTACGAAAACTTTTAAGGTACAAAATGTATCTAACTTAATCTCATTCGCCACATGTGGTATCAGCATGATGGTTGCTCTGCGCATTATGGAAGTGTAACAGAATGGCTGGATTCTAATTATAGAAATAAGTCGATATAACGAGGTGGTTGGTGGCTCGTGCAAAAAGTAGCAAATCAGGCTAGTAACTATAGGCTAGTAACAAATCAGAATATTAGCAAATTCCTTGTACGTATAGGTCGTCATTTCCAAGCACGGAGTAAATAAAAAGAGTACCACCCTATTCACCCCCTTAAAGGATAATTTAGATAATAAAAATATCTATCCCTGGGACTCAAACTATCTCTATACCAAATTTCATGTAAATCGGTTAAGCGGTTTAAGCGTGAAGAGGTAACAGACAAACAGGTAGATAGGCAGACACACACTTTCGCATTTTTATTATTAGTATGAATAACTCATTAATGACCATTTCCTGGGTTGACTTTTACGAA